TGTATTCGCAAAAAAGTAACGCGTTACGCACTACTGTTAACGTAAATAAAAATGACAACGCGTTATTTACTTCCAAACACTGTACCATATGTATATATAAGTACGTATACATTTTCCACACATCGTGACTGTCGAGTCATGGCATTCAGTTTAACCACGACCGCGGTCGTGAGCGCGCGCTTTTATTTCGTTTCAATCATTCACATTTTCATTTTTATTGTACTTAACATGAACTAACCAATGAGAATTCTCCCTAAATTTTCTTTAAAAAACTTTTTGCAATTTTCATATAAAAAAGCAAGCTTAAATTTTTAATCAAATTATATACACATTGCTTATTAATAATAATTTTTCCTATAAATTTAATGAATATGAGAGATATTTTTATAAAACTAAATTAATGTACGGAGACATGAACATTACATCTATTTGTTAGGGTAAAATACTTTAGTTTTAAAAAAAGAAGAAAAGTAACCAAAAATTGAATCTTTTAAATAAAAATTAAACAATTACTTTTTTATGAAAGTAGTAAACTGACCAAAATAATTATTCAAATAATTTATAATTAAGAAACGATAAATTTTGAGCCAAAGATCTGAGTGTAAAGAAAAATGGAATTTGACTGTTCGCGGCAGATTGAAAAGAAAGCGCGGAAAGTATTTTTCAAGTTGATGTAAATAAAAAGTAACATGCCGTGGATTAATTGTTTAGGAAGAGACAGAAGTGGTGGAAAAACTAGAAGAACCAAACAACAACTTATTAGTGTTAGTCAACCCATTAATTTATTAGTTAAGGTAAGCATAAGCTTTGTATTTTTCCGTTTTATTATTTTACACAGTGTGCATAAAAGGATTAATTTAGTTTATCATATTCAACAATTTGGCATAACAGGGTGATTTTTATGTTCTGAACCCCCTAAATTTTTTTTTTAATTACATTATTTTTGTTTAAAAAATAAAAAAATGAGAATAAAAATAATTTTTTAGAGGGTCCGGAACATAAAAATCACCTTGTATATAAATACATGTTGTAATATTATAGTAAATTAATTAGAAGATGTTTTTAATTAGTAAAGTAAAACTATATTTATCAAGTTTTTGTGGATAATGAACAAGCCACATGCGCGTACGAGTTCGTTAACTGAGAAAGTTTTGAAAATGTATTGCTTTCTCACAAAGAAAAACTTTGTGGTCATGAAAAATTTTTGCCCTCGATTTTAAAATATTGCAATTTTCTAATCGTAGAAATTTTTTATTAAATACTAAAATTTTTTCTCCACGCTGTTAAATATTCGCGCGCAAATGTATTTGACGAATTTTCAAATGTATGTAATATGCATACACAGAAAATTAAAAGGCATTAAAATAAGCTGCAACGCTTCTTATTTTAATCCAATTTTGCTTATTTTAATCCATTTTGGTATTAAAATAAGCAAAAGTGGATTAAAATAAGAAGCGTTGCAGCTTATTTTAATGCCTTTTAATTTTCTGTGTACAAATATGTTGCTGACTTTTTAAAATATATAAATATTTTCACAGACTTTGTTTTGTTTTTAAATGACTTTTTAATTAAATTTAATAGTTCTTTTTATTTTCGTAATTATTTTAGGATGTTAATTAATTATTCGTTAAATAATGGTATTTCATTGAATGGCGCCAGTTATACAGTTGGTCTGCGATTGATTCAAGTACAAGTGATATTGAAAATACTTAGCACTTGTATAAGTGGCAAAAATTCAGAACGAATCAACTTAACAAGATTAGAACGCACAAGTCAATTATCCTCTTGTTCTATTTTTGGAGTTGAATCGTTTTCTTAATCGGAACGAGAGGTTTTAAAAGAATCCCTTTTAACTTACACACAGCACATTTTATGCAGGGGACTTGCAAAAAGAACTTTGTTAAAATATTTTTTTAATTTTTTCACAAAAGAACATTTATTTCAATAAGTAATATCCATATCTTTTTGAAATATTTACTAAAAATCGCGCCTATATAAATGTTATATAAAACTACTGCGCAGTGCGCTCACGTAGGGAAGAAGGATTAGTTGTGAAATTAAAACTAATATACATAATTCTTGTTAGCAGTTTTTTCAGTGCATGTATAAAAATACGAATGTCATAAAATGTTATGCTACAGCATATATGCAAAGAAAATAAACCTCTGGTTATGACAAATGTCCGGATGGGGTAAATGTATATAAGAAAATTACCTAATATTCGCCAATAATTGAACCTCCCAATTCTATAACTCGTTTAGCGCTCGGCCGGACGCTCTATTGGTAGTCGGGTAGCAGCGAGGGAGCCATTGACGCTCGCTGCTACCCGACTGCTAATAGAGCATCCGTCCGAGCGCTAAACGAGTTACAGAATTGGGAAGTTCAATTCAATTTCTTTTTATAAAAAAAGTACAATATTATATTTGTGTTCAGTCGTTGTTTCACATTCTGTTCATAACTATATTTATAATATTTAGGGGTAAACACGTATCTGTGTATGTATGAATAAATGAGTAATTTATTTCTTGTTTTTCAAACAGTTATACTTTGTGGAAATCTGTGAATTTAGTACATACTCTACTCAAACTATGCAGTAATTGCAGGAGGTTCATTTACTCGAATAAAGACATCAAAATCCTACTATAAAACTTCCTGTAATTTTGAAGCTTACATTATGTAAGTCATTGTTGATTGATTTATATAAACCCAGGAAGTATTTCACCTGATGCATGTCACATGCATGTTTGTTACATTTGTTTACGCAGGTGTAATAAATTTTCCTGTAATTTATGTTGTCCCTCCAGGTTAATGCTCTCAAAATATATTTTCTATTGTAATGGAAAATGAAAAAAATTTTCAAATCTCCGACCTTATACAATTAAGAATTTCAAATTTCTTATATTTTCATTTCTGACCTGCATAATATATACACAGTTTATTACTCAATTAAATTTTTCAGTTGACATTAATTTATTTCTTGTAATTCAATTATACACTGCATGTTTCATGTGAATTAATTAAGTTTATATTAAAACATAAACATATAAGAATGTAAACTGTCTTTCATTGTGTAGAGCTCATCAAAAATTATTGCACAGCCAATGTATAATGATTTAACTACATAGGTAACTATAGGCTTATGTTTTGATAAATTTTCTTTTCTGAAACACATTTATGGAAATACGTTATTACATTATTTGTAATTTACTTTCTGCATTTTGAAAATAAAAATTTTCAATATTTTAATTTTTTCAATATTTGAATGTACTTTTAAAGTTTAAAGTAATTTCACTAAAGATAAGACTAAACAAATATTCAAGAGATATTCAGGAACCACAATATTGTATAAATAGACGAAGTAGTAGTAAAGTTCAACGATCGCGAAACTTACGTACCTAGGTATGTATAGTGCAATTTTTTAATATACATATGTTTATTTTCATTTTTAAAAATATGAAACAATTTTTAAATTAAGAAATATTTTTATTTTAAGAATATTATATATATATTCTTGCTATAAGAATAAAATGTATGACTTACATTGAAATTTAGACTATTTTTTGGTGAATTAAATAAAAAAAATTAAATAAAGATTTATAAATGAAAACCGTATTAAAAACTTTAGTTGTAGTTAGAATATATACATAAAATTTTTGTTGTATATAAGCGGATAGACATTCCTCATAAATATATTTTACAAATCTTTTCCACCACAGGAAATTTAGAATTTCTTTTATAGTTATATTCAACACATGTGCGTTAGAAGAGAATAAATGACAATGAACAAACCGACACATTTTATTTTCTTCCCTTGCCCTTGAAACACTCTAAAGTCTGCACTGAAAAGATTTAGTTGTGGAAGACACTTTTAATATGTTGGAATGTGTCGGAAGCACGAACATGCATGCTGGTATTAAGCAAAATAAATCTGACGAAAAATCGTATTAAAATGAAAAAAAGGGCAGGTGAAAAATAAAATATAATGAAATTCAACATAGCTTCATAAATATGCAATCCGAAATAAAACTAAAACCCGGCTTATTTTATATCACGAGAATTAAAAAAATTGATTATATTCGACATATATACTTGTACGTTATTTTTACGTACTTTTATTTATATTCTTATGTCATTTTTGAATTAACAATCCATCCGCTCCTTGTTTATCTTAGTCGATGGAAATTTGCCAAATATATAACGTTAATAGAATTTTTAACGTATTGACAGCATTTTTTTAAAATGTTTTCTTTTCATTTTGTAAATTTTTTTTGAAATGTATTTTCTGACCTATTATTGAACATTCTCTTTGCAGTCATTACTATTCTACATTCAATTTAAACGATATTTTTTATACCACAATAAAAGATTTAAAAACTAATAAAAACCACGTCAACAAAAATGGCAAATTTCAGAATAAGTGTGATTTTCTTATTTTTCGCTTTATCAAAAAACACTCTGATCAAAGAATTTGATCTGCATCTTATACTGCGGTACAAATTGACCTCAATTGCAAGTAAAATAAATATTTTCAACTTTTTTTTTTCTTACATTTCATTCTAGAGTACGATAAGTGTTAAAAATCACTAAAAGTAAGATAAAATTTTTATATAAAAGGCAAGAAAGTAACTAATTTTTTATATTATGTAATAAAAATTACTTTAAAGAAAACTTAAAAACATTGTTCGTTACTCAAATAACATTGTAATAATTTTGTAACAATTTTTTCCTGGAAAAATTTGTATAACAGTTTTATAAATTGTTAAACATGAAAAATAAATATTATAATATATTTCTAAGAAATTTATTGCTGACATAAAATTACATATACACACTTTCTTGTTTCAACAAAAATAAATTAAAATTGCTTTTCTTTCATGGAAATTAAAAAAAAAAATTATATTTGCTGATTAATTATATTTTACATATTATACCTAAAGTATACTAACAAATTTAGAACAAAAACCAATGGTTTATTAATTTTGTAAAAAATATTTGAGAATGATTAAAAACAAATTTAAGTAAATTGAAAACAGACACATTTCATGATGAATCAACAAAATTATTCGTTTCAGAAACATATGGCATGCTTTATTCCAGCGGGTGATTCCTAAAATTCGACTTAAAATAATTACCTTTGACTGACCCCATCCCAGCAGTATAGGGTGTGTTTAAGCCGGCCAGTCAAAAGACTGAAAGATTTATGCGATTCTAAAATTCATTCAGCGAATTATAAATGATGATTCATTTCGCATTATGTATTGTAATACTGAAACTTTTGGATACTGGTTAGAAAAACAATTCGCTGATTTCATCCAATTATAAATAAATAATTTTATTATTTACAATAAAATTGTATTTTATTATGATTCCACATTTTTATAATATTTTGCAGTCAAATATATCTATCCCAAGCAATCAATACTAATATATTATATCCTCCGCCTTCCTCAAAACCGGCATTGTAAATAATGTATTTTATTCTGGAATTCTCTCAACGAATTTAACCTTGATACAATCATCCACTTATAGAAAAATTTCATAATGAAAAGAAATTAATGACATTATTAAATGATTCCTGAATCATTTAACATGTCTTTAATTTTTAAAGCGCGAAAGTATTATACGCATACATAAAATGTGTATTCAAATAGCGCACAGCAGTGGAAGCTTTTATTAATAGTAATGATATAATATATAATACTAACAAAAAAACATATCGCTGCCTCCTCGTCATCATTAATAACATACACATACACACACTCAACTATAAAAGTTCTTCATTAATTCCCAGATAGCACATTTTGCAAGACTAAAAACAAGTCTGTAATTCAAGTTTGTTGTAAATTTATCTGGAAAATTTGCTTTTATAGGAAACGATTTTATTGAATAATAATATGGAAGAAAATTTCAGAAATAGCTATAAGTTTTCGTAATTTTCATCGCTTATGAATATCTTATGCAGCTTAAATATATACATATGTACTTTAAACTTCATACTTGTTAGGAACTTCTTTAAAAAGTGTTGAGCTATATATTAAATATAGAACCTTTTTTGTTTAGAATTTAAACTCATCTGGTTTGTGCAATTTTTAAAATACACAATGGGTAATCTCCGAAAATACTACTTTTGCATGTCCTCAAGATTTTCTAAATAAAAAGATATAATTTAATTTTTAATTACATATTAATGTACTGCTTCTCTCACAGTTTTTCAACAAGTAAATTAATTATTTACGACTTATTACTGAAGCCTGCTGCAATCTTACACTTTTAATTGTTTGGATTTACAAAAATAAAAAATTAATTTTTTTATTTTTATGTAATTATTACTACGTAGTAATAAAAAATGTTTTTCATATGGCTTTTCCACCATTCGTAATTATATTTTTTTCCTATTTATGAACGAATGGTTCATTTGTGAACCCGTATAACACTGAAATAAGTTAATTATTGATTAATTACTTACGATCGTAAATAATAAAATATTAGAAAATTTATGTCTCGTTATATAAATTTTCGTATAGTTTAAATTGTTAAAAAATTCCCTTTTTTTGAATGCTCTTAACTTTTTGACATATACATCAATTTTAATGTTTTTTTTGGTTCTAAAATTGTGTTTTTTTAAATTTAAATAAAGTTTTTAAAAATTTTATGTAGAAAATAACGAAAAAATTTTTAATAATTGAGCTGCCGGATCAAAGAATGGCACATAATACATTTGAATTATGTATATTACTTATGTGCCCTTCTTTGATCCGGCAGCTCAATTAGATTTTTTTATTCATCTTACCATAACCTTAAGAATATGTATATTGTGAAATTTTCTCAACTTTTCCTAAAAAGGACGAATATTTCTTTGGATAAATCATTTGGAATTTAATTCATTAAACACAAATCTTGCGTGGAAAGTCTATGGTAATTGGTAAGCACAAAAACTTGCGACAAACATTAAAAATATAAAAAAAATATTACGAATATTTGTGTTTTCCATGGTATTTCCGCACGAGATTTGTGATTAATAAATTAGCTTCAAAAGGATTCATCCAAGGGAATTTTTGTGTTTTGCAAGAAAAACGTGAGAAAATTTTTTAATGTTATTTTGAAGGTTACGTCAATTATTACGGAAGCGCCTATGCGCAAGCCTAAGCAAGAGCGCTGCCTGCCTTTCCGAGCAACTCGGAGCATCTGTTCGTATATGTGCATATAGGCACACATGCCTCTATACTTCACGAAGGCAGACAAAAGTGCGGCCGGTTTTTTCTTTTTTTGTGAAAGTGTTTTTCTGGTTTTTTATTGAAAAATCAATGTATGTGTTATTATTCTTTTGAAATGTTTCACGAAATAGTTTTTTAAAAATATATTTTAATGAAAAAGCGAAGTTTTCAATTTATTTTACATAATTTTTTATGCATGCGCAACATAACCTCACTATATTCTCAGTCACTAAATAAATATTTTGTTTTTGTAAAAAAAGTAGGGTTTTGTATAAAATCAAATGTAATTGAAAATTCCTAAATTGTTTATAATTTGACTCAATTTTTTCACAAAGTTGAATAAAAAATTAAAAAACAAATATTCTTACAAGCAGGAAAAAATAACACTTGTCTACAAATTTTTCTTTTTTATAATTGTTGATAAAGAAAGTTGCAAAAACTTTTATCAAATAAAAATATTTTTATTTTATATTAATAAAATATAATAATCATATATTTAATAAAATTTAATAATAAAATTAAACAAGTTGTAAATTCAGATGTTCATTATATGAACATTTTGCTTCCTCTTTACGATCAGCAAAAAAATTTTGCTTCCTCGTGGAGAAAGCATTAAGATTGAAATAAACATAAAAAATAATATAATAATATAAACATTTGAGTACCTATAGATTTGAGTTAAATTTAAAGAATTAATGGAAGTTAAAAAATCAAAAATTCACATTTTAGCTGAAATTTCTAAAAATTAATAAAAAATAATATATAATTATTTACAATTATATCGATTCGTTTCAATGCAAGGAACACAATTATTTTATATTTAAACTTGAATTTAAATAAATACAAAATTTTTCAGCTAGAATGTGAATTTTTTATTTTTTAACTTTCATTAATTTATTAAATTTACTTCAAATGTAAACTGTATATATACCACTCGATTCGATTTCATGCAATGTAAGGAATACAATTATTTCATCTATATAAACTTAAATTTAAATAATCACAAAATTTTGAGACGCTTGCTTTTCACCGAACGGTCATACGTCGAACAAACAAAATGTCGAATGGCGATTGTCGTAAGGAATACGATTTTATTATATATAACCTTAAATTTTTCTATTTAAAAATTTTTTTTGGAAAAAAGATGATAAAAAATTTTTTTTTTGGGTATTTTTTAAAATCCTTTGGTCAGTTTTGACATATTAACGATATTAATATGATAAATAAGCCTACCAAATTTTATCTAAGTCCATTAAAGTTAAAGTTATCGTCTAAACAAAAAACGGATCCACACACACACACCCGGACAATTGATCAGGATCTCATATAACATGTTTCTATATAGAGAAAAATTTGTTTCCGCCACTTTGAAAATTTTTATAAACGAAAAGACTATAAAGCTTCCTCCACGAGGAAGCAAAATTAATAAATACATTTTTTATTTAAATTAATTAAAATTATTAATATTTACTTCTGAATATTTTTATTTAATAAAAGTTTTAGCGACTGACAATATAGTGAGGCTTGCTTAGACTTGCGCATATAAGCGCTTCCGTACAATTATACTCTTGCGATGGAGTAGTCACAAACAGTTAATAGTATTAGGGCATTCCACGTGGAATTTTCATTAAAAAATTTCCCAAGTAGCACAGGAATTTCCTGTGACATTTAGGCGATATCATAATGTCGGCTTCATGGAGACATTCCACGGTGACATTCGCGTGATATTCGTATGATACCGAGGGAATATTCCCGTGAAATTCATGTAATATTGAGGGGATATCCCTGTGATATTTAGCGGAATATTCCTGTGATATTGAGGGAATATTCCTCTGATTTTGAGCGAATATCCCTGTGATATTGAGAGAATATTCTTGTTATTTATAAAATTCTAAAATGTTGTTTGTTTTGATTGTTTTGAATATTTAAATAAAAAAATAAATAAATGGAAAAAAATAGAAAAAAATTTTTTTTAGAATTTTTTAAATTATCTCATCAATATCACTGGAATATTCCCTCAATATCACACGAATATTCCGCTCAATATCACAGGGATATCCCCTCAATATTACATGAATTTCACGGGAATATTCCCTCGGTATCATACGAATATCACGCAAATGTCACAAGAATATCACCGTGGAATGTCCCCATGAAGCGGACATTATGATATCGCCTGAATGTTACCGGAATATTCCCACTTGATATCACCGTGATATTCAACCAATATTCCGTGCTACTTGGATTGTCTTGCCCGAAACATTTTTTTGAAATCTTCTTACATGAAAAATAAGAAAATACTTATTTTTTTTATTTTTTAATTTGATAAAAATGAAGGATGTTATGATTTCTTTAAATTTAACGTCATCTAAGGTAGTGTATTTTTGAAACATTTTTTTTATCTATTGTACTAATGAATAAAAAATTATGCTGTATATAAAATATATTTAATTTTCTCTTCAAATATGTGCTAAAAAATAACGTACCTATAATGAAAACAATAAAAAAGTTGAAATTAAATTTAAAAAGTTTTTTTTCGCAAAGATAGACACTTTCGATTTTTAATTTTTTTTTGCACTGCAATCTCTGATGACTAAAGAATTATATCCTCTATCTGCGAAAGTGGTGTTTTTAGTTTTTAAATTAAAATTTTTAGTTTTCTTGGTACGGCTCACAGAATTTCAAGCAGTTTACTTTTAAAATTTAATTTCAACTTTTTTGTTGCTTTCGTCATAATTTGAAAAATTTGAGAAAAACTCAACTTATTTCAATAGATAAAAAAACATTTCAAAAATACACTGCCTTTGATAACGTAAAATTTAGAAAAATCATAACTTCTTTAATTATAATTAAATAAAAAAATAAATGTATTTTCTTATATTTCATATAAATTTCGAAAAAAAATGTTTCGGACAAAAAAAATTTTTAAATGAAAATTTCCCATGGAAAATTTTTTCAGAATTATAAAAAATCGAAGGATTTTATAAATAAAAGGTTAATCTAAAACTAATAAATGGTTCAAATGTTTGATAACGCAATTTTAAAATAAAGCATTAAAATTTATGCATTTGTCAAAAATTTATACCTATAGACTAAATAGTTATTTAAGTCTATTTCGTAAATGTCTTGGGAAAATCCCAAAACTTGACAGAGTAGGAAAAATTAAAATTCTATCCAAATGATATCAAAAAGGTGTTAAATTGTCCTGAATTTCCTTTATTTTTTTATTTTATTTTTTATAAATTAACTTAATATTCTACAAAAATAATAAACTATTTATGTAAATCTTGAGATTAAAAATGGAATATTAAGTTAACTTAAAGAAACACTACAGATAATAATACAAAAATCGAAGTGAATAGTAGCTACTTTTAAATTAAATAAAAATAAAAAATATATCCTAAGTATTGATTTCTTCTTTTTGTGAATCCAAGCAAGTCACAATGCGAGATTTTCACAAGACTGCAGCATATTTGCATCAATTTTTCATTGCAAACCTGTAGTGATGGAACATTTTGTTAGTTGCGGCAAGTATAGTACGCAAGCTGGACAATCTTTCACGGAAAGTTTGCCGGAAGGTTACTTGTTATCTAGAAAGTATTTTGTAATCTACAAATTTTTATAAATAATAATAAATAATACAATTCTCAAAAAATTCTTAATTAATGGAAAAGTCAAAGTCATTGAATTTAACCTCTTCACTTTTCTATAAATTCTTTTTTAAAATAAAATTTTTTTTATAAAAGCTACAAATTAGCATGATCAAGTTATTACAAAGATGTTTAGTCTTTTAAAGCTGAATATGATTCAATATTTTAAGGCTCGAAACAATTTTTTTTTGTTTCCAACTGAGAAAAAGAAAGAGGAAAAATATTTTTAGTAGGCTGTTTTTGTATCAATAATTTCTAAATTAAAATTTGAAATAAATACCATTTAATTGAATGAAATAAGTTTTTTTTATAACAAGTTGCATCACATCATTAATTATAAATATATTACTAATTATTGACTGAAATCAAATAATATTATACCTTTACATAATACTCGTACTCGCTTATACTTTTACGTCATTTGTAAAGAATTATTTGATTCTAATACAAACACTTGACTTGTTTTGTTGTTTTTATTTAGTCTTTTTCTAATTCTGTTTGCAACGAATGGCGTGAACAGTTTTGGATCAATTTTCGTAGAGCTGTTTTGAGTGGCAGAAATTTTATAAATTATTAAGCTGAAAACCCATCCTATAATTAGTGTCAACGTAGTACCGAGAGGAGCATACCACATGTACGAGATGCGATATAGGAAAAATGTTGAAGAGTTCTCAAGTCTAAAACGGTAAAATGATAAAAGTTTAGAATAAAAAGTTGTTAATTTTCTTATGTATTGAACGTAAAAGTAAAAATTCTTACTTTAGATCTAAAATAGTACTGTTATTTGTTAGCGTGATATTGCAATCCTCGTTGTTAAATGGAAGCTGTGGTAAGGGAAAGCCAGGCCCACCAAAAATAATCCAGAACATAAACAAAATTGACGACAGGAATCCGATCAATGTGCCAATTTCATTTGCTGTCTCAGTAAACATTCCCAATGTGAATGTTCCTAACAGAGGTCCAGTAAATACGGCTGAGAAAGCAATTGCTGCTTCAATTAAACTTCCAAAATTTCCCACTATAAAAGACACTCCCAAGCAAATCATGCCACTCGTAATTGCAAAAAATTTTCCTAAAAGAGTTACTTTTGCGTCTGATAATGTTTTGTCTTTTTTCTTATAAAAGGGTTTTATATAATCCTCAAGAATCACAGCAGACAATGAATTTAGTACCGCTGAAATTGTACTCAAGCTCGCACTGAAAATACCTGCTATAAAAAGGCCCATCAATCCTGGAAACTTGGACATTTTATCGACCGCAAAATATGGCATTATTTTATCATAAGAATCTATCTCTCCAGACGAGACAGGATCACATTTGCTGTAAACAGCATAAAGGGCTAGGCCTGTGAAAGAGATGAGAAAACCCAATCCCATAAGAAGAGGCCAATTCAAAAATAAAGCTAAACGAGCTTCTTTAAGACTTCTACAAAAAATGAACATATGAATTTTAAGTTTATTCCAAAATTCCCAACTTTTTCATAATAATTTTCTTTTACATTCTTGTACTTACTTTACAGTTAAAAAACGCTGTACTTGAATTTGACTTGTTCCATAAAAGCTGATGCATACAATTGCCCCTCCAAATGTTAATCCCCAAAAATTATGACGAATTGTAGGATCAATCCGAAAACTGAAAAAAGTATTGACGACACATTTACAACAATTTTTGTTTTTTAAATATCTATATGAAAGAATGGATAAGCATATAAAGGATTAATGATTATCGTGGAAATATACTTACTCAAAAAATTCAATTCTTTGACCTTTATCTGAAATTGTCCACACATTGAAAAATCCCCCATCCACTTCATAGACTGCAACTCCAATGATACCAATAAGTGCAGCGAACATCAGAATTCCTTGAAAAACATCTGTAATTAGGACAGCTTTAATACCGCCAATTGTTGAATAGAACGTGCAAATAATTCCAATCAAAAGAATGCTCAAAGTTCTCGAAAGACCTGTAGTTGCTTCTAATGCTAATGATGGTGCATATAGAACTACTCCAGTGTATAAAATTAGTTGTAATGCATTGGCAACACTTGCCATTCTTCTGCATGTAGGACCGAAACGTTTTTCCAGATACTGCAAAACAAAAATAATAAACTTGGAACACGAATGACAAAAATCTAAATTATACTTTTACCTCAGTGACGCTTTTGGTTTGAAGTTCCCAAAAAACTGGAAGATAAAAATATGCTACAATTGGAGTTCCAAAAGCAAATCCTGCATACCACATCGTGAATTGTGTTCCTCGTGTATAAATTTCAGCACTAACTCCAAGAAAAGAAATTGCTGACATAAATGAAACTGTCAACGCAATGGCAAGAGGCCCAACGCTCATCGATCGGTTAGCGGAATAATATTCCTGTTAATTATAACATATTAACTTCATTTTCCAAGTTTAAAGTTTTACTATCGGATTAGAGGACTTTCTATATAAACTGCACTGAGGTAATAAATTTTGTTGTTTAATAGATAATATATACTAATCATTAATAGCATGTGATTGTTACATCATGTGATTGCAATAATATTAACTTCTCGACAGGATGTTTCGTAAAATACTGAATGTATTGGACTGCAATTTTATGGAGAAAAGTCTAAAATATAATGAAAGAAGATTGTAATGTGCAAAAGTATATGTGTTTTTTTTATTATAAAAAATTTGTGAAATTGATGAAAAGTGTAGCACTGCACAGACTTTCTAATAATTATCCAATTTTTTATAATAATTAATGAAACCAATTATAAACATTTTCACACATCACAGTTCATCTTCAACATATTTTGGAATTCACCACAAAATTTCAGTTCAATCGATTCATTATTTTACTAGAGAGCTGGTGGAAAAATTAACATTGCGGAGATCGCGTAACCTATTATGTATAGTCACATGCTCTTAAGACACAAGTAGATTTAGGCGTTAGCTGCCACACTGGGGTCATGATGACCCCAGAAAAAATTGATTATTACGAAAAGAACGATAAATGATTTTACTTGACAATTTTTCATCTTTATCGATTACGTTAACAATTATAAAAAGTATTTTGTAAGTGTAAAAAGTCAAAGTAAGATAATAAGAAAAAATTATAAAAGCTCCACATTTTTAATAAAAAAAAGGGGGGTCACCTGGATCCCAGTGTGGCAACTATCGGTTAGTATTGTATAATTTTTGTTTGACCTCTGCAGTCTTTTGTCGACCTCCAGTAAACCGATAATATATTCCAATGCCACTTGAAATAACCAAAACTATTCCCATGACGATATAATCCGGCCATGATAAGGTCTGCGTTTAAAAAGATAAAATTTTTATTAAAAACTAAATTGAATGGAAAAAGAAATATTTTATTATTTAATATAAATGACAAGTACATTACTTACAAATGACATAATTTTTAAAAAAATTTAAACTTTTTGATACTTGATAAAAATTTTTTCGCTCAGTAGCACATAGTAGGAGAGTTAGTTGAAAATAACTGAAGCTTTCCAGCTACTATTGTCAATTTCAAGGATGCTTCATATTTTGCGGAATCTTTTTCAGAATATGAATTGGATATTATTACAATACATTGCTCAGCAAATCGTAATACTGGTCACGCAGTTATTACCTGTCATATGAAAGATCATAAAATTTACAACATATTTATACATGATGTTGCAAAAATTTTACGAGAAAAGGAGATTGAAATACAAAACGAATGCATGTATGATAAGTAAACTTACTAATTACTCTATATTTTGTTTAACTACTGCGCCATAGTGTTCAATTATTAGTTTATAAACATTAACAAGCTTTAAATTTAATTATATTCCATTGTGCACATAAAAAGTAAAAACAATTATCTACTTGAAATATTAAGAAAAATGTTAACAGAAAAAAATCTAAATTTACTTTCCCACATAGCACGACTTCTTGCTGTGAGGTTACTTTAAGGATATCTGTAGGGTTTGTAAGGTTACCGTGTAAGCCTACAGTAAACTTGAGGTCATCTTAAAACTTCCGCCATTACAGTAAGCTTACACAGTAAGGTTGTTGTAAGCTTCCCGTAAGGTAACTGTAAGGTTGCTGTAAGGTTATTGTAAACATAGAATGTTTTTAATAAATAAATTTTATTAATATTTATGCGCAGTAGTTTTCTATGGCACATACGGCTGCGCAGTAAATTTTATTTAACAAACCCTATTGGGGTTCAAGAAGTACTTTACCAAATATATAATTTTTCATAAAAAAAATTTATTATATAATATATATTATAATATAATTATTTTTAATATGTTTTCTTATTACTCTATGTTTACAATAACCTTACAGCAACCTTACAGTAACGGAAGCTTACCGTGTACACTTTAAAAAGAAAGTACTAAAACAGTACCGATTTTAGGTATCAAAATAGAACCAAATGATAATTTAGTACCTGAAGTCGGTATTAAATTAATACCATTCTTTTTATAGTGTAAGCTTACCACAACCTTACCATGTAAACTTACCACGACCTTATTCTGTTAGCTTACCTTAGCTTTACTGTATAAGCTTACTGTAATGGCGGAAGTTTTAAGATGACCTCAAGTTTCCTGTAGGCTTACACGGTAACCTTACAAACCCTACAGATATCCTTAAAGTAACCTCACAGTAAGAGGTCGTGCTATGTGCGGGTTAGTCTCCCGAAAGCTCAAAAAATTTATTTGAAAAATCCAAATTTAGGTTGAATCAACCCAAAAGTTATTTTGGCTGAATAAAATTCTTTCTTCGATCGGAAAATTTATTAAAATAAACCAAATGTTTATCTAGATGAAATAAATATTTATCTGAAGCACTCTCTAAATCTGAATTAGTAAAAATGTTTACTAATTCAGATTTAGAGAGCAAACCAAGAATTGTAGTTTATTATATTTGTTCTGAACTCTCTAAATTTGAATTAGTGAAAAGTGAGCTACTAATTCACATTAGTAAAATATTACTATTTTATTTAGTAGGTTAAAAGTAATAAGTGACTAAAAATTAGTAAAAATTCTTACTAATTTAAATTAGTAGCTCACTTTTCACTAATTCAGATTTAGAGACAATTTAGTAGAAATTGTGTTTATGGTAAAAACCGAAAATAATTATCAACATATTCTTTAGATGTTATCATAATAAACATATATAAATAGAAGCTAATCTTGATGCTGTTTTTACATGTTGAAAAAGTTAACAGCCTTAGAGAGACAAACTGATGACACGGGTGTTCCGTTCGATTTGCTTCGTAATAATTGAACTATTTAGTCTTTAAATTGCAAGCGGACGTACACTCGTCCCTTGTCGTTATCTTGAATAATCTTAACCCTACAATTTATTGCAGACCTGCCCAGTAAATGACATACAATATTATTATATTCAAAACATAATAGAATTAATTTTTCCTTGCCTTACTCTGTAATTTTTAATTAATATTGCTATATAACAAAAAGTCAGTCAAGATTTGATAAACTATTATATAGTTAATAGAGAGGATAAACTTGTGGAGGAAATTAAAAAATATTGTAATTTTTTGTTTTTAAATATATTTTTTAATCTTTAATATCTTAAACCTTTAAAGAATGCAAGTAGAACGCGCTTTGTTTGTTCTTGTAAGTATGCGCGCAGGAGAAAGGCCACTTGACAAACCGTACAAACTGATGCAAAGTGTCTACTAACGGTGCTCTAAACACAAATGTGGAAAAATTAAAAAAAAATTAAAACACTACAAACATTTCTTACGTCATCTTATCAAAACAAAAATATTTTAGTTTCATGTGGAATTTTTTGTTGAAGCACCGAATTTTCCCCCTCAGTCTGTTTATTATGTGTATCTATTTATTAAGCTCAAATACGCTACCTAAAAAGTAAATACTCAATAAAAGAATAGAAGCTTAAGAACAAATTTACAGACGAAGTATTAAAATTTGTTATCTTTTTTCGATTAAAAATGAATGTACATACATATATGTACGATTTAAATCAGTTGGTTAAATAAAATTAAGATATATTTCAGAAAGTTTGCGACTTTGCGTCTGGAAAGAGGTAATTTACTTTTATTTTACTTGACTGGATTTATTTATAAATAAGTAAACTCAATAAAATTAAAAATACATCTTTCTCAACATATACTTAATAGATTATTAATATTCATAGTATTGTATTGAATGTAAAATACCAAAGGCGACAGCTAGTTAATTATAATAGTATACTATAAAATTAGCTTAAGAATTTTGTGTAGTAAGTTGTTCAGAATATCATTATAATATGACTTCTGTGAAGCGACGTTTTTGCGGAAGCGGAACCGGTCTCTGAACATAAACTATACGAGCTTATTTAAAGTCTATCATGCGATTAAAAGGAAAGGCGTTTGAGAAGCTTTATATAAGTTTTTATGATTTTATTTATGCAAGTTTTTCTATATAATAAATAAAGAAAGATTGTTTTCACATTAACTTTGTATTTTCATTCTGAGATTTGAAAGAAGTAGTTTACACTTTAAATAGAATTTAAGCGTAACTACAACTAAATTTATTTGAGGCTTTTGAAAATATATTTAAATATTTTATTTAATTTATTACTGAAGAATAATATAAAATCAATTTGATAAAAATAATATGTTACAGACTGATTTTGAACCACAATGTCACATTTTTCAAATCAAACGATTGCGAAAATCCAGACCTTGTCAGATGTGCCATCAAGCAATGTTAAAGCAGGCCTCAAGCTGTAAAGGTAAGTTATCCTTTGTTGGTAATACACTTTTGCCGGTAAGAAATCGACTTCAGAGACTAACAAATAGTCGATAAAATAGAATAAAAGAAACCTCCGGAATTATATTTATCTACTGGGAGAAAAAATATTATATTCTTAGAAAAGAGCATGAACTTAATTTTTAAGAATATTTTTTTAGTTTTTTTATAATATGAAAATGAATAATTTCATAATTACTAAATTGCAGATAAAATGCTTCAAGTTTGTTGCGATTATATTCAGAGAGAAAAAATTATCTCCGACAACTAACTCGATTGCTATTATATGGACAGCTATTTGTTAGCTGTCTCGGCAAATACTTTATCTGTGAAAACAAATTATTAGATACGTGTTAGCTAAAAATAATTGCTATCCATATAATAGTATAATCGAGTTAGCTGTCAGCGCTAATTTTTTTTTCTCCGTACTTGGAATCTCTCTCGGAAACGTTTGCATGCATCATATTAATTTCGCGCATTCTTATTTTCATTTTCTTCACTTTTTCTTTAAAATTAAACAGTTCCTTGATAATTTTCTTTAAGTATTTAATGTGATTTATTAAAACAATAATTTTCCGAAACACAAAATTGGAAATATTAAATACTCTATATGTAATTATTCATTTGTCAATGTGTCAATAAAAAGTTCACACGTGAAGCAGTTTTGCTTTGTTTTCAAAATTCAAACATTGTTGCGAAACAATATTTTAAAAATATTCTAGCAACATTTTTAAAAGATAAATTGAAATGTTTTTTAAATTAAATGTAGAATCTTCAGTAAAGATATTATTGTGCTTTATTTAGTAAGATTTTTACTAATTTTATATTTGTGTATTATAATTAAATAGAACTTAAAAAATATTGAAAATACTTGAGCATATCGACATTCAATGTAATTCTTCTTTCAGTATGCAAGTTCACCTGCCACAAGACATGCGAAGATAAGGTGGGTTATTTTTAGAATATTTATCTTTATTTATACATGTATACGTATGTTAATGTAATGTAAACAATCATACTTTAGATTTTCAATTAATATTTTTCAGCAATTTTTCTGCAAATTCGCAATAAACTTACGGCAAATATATGAAAATTTCGCCTAGTTGACATAAAAAAACTCTCGCGCATTTGTTTTTAATTTTAAATTTGCTACTCGTCCATACTTTCATTGCAAGCTTGTAATGTTGTGACATTTTGCAACTTTAGTGACAAACTTGACGCAAGTGTTATTTGAACCAATAATTATTTTTGTTTTAAAATATTTAATTAATTCTTAAAATTAATTTTTTAATTTATATAGAATGAAAATAAAATTTAATTTAAATTAATTAATTCAAATAATAATTACTTGATCCAAATAAATATTTTTTTTATACACTTAAAAGAATTCTTAATATATATGCAGAGATCTATTTGAACGATTATGAGCTGAGTAAATGAGAAATTTCATGGGGCGAAAAATTCGCGGCGACAAGCAAAACTAGCGAATAAGCAACTGTCGCTGTAAAGCTGGATTTTTTCAGCTTTTTAGCGATTGTTATCAAACGTTGTATTTTACGTGTTATTTTATTTTATTTTAACTCTAAACAAATATAATGAAAATTAATTTCAATAATTTTTTTCTTTTTATATTTTCCTTTTTTTCCACGATTTTTAAATTAAAAAAATTAAAAAAAAAGAAACTCATGACATTTGACATTCAGGTTATTACAACAAATTTTTAATCGCCGCTGCGTCAAGTTAATTTACCGCATGTTTGTATATCGCCAAATCGCCGAGAAAATTTTTCGCCCCATGAAAATCAGCCTTAACAGTTACTAAACAATTTCGTTTGTTTTCGACTGACAAAAGAAATGGTAAGGTTAACTAGAATTTTTTCAAATGTACTAAATGAATAGTGTTTCTTACGAGTAGCGAGATAAAACACTAAACATGTCATAGTCAAATTGACTGAAACTCTTCTTTCAGTGTAATATTTAAACAAAAATATCCATCACTTTTCATTTAAAAATATTATTGTTATTGTTCCCTGCTGTGAATCGAAAAAGCTACCATTCCCTGCAAAGTGTCACAATTCAGATGATCCACGGATTATTTTCTATATTGTCAATAAGTTTTTGACATGATTCTTAACTTAAAAAATTATTTTTTGTCTATTGTTCGGAGATCATTTTAAGTTAAACTTTATTCGGTGTGTATTAAATTTACTGTATTTTTATCCGTGTATGCAAAATGCATAAATTATTTTTCATTTAAACTTAATATATTTAATTACATATCAAGAGTACACTAACTTTGAATCAAATAAAATTCATTTGTAAATGAAATGTATAATATATTTTATCAACAAAAAATTAAAAACAGGGGTGTGTGTATATGACAGGGTTAAAGAATTGTGTAATACTAAAGTTCCCGATTATTTGAATTAAATATATTTTTTCAGTGTATTGTGGACATGTGACTGTTAAGTCATGTGTAAATATTCTCGGTAGGTTTTCTCATGTAAATTACTTGATGGATTGAATTAAAATTTTATAATCTTGTCTGATTTTTCTATTCATTAATTAGTAAAAAATAATTTAAAAAAAAAATTAGGTAAATAATTTTTAATAGAGATATACATAATTGAAAAAATAGTTAAATTTGTTTAATTAAATTAGATTCTAAAAATTTTAGTTATTTTGAAATATTACTATATTTGAATCTTTTTTGCTATGAAATTACAGTTATTTTGAACTAATTCAAATTTAGGAGTAGCAAACATGTCACAACTTGAACCAATGAAATTCTATAGTTATTATTTATTGATTTCCAATAAAATTGTGACTAACTGACGTTAACATGAAAATGTATTTCGTTGAAAAATGTAAAACAACCGTTGTCTTCGTTCGAAGTGTTTTTTTCTATAAGGCGAACAAGTCGGCTCTGTATGTCTCGAGACAAACGAACTCTTGGTTTTGAAGCAGGAGTTTTTCCTGGTAGAGCTTGCAGGAAAAGAAAAATCTAGTACTTGGTCTTGGTTACGTGAACTGGATGTCGCTTCGTCCTGAAGAGGAAGAGGCAGTGACCTGACCGGAGAAACCAGACGCGTGGCCAGGTGTTCAGGTCGATTTTAACCCACGCTTCGCGACTTTCCTGTAGCTCGTTGAGAAAAATTATTTATTGCTTCCAACAAAATAGATTTGTTATTTCATTTTTTGTTGATGAGGCAACATTTTTCTTGACATTATACGAACAGTTAAATATTCAAAATTATTTCAACTTTAATATGACAATTTAATATCTCAAAGTTCAGGAAACTTTCCAATGTTGTGTGGGATGCTGTATTTTTGCCATGTTTCCAAAAGATTCTAAATATGACCAAAAGGGAAAGAACAGTTATATGTAGTATAATTAATTATGCATATAGACTCAAAAAATGCATTTTCAAAATTATTATTATTGTAGGGTTAACGATTCAGGTTTTTTTCAGAGAGAGAAAGTCTCAAATCTTATAATGAATCATAAGTTATTCATTAACAATTTTTAATTATTTTAAAATATAGACTTTATCAATTTAACTTTCTTGATTGTACAGTCAAAAAGGGGTTGCGCAAATATATATAGTTGAGAACTTCTTAAACAAAAATTTTTTTAATTAAACATATGTCAAAAGTATGTGAAAATTGCAAATATAAAAAAATTGTACAAAATATAAAGTTAGAAAAGCTTCGAAAGGAAAAATTATCGCAAGTTTGATGCAAATTTCTGAAAAAGTAATATCATAATACTTGGAACTACCTGTGTAAGATAGCGATGGTTTGTCTCGCACATGCCGACCTCAGTTCTCGAGCGACTCTGCGGTGTGTTGGACGTATATTTCTTCTATTCTCTGCTTTCATTTATCTAATGAATATAACGTTCGTTTCTCCTTAAAATTATTTATTTCAAATTGAATATACGATTCATTCAATTAACACAATTTTTTTTGGTGTATTGTTTATTGAAGCAACGGAAAAATTGTGCAACTTTAGTAAAGTGAAATGAAACAATGAATATTTAAATTACAAGTGTTAAAGTTATGAATATTCTTATACAGTACATGGAATAACGAAAGTCAATAGTTGAACTGCGTAGGAGTGTCTGTGTATGTATGTGTGTGTATATGAGTGAAATCGAGATGAACTGAAAGCCGATCGACAATCGTCAAAATCGTCTCTTGAGGCTTATCAGAATTTGTTTTCTTGGAAATAGATATGCACGCAGTTATGTAATCAGATTACAATGTTGTCCATTTTGATGATGGTGCCAAAAACGTGGCAAAGATGTACAGTAGCAAATGTGACAAAATTAATGACCTTGGCCGCAGAAGGCCGATGTCGCGGTGCATTGAAGGAATTCTTTGCGTGATGACCGCGGGGAAAGGATGCAGTGTGATTTTTTGAGAAGCAGCAAAAAGAGGTGAACGATCTTGCGTATAATAGGATCAAGATGAAACGTGAGGTACCTATACCTTTTTCGCATCCTTATTCAAATTTTAAACTTTTTACCAAAGAAAAACGGTCGACATTTACTTTGGATTAGTCAAGAAAAAACTGTTGAAAATATTAGCAGATTTAATTATATCAACTATTAGAACGTTTTAAACCTTTGGTAGCTTTTTTAAGATGCTTTTCACAACTTTCTTCTAAGTTATCAAAACATCTTAAAATGACTACTAAGATGTTTTTGGTAACTTGTTTCTTTTTGCAATGTAAGGCTTTTAAATTTAGGCGGAAATTTAGACAAGAATGAGACTTTCAAATGTCGCATGCACGTTCAAGTAACTTCCTGAAAGATTATAAACGCATCATTACATAGGTAAATTAAAATTAGTTAATAGTCTGAAAAATATAATAATTTAATACTTTCTAAGTAATTTTTTAAAGCAAATTTTATTTTTAAATTGAAGCAATGATTTTTAAAGTACATATTACAGAAAAAATCACGGAAAGTTGTTTCAATAACATTCTAAAGGATAAAAAATGAAGATACCCTCTCAGGATTCAACTGTTGAAATAACTTCAGATTGCTTCTTTTTAATGGTGTAGCTTTCATTTGTTTCAAACAGTAAAAACACTGCTATGCCGGCGTTTTACTATGTGAAGTTTATTTTCAATTAGATAAAGTTGTCTTGTCAAGGCAACATTTACTTTTCAACTGCAGCAAACGTGGTTTTGTCAGACAAATGTTTTTTAAGTAGAAAAAGTAGCTGCGACAGGCAAAACTTACATTTAAGTAGGTAAAGTTGTCTTGCCAAGGCTACGTTTGGGGCATTTTATTTGAAAACAATCAGGCATTTCTCAGACTTTTTTTCCACTGCAAGTAGAAATTGTAGTGTTTGGAAAACTAAATATGTGCGTTTTATGATACTTTTTATTTTTTTATTCATTTTTTAGATGGAAAACGTGCTTAAATTAAAAAGGGGAATTTTTAAATTATTTTTTTTTAAAAAACAAAATTTCTATTCAACTTTTAAAACTGCTATCAAAATAATTTGAGCCTTAATATTGTTTAAGGGCAGGTCAAAGTCTAACCAATTTTTACATAGAACTTCAAATGGGAAAATTGCATCGACTTTGACCTGCCCTTAATATTAAATAAGTTAATTTAAATAGTTTCAGAAACACATTCTTTATTTTTTGAATAAAAATTTCATTGTATGATTTTTTCATCGAATTTGTGCTCCATAAGATTTCGTTTAGAAATGAAACAGTCAAAACATCGGAAACAAAACTTTGACTTTTAAATGCTCAACTCAATTTGAATTCAATTTTTTCAGTAGGTTTTAAAATTTTATTAATTAATATTTTAAATTATAATATATTCAAAATAAATGAAGAATTTTTGAATTTTAAATTTTAACAAAAATTATATTCATTGCAATATGTTATCAAAAATGATATATTTAATTTTATTTGAAAGTCACACCAGTTAATAGTTTTTTCTTTTAAATGAAGAATATGTAGTAGACAAATTGCTTTTTCTATGTTTAAGTCATTTTCTACCTTGAACTTGAAATAAAAGAACCTGACGACCTTGAAGCTGCCGCTCTCAATAGCGCAGCATTCACTAAAGAAAATTCACTTCATTATGTCGAAAATATTTAATTTATTAAAAATTGCGGATTCGTTTTAGACTGATATAATTATTATTCCAATTGGACATTTTTTGTTAAATAAAGTTTAATTTTCAAAATCTTATAAATAAATGTTTGCGATTTTAAAAAAAGTGTTTCATATCTATATATTTGGTTGAGATTTTTAAAAACATTGAATATGGTAACAGAATATCTATAAATTTGAACCGAAAGATATTAATTAAATTATTTGCTCATAAAAAATTGGTTTAAGTCAAAAATATCTTAAACATGCTTGAATTTTATAGGTACGTTTTAAGTTCCTATTTTATTTGAACATTAATTACAAACTTCGCTTCGCCAGGGAATTAAGATTATCACGTTGTATTTGAGAACTTGGCGTGCAAAGGGTTATGTTTTTTTTGCTGTTTCAATTTACCAAAGGATCATATGACCTGCCGCTTGTTGACTCGCCTTGCTGTTGCATGGAAAATAACTTGAACACCTTTTGAAAAGACTTATTATAGGTAGCTGTTTAAAGCAGACATAATTTTTATGATATATAAGTGGATTAAAAAACAGTTTTTTAAGGCCATGTTTTAAAAGAAACTTTTTTTCATTGGCAAAACAATAAATGCAAAATTTTGAAAATCAAATACAACTGCCATTTTATATTATTCGATCTAATTTTGTAAAATTATTTGAAAACTTTTTTCTAATTTTTCAATTTTATGCATTGCTATAAGTGAATAGAATGAATCTTCTATTCTGGTTTAAATATCTCAGCGATAAGTCTATCATAAACATTTACAAGACTGGTTATGTAAGGAGGAACGCCACAAGTGTGAGTGTTCCAGCGAACAAACTGCGAACTTTAGTGTGGCTAAGTTCTCTGGCCTGATCGCGTGGTATGAGAGTATGTTTGTTCAAAAATATTGAAATAGTAAAACCTGTTATTGAGTTTTAAGAACTGAAATAAGAAGATGGAATTTGAGTTTGTAATGATATCATTTCTTTAAAACAACTCACAAGATTAGCAACAAATTCATTTAGTAATGACATAATTTTTATTTATATCAAAGCACAATTAAACATTTTTTTAATTCTCAATCTATAAATTCTTGTTACATAAATTTGACAAAAAAACATCAGCTGAAAGGAATTTAAACAATTCGTATTTGGTATTAAACAATCGTAAATTTTATAATTATTGTTTATTGCCAATTAGATTGTACTGTCAAAGGAAGTTAAGTGTAAGATCAGTATTATACGCGTGCTTTTTGAATGTTCTGATTGCTTGGTTTGTCGATCTAAAGGCATTCAAGAGAGATCTAATCAAGCTAATTGTCTTAATTAATAAAAAAGTGTGAAGCTAAAAACAATTGTATCTTGTAGTATTGTTGTGCAATATGGCCTTATTTTATTAAAAAATACTTAAGTATGTATATACATTTTTTTATACACTCCTTTTTTATAATACAGATTATATAAATTTTCAATACATAAAATCTTATGATTTTAGATTTAAAAATAAAATTTTATATTAATATTTGATATTTAAAGAAATATTTTTGCGATTTTGCATCAAAGGTCATATACTTAGCTTGAAGAAAGTTTATGAACCAAGTGTCGAATTAATACATACCAAAATGATTGACGCGCCGTCTATAGTGCAAATTCAGACTGACATTTGCATGTGACCTTCACGTCATACTATACATATTATGTATCGCAGCATCAACTATTTATGTAGGATCTAAAATTAATAAAAGGAAGTTTTAGATCTCGTGACATAAAAGAGAGAGGCATGCCAATATAAATAAGAAGAAAACTATTAAAAATTGCATGATACTTTTACAGTGAACTTCTTGATCCATTATCCCATCAGTCGTATAAACACTACTGTGTTGTTGTATGTGCTAAAAAAATGCTAAAAAAATGCTAAAAATTAGCATATTTTTATAAAAAAAAATCAGATGTAAAAAAGAGACAATAAGAAAAAATAATGCCACCGGAATGAGGACAAAAATTCATCAAAAAAATCTTGAAGCTATTTTTAGCGAGGTATGTACTAACATTACATGCGATAAATGAAATTGCCATTCTTTTATTGCCTGCACACAACACACCCCATAGATAGCACGATATTTTTTTAATGAGTTTGTGGTAAGCCTTCCGTGCCTATGATTTGAAGTTTGCGGTAAATGTATTCATGAAAATATTCGTCTTGTAAAAATATGCTATGCAAACTTGCAAAGAAATTGAAGTGAGCTTTGTGAAAATGTTTTATTTTCACTTTAGGGTTTCGCATAGAATTCATAAAGTGACCGAAACCTGTTTATGAAGATAATATAGTCGTGGCTTTGTCGGAGAAAAACTAAAAATTATCCCAACATAGGTGTCCATGATGGCTAACGTACAGTAAATTACATTATGATTTACCTATTATTGTTATTATTTCAATTTTTAGAAGCATTTTTCAAAACCTGCTAAATCTATTTAATTTTTTTTCATATATCATTTTTATGCATAATTCGACATATTAGTCATATTACATATTGATAAAAATCATATTTAAAATCAAAATTTTCAAAAATGGACTTATCATATTTTTACGAATGAAGCCCAAAATATATGAGTGCCACTTGTAGATCCTTTTGATATATCTTGAAAATATCAAAATTTAATTGAGTCCAAGTTTTGTACAGAAGTCAAAAACATTATAATTCGAGATAACGTCTAAGCTTGCGCCAAGTTTACCGTAAACTTTCTTTTCAATCTTGCATCCAACTTTCATTGAAAGCTCGCAAAAATAATTCACATTTTGCTACTTATGGCAAACTTACGTGTTATTTCTGGTCTGGATGTCTCGATCCAGTTTGCTGTCGGATTTACCAAAATTAGTAAGCACAGATAAATAATAATTTGATGTAACTGCAAATAGTGCAAATCGCACATTTGAGGAAATGCATTAACAGTCACATGGTATTAAACGTTACAAAATTTCAATTTAATTTATTAAGTATATATTTTTGAAAAGCAATTTAATAGAATCTGATGAATCCATTTTTGAAACTGTTTTTGTAAACATGATTTCTGTGTATAATGCAACATATTATTCATAAAAATTATATTAAAAAATTTTCAAAAATATCTTTATCAAGCGTTTTGTTAACTTGATTCTTATTTTACTCGCATTTATGTGAATAATATTTATACTTGAAGAATCACGTGACCTAACAGTCACATGTCCTTAAAGACTAAATAATTATATTATTATACTTAATGATGAACAGGATTAATTATATAATTTATTTTGTTTAGGCCAGATTTAGAGATACTTCTCAACAAATTCACAAACAATGGCAGGCTGATCCCGCAAGAGCTTTTCCAACCGTTAATAACATCAGCAGTATTGAAGACTCGCCAACCATTAATTTTTTAACTCCTAGTCTTACATATCATGTAAGTCATATATTATATAAGTTAAATTAAGTTTTTTTTGTATCGTGAGATGTTAGTTAATGTTTTTTTATATAAATAATTTATATTTTTAATTAATTAATTTTTATTGAATTCTAGATCCAATTTTTATATATTTTTTATTATTATGTTATATTTGTTTGTGCTAAAGACGGTCACAACTTTCCTTAACAGTGAAATATATTTTATCAATTGCTGATAAAATAGATTTAATTAATTTATTTAAAAATATTAATTTTACCTAACAGACATATAATATGTGCTGAATTTTTCGTTTACAACACTTTACTTAATGTAGATTAGGTACTAATTCAAAAATAAAAAAAAATACGTCTATTATTTTATTTCACACCTTAGCTTCGATTTGAAAACTTGAAACATTTTAAGAGCATGCGAAGAATGTGTGAAAAAGTAACTGCGTTAGAGAGAAAATAGTAAGGTATAATAGTAATTTATACTACCGTTTTGTAAGAGTCTCATCCATGTATGATTTGCGTCATCACTTCCTGAAAAAATTGTATAGTCACTAAATGTTCGACTAAAGCTAGAGTATATGGGATAATATTTATATCGATGAACAGAAAGGGCGTTACTTCTATAATGGCGTTCACGTGTGAACGCGATCTTTATTTATATATTTATAACATTTTCTCAAAACCTTGTAATGTTACATAAGAAAACGAGTTATTTACAGTGTATGAAAGAAATAGTAATGTGAGCTCATTCACTGAAATATTTCCGCATAATTATGTGTGAAATTTTTTTCAACTATACAGATTAATATAATGTTCTAGTCAAGGCCAATAACTAAGTTCTTCAACTTTGTTACTTGTTTAGCTCCTATAAAAATTTTATATATGTTTTTAAAGTATATAATATGCGATAAAAGTGTAAGCGATGCAGAATCGTATACGCAATTATCCTTTATATGCGAATGATACTTGGAGAGGAGCAATCACGTGCGCATGTTCAGCCTGCGTGTTTCTCTCGTTTTCTCAATGCGGATTATTTCATCCCTGTTTCGGGCGGCTCCCTTGACCCAGGTCGTGGTCTGTGTAAAATTCTTTTTCAAAAGCACAAACATTTGTGTACCAAACTTATAACAAGTAAAGTAATTTGAAAATTTATCCAAACTAATATTAGAATAGTGCCTTCAATTTTAGTTATTAATTAAAATCTAATAGTTGAGTTTCAAAAAATTAAGAATCAACAAGAAGAAAAAGACTTAAGAAATAAAGTTTGGAACAAGAATCGCAGGTGATATCCACGATGACCTATCTCGTTGATTTATTTTTAATTTTCATTCAAATTTCTCGACGACAGAAGATTCAAAAAGTGTTTCAAAAAGATCATGTTAACCATATTACCAATTTTCTCAAACACGTTACTCTACTTTACAAAGTACAGTTAAAAGATTTAGTTACTAATAAATTCACATGAAACTAATTTTTTCTATAGTGAATTAATTATTCATTGTTATAATGAATCTATTGTTTATCAAATCTTGTTCTGAAATTATATATAAATATATACTTTTTTATCAATATTAAGAGAGAAAATACTTTTTAAAAATGAAAAAAGCAGTCATTATTTCTTGTGGTGTTTTTCGTAATGATTCATATTTAAAAATAAGTATAAATTGCTAATCAAAGAAAAAAATGACAAACTCCAATAATAGCCCCGCATCGCAAGTTTGGCACAGTGGCACTAAACGAGATAACGTAAACAACAATCTTTACCATTCTCGATGTTCAAAGGAAACGACCGAAACATTGCTTCAACGTATAGCTTTTAATTTGTGGCACACGGCACTTCACCTCGAAAGTGAGGTGTGCAATTATATTTACAATTTATTTTCATGATTGTTTATTAACTTTTTACATTAGTGATTTATAAAAAAATAAACTAGTGCCAATTAGTGGCTTTTCAATAGATTGTAAAAGTTACAACATTCATTGGAATGATATTTTTTATTAGTAAATGATGTTCTTTTATATTCATTCATTTATATTATATATTAGATAATATTACTTTTTTAGTTTTAAGTAGTAACTTGGTAAATATAAGGCCAACTAAATTTGTTGATCGTCAATTTCTGTTGCATGCACGGAGAGAAAAATCTGCCTTTTATAGTATGAAATAGATTGCTGCTATTTTTCTTTAAACTTTTCATACTAATAGAGCAAAGATTTGAGAATTTTTAGCATGAAACTTGTCTATGCTAATAAAGTTTGTCATATAGCCTCTTATTACATACTTATTATACTTTTAATCCAACGGCGCCATGCGAAGATCGCACATAACATCATCCTACTATGTTTGCATAAGTTCTATGCTTTTTCGGGGATAGACTCTTGCAACTGGCGATTAGGCCACGCCCACCTTTACTTAATTGGAACTGCCCTAATCGCCAGTTGCAAGAGTCTATCCCCGAAAAAGCATAGAACTTATGCAAAAATAGTAGGATGATGTTATGTGCGATCTTCGCATGGCGCCGTTGGATTAAAAGTATAATAAGTATGTAATAAGAGGCTATATGACAAACTTTATTAGCATAGACAAGTTTCATGCTAAAAAGACATACGATTGTACTATAATTACTCAAATTTCATGCCTATATAGCATAGAAAATTTCTGTGCATTAAATGTAAACCTTTCTATACTATAAAAGGCAGATTTTTCTCTCCGTGTGGATGATACATTATTTTTGTAAACACCATGTGTTTGTGACGTCATCGTCACAATATTATTTGTCGGAAATTTTTCTAAATGGATCGATCTGATATTTTGTGGGGAAGTCCAAAATATATTTTGTTGAATTCATTTATTATAAAATACTTGCAAAAAAATAATTAAATTTGATACAAAATACCTTCTATCTCAAGAATTAGAATTATGTGGACAAAGAATGAATTCAAAAAGATTTATTTATCAATATAATATAAAATAATGTCCCTAATGCAAGTCTTAAATCTTACCGGGCACTCCTATACACTATGAGAAAATGATATTTTTAGTTCATCCATGATTATGATTAATTCAAACTTAGTATATTTTTGCTACATAGTCAAACATATTTAAGTTTAATTTAATAATACATTTTTGATGAAAAAAAATATATATCATTTAAACATAAATTTTATTTCATTCAATGTGAATATATATTATTCTTCATATGCAGTGAAATATACAGGGTGTTCCAAAAGTATGGAAACTTGCAACTATATCTCGAAAAGTACGCATTTTCGTGAAAAATATTTAAAACAAAAGTTGTTACCAAAAAAAAGATCTATATTTTTGAGGCCAAAAAATTGGTCCCGGGACCCAACAGTGAAAAAAGAAGTATCACGAAAATGCGTAATTTTCGAGATATAGTTGCAAGTTTCCATACTTATTTTGGAACACCCTGTATTAAATTTAAATGAAAAATAATTCATGCATTTTGCATACACGGATAAAAATACAGTAAATTTAATACACACTGAATAAAGTTTAACTTACAATGATCTCCAAACAATACATGAAAAATAAATTTTTAGGTTAAAATTTTATTGCCAATAAATAGAGAATAATCAGTGGATCATCTGAATTGTGACACTTTGCAGGGAACCAAAGATAGAGAAAAGCAGGGTGAGGCAGGTGTGAAAAATATAAACATATGGCATATTTCGGACGTTCTACAGGAATAATTCTAAACTAACCATTAAGTTTAAATCAAACATAAATTTAAAACAAATAATATTTTTAAATAAAAGTGATAGATATTTTTCATACATTAAAATAAAACTGACAAACAGTGTTAAATTAAAGAAAATCGTTCAAACCGATCTCTATACTTAGATTAAGAATTCTTATGTGTGTAACTTGACATTTTCTAACAATTCCCAAGTATATTAATTAACAAAATATCAACAGTTTTGCAAATTTTGGAATAATTCACAACAAAATTCGAGCTCAATCCATTTAGTATTTTACGAGAAAAGTGTCCGACAAATTAACATTGTGGCTGATGACGTCACCAAAGAGTTACATATGCTATATTTTTAATTCATTTTTCTTCGTGTTTGATATGTTTTTGATAAAGCAAAATTAATTTTATTGCACTAATAAACTTTGCAATTAATTAACTATTACGAACATTTGACTTAAAATACTTGATTTATTTATTTCTGTTTTGTTTTTTTTGTTTCAGCAGAACGGAACATACAAGTCGCAGCCAAAGAATGTTAATACTTATGCTAGAAGTTCTAATGGCAAAGACGTGAGTTTATTAATTTCTTATGTTAGTAATTTGATAATTGAAAGTTACTATCAAGATTTACACGAGCAAGCCGACGCAGCAAAGAAATATGTGCATAAAGAGATAAGGCGTTTTTGTCCCCAAGGCACTAATGAATAAAATGAATTTGATTGTAATCAGAGATATTCATGCCATTTTAACATAAAAAATAATTCAGGAACTAATTTTTTACTCCTATTATCAGTTTACAGTTAAAAATACATAAAATATTAATTTGAAACAATATTGAAAAATGTGTAGGCTTTTACTCATGTCGTTATTCTTCTATTGAACGGAAAAACTCTAAAAATTTTACCTTTTATCACTTGAACGTTCCGGTTCCAATTAAAAATAAACCGCTCCCGGCAATTACGATGAATTAACGTTAATTGGCATTAATGACGCCATTTGTCGCACAGGAACTTAGCGCGCTCTTCTTCGAAACAATTGTACTCGATTGAATGTAGTCAACAATTTTCTATTTTAACAAAAGTGAAGAATAATATTAGTTTATAAAATATTAATTTTTAATTGTAGATGCAAACAAATTGGACAATTTGCGAGCAAAAATTTTGTCTCCAGTGCTGCATATGCCATCGGTTTGTCCACTCTTGATACGAAATATATACTATTTCTAAAACGCGCCTTCAGTTTTCTGAAGTAGTTTAAGGATTTCTGCCGTTCAATACAAAAAGTTTTTTTAAGTAAATCCTAAAAGCCATGTAAAATTTTATGAAAATTTATTCAAGTTATCTTTTTATAATTTTAATAATTTATCATCTACTATTTGGTGGCTGATGTAAATTAAAATTTTAACGTTTTCCGAGGATAATAAAAAGATTTCAGTTGAACCATATTTATCGCTAAAAATAGGTACTTTTATGGGATCATAACGCGCCCAGTTCCTTCGTATTGCTTTAGTCAGCAGGACAACGCAGTTTAAAACCATAAATCCTGAATACTCAGTGCTGGAATAATAAATTGTGAGACAGAAAAGTCTTAAAATTCTTATTGGTCATCAAAAAGTAAAATCTTTCAAACATCATTTTAAAATAAAATGTTTACTTACACACAATTATATAAGTACATTCTAAACTAATTTTTTAAAGGGGGTTAAAAAGTTCTAAAAATGGGTGTGGCATGCAATTTTTTAAAATTTAATCAAAATTGATATAATAAGTCGAAATATTTTTGCACTTTAAAGTTATATACTGTGTACAAACATTAAACGTTTGAACTTTTACATGATATAATTTTACTTTCAAAAAATAGTCCTAATCTACTCCAAAAATATGATTCTAGAAAAAAGTAGGAATAATATCGAAACGTTTTTTGTTATAAAAGCTGTTATAGAATAGTAAGTTTCCTGCGAGAAAACTTTTAATTAATGTGAAAATAACGAAGTTAGAGAACAAAGAATGAAAAGTGCACCAAAATAGAACACCCCGATCTCCCTTATATACTTCTCAAGTAGAAATTTTAGATCGGTAATGGAGAGTCGCGCACTTAAAACTTTTTCTAGATACCGGCTATACTAACTGACCAAAAAATCTGACAAGTGACTGACTAAAAATCTATCATGCTATATTTCGTCTTATCATCTGATAAAATACCATCTTGCTACTAACTGAAAAAGAATCAAATTAGGCATTTATAGACATAATTAATGTTAATTTTCATTCATTTTACTTAAAATATTTAAACAAAACAAAGGAAAATAATTAACATCTAAAACATTTATACAGACTTTTGGTTTCATCGATGAATTTGTCAGAATTAATATTTACTAGAATTTTTATTATACAGAATATTTATTTCAAAAAATGTTTATTTTACAGAAAGAATATTAGAAAGAATTATTTTCTTGCCGAATTTTCATTGATTCGAATTTACATTTTATAGAACTTTCATTAATCCGAATAAATATATAGCAGAAAAATTTTAGTGAAAATTTTTAAGTTAACTAATTAACTTAAATAACTTCTGAAATAATTATTTTCTTTCTGTAAAATAAATGCTCTTTATTTCGTTGATACAATAAAAATTAAATTGTAATAAATGTCAAACTACTTATCTTATCATTTTTCTCACAAAATATTCATTGATAATATATAGTTTCTTACTTTTATGTATGTACATTTAAAATCAAAGACAATAATATTTTTACTACAAGTTGTCTGACACATGGTCTGTCACATTTTTTGCTGAAAAAAAAAATTATTAAATATTGAATTTGCTTATCTTTGTTTCTTTTTAGTGATAAATTATTAAGTAAGTAAGTTTTTCTAAAAACTGACCAGTCTCTGAATCAAAACTCTTTTGGCGATTGAGATTAAATTTTTGGTCAGTGCCATGTTGCGTTCTCATGTCAAGTAAAATTCACATGCAATTCCAAAGGTACTGACAAGTTTATCTACTTAGATCAGAGATTTTCATCTCAATAAAAAATTTAACATCAGATTTAATTTGATCTGACATACATATATTGGATTGAACCAGAACCTTTCGAATTTGAAATTTGTAATCGAAATATTTGTAATAATTATTGAAATAGGTAATTCAAAAAAAATACACAAAATATTAAATAAATAGATATATTATTTGACAACAAATTTTTTGCTATAAATATATTTTTTTCAAAAATGTATAACTGGATCTTTGAAAATTTAGTAAAATTAATTAATTAATGCATAATAAATTTTAAATTCCTACTTTTTTAATTCGCTCAGACAATTTGTTTGCGTGTGACAAAAATGAAAACTCGCCTTTTTTATGTGTAAGCATAAATGAAGAAATAATTAAAAAGTTTGGATTAAAACGCGAAACTCATATTTCGAAACATATGTACTACATTCATATGATATGTCTTTCAGTCTTATATTTACTAAAAATATCACGTCCGTACAATACGCTTAGAAAAATGTTTTGTTTAGTGTTAGCATTGAATAGTAGTTCACGTCATCCAATTATAGTTGAGTAGTTTTCTAAGAATAAATATGGAATAACGTATGTAAAGAGAAGGAAGTGCAGATAAATATTAAGATACATATCCTTACATACTTACCTGTCTTCCAAAGTAATGAGAAACGCAATTTTGACGGGAAATTTGTTACGTCACTATACACAATGCCAACAATATTTTGTGCTAAGATAAATAAAGGACACTGGATATTCTCTCCAGTTGCAAAGCCCAGCCGGATCATTTGGTATCATCAACAAGACACTACCGAGCTCGTTACTTTTAAGATTACATGCCGATTTATCGTGAAATTATATACAATTTACTTGATATTATGACGAAAATATATTTTACTGTCAGAATTTTCTACTCGTCACAATTCGCAAAGGTGAACCCTAAAGTTCATTCCATTTTCAACTTTCTAAACATCAATTATTATTATAAATAGTTTAACAGCAATGAAAAAAATATTGATTATGTAACAGGTGCAGTCGAGAGCTCTCTCGACGACGTCGTCTTCATCGAGGACACCAGGTGTGGGTGCAGATTCGGTGACGATGGGATCAGGAAGAGGTGGAAAAGTACGTGAAGTAATGGAACTATGTTATGTGACAGAAAGGATCATTGCTCTCTGGTACCGAGAAGATGAACGAGGAGCTCTTGAACATGCCACGTCTCTTCTTCGAGGGAAACATGCCAATAATTACCTGGTGTGTTTTAAGAGAAACCATACAATAGTTTCAAAATTGATTAATTATTCTTTCAAATAATTTATTAAGAAAATATTATGAAAATCCTTGCGAAACGTTCTGAGATGTTCCTGCGACAAAATATCTCAAAACGTTCAAGGAATAGGATCCTTATCAGAAATTTACTACGGTCATAGAACGGTAAATTTCTGATTGAGATAATTAAAATTTTTATATCAAGGAGTTCATTTGAAACTTTTATTGTAGATTTTTAATTTATCTGCACCTTATCGATCTCGAGATCCTAACACACGGCAAGCAGGATGGCCTCATGGATTGGCGCCCAGTTTGGAGAGACTCTGTTCACTTTGTAAAGATATAGACTCTTGGCTGAATGCTGCACCGAATAAAGTAGTAGTGCTCCATGCTAGGTTAATATTTTTACATTCTCATCTTATGTGAATAGAAAAATTTTCTTTTTTATTTTTAAAATATTCTCGTCTTCAAATTTTAGAGGGAGTAAAGAACGAGAACGATTAGGAGTAACAGTTTCTGCCTATATGAATTACAGCAGTATTTGCGGGTCAAATGATCAAGCTCTCGATAGATTTTCTATGAGAAAGTTCCTTGATGACAAAATCGGCAAACTTAAAGTACCATCACATCGAAGGTAAATTTCTTCACTGTTTATGCATTAAATACGTTCGGGTTAGAAATTAAAATGTGTATCGAAAACAATTATGATCCAAAGAATTTTTTCTTATTTACAATCAGCTCTCTTCACAGTAAATGAAAGAGAAAAAATAGTTTCATCCCGTGGCTACAAATATTTTCCAAGTAGAATAAACATTTTTCTATGCAAGCTTTACTTTAGAAATAGATACAAAACTTACATTTTGTTATTTGACAGAAATTCTATATTTAAAACAATTTTCATATTACATATTTTATTCGCGCTTTAAAATAAAAAAAAAACGTTTTTTCCCATAACTTTAAAAAATGCTAGAACAACTATGGATATTTTTCTTTTATTTTATAGAGCTTTTCATGGCATATCTTCTGCCCTATAAGCGAACTATTCAGAGTTATTGACATTTAAAAAATTCAAAAAAATGATTTTTTTTTAAATATTTAATTGAAAATATTTATTTTACCTTTAAAATATAAATACACTATATTATAGAATATTCAAAAACCCATCGATTGATATTTTTTAATTTTTTATTTAATTTTCTCATTTTATAGGATTTTGACTAAGTCGAATTTTTAAATGCTGTAGAATTTCCATTTCACCTAATCGTTATTTTATCGACTTGTATTTGCACAAATTCTACAAACTTAAAATTTTAAATTGCCGGAACTTTTGTTTGTTCGAACAAATATCTGACAAAAACATTTCGGTGCGAATTTCAAAATTCAAAATTCTGTAAAATGAAAATTTTTGAAAAATAAAAATTGACTTAAATAAAAATTAAAAAAAAACTTTATTTTATACAAAAACTAAATAATCTGTCAAAAATATTGCGTCAAATGAAAGTTCAGTTAAGTAAAAATTCTATAATGAGAATTTTTTGAAACACGACATGTTAGAAAATCGTGTTTCTATCATAAAGGATAAAAAATTTCCCATTAGATTATTTTATTTCATTGTAGACAACCAACACGACAAACATGAAAAACACGATTCCTTCAAATATTTGGAAAAGTTCATAAATGACAGTAAAGATTTTTTTTTCTCCAGGTATATTGAATACTTTAGTGGACTTCTCTCAGGTTCTCTTCGTATCAGTCCATCTCCATTATTTTTAACTCATGTCACAATTTTGGGAGTGCCTCTTTTCGAACCTACAGGATGTCGAGCTTTCTTAAAAGTGTATGAAGGTTTGACGCCAGTCTATACTTCTGATCTCTATTCGGTAACTAATGCCCGTGAATTTACTGTGAATCTTGGGGGTCTTCGCCTTAGAGGGGATATTTTAATCAAATGCTACCACAGAGACTACTCTAAGCAAAGTCGCGAAGTTATGTTTTCTCTACAGGTACAAACAAAAGTACAAAATAAAATAATTCATTTTCATATTTTTTTCAATATTTTGTATTTATCAGTAAATTTTGTTTACAGTTTCACACATGTGTCATCACTGAAAGCGTGGTCTCGTTTCCCCGTTCGGAATTAGATTTTGCATGTGATGACCCAAGGTGTCCATTCGATAGTGTAATGACCTTATACTTTGCGACAGCCGCCAGGCGAGATGGACCAATACCAGCGCCGACTCCTGCTGTGCCTCATGCTTCAGCACATCACGACCCCATATTGCATTGGGATAGTTATGCGAATCTAGAAATCAACGAGGATGGCAAGTATCAGTTTTAATATCTCGAAAATTGAATAGCTTCAAACCATCATATATTCTACTAGATAACGGCCACGGCAATTATGGGTGCGGCGTAGCCTATATTCCAGTCACTCTAATGACGCCTCTATGTGACATCATGATTTTTTTCTATTATTATCGCTTGCTACTTTTTATTATACAAATGTAGAAAAAAGTGATAACCTTTATCAGCTGGACAATAAATTAATGTCCATCAATTTTCCTTTCACATAATATACCGATAGAAAGTCAATATTGTCACAATCTGTAGAGTTACTCCCGGTACCACGATAGATGGCAATACTTTCTAGTTAAATTCAATTTCAAAAATTTATCATATTTATGTTATTCACCTATTAATTTATTTGTTTTTTATACAAATACCTATTCACCGCGAAGAAAATTTATAATATGCGGTAATTTTAGTCAGCAAAAATTCGTTATTTGAATGTCAATCCAAATTAAAAATACAAGAACTGTAAGAAAATAATATATTTTTTAAACTATTTTTTCGTTATTTTCTTTAAATTTTTAAGTACAATTTGTTTTTTATTTTCTTATTTATAGAATTTATAAGGAATATTGTTAATTAAAAAAATTAAATTTTGATTTTTTTCAGTTTGAGAATGAAAATTGATAAACATTGATAGTATTGTTGCACATTAACAAAAACCATATACACATTACAGTCAATCTAATTATTTAATTCTCTGACTTTAATCGAGGATGGCGCTAGAGGCGCGAGAGTTATTCTCGGAGTGACCGAGGATCTGCGCTCCGCGCTCTCAACAGTTCAGTTCGTGAACGGCCTTGTAAACAAGTAACGGAATATACGAATATTATTGTTGTACATTTTGACTATATTAAAAGTATTATTTTTGAATGAAGCATTTCAAAATGAGAAATTAAGAATTGAATCGTATTTTATGAGAAAGGAATGTGAAAACTAATTTCAGTGTATGCATTGTCGATATTATCGTAAATGTAAGATTACAAGTTTTTTTGTACATGCAGTTGCATTATACAATTTGGCGCAACAGTAAATGAATTCTCCAACCTTGACTAAAAGGTAATCACTGATTAGAGTGTAAATTTAACCGCTTTAATTATACGATTTTTTTATCAAACAAATATTATTTATGAATTTGAAAAGAGCAAATTGAATTTTTTATGAGACCAGTTTGCAGAAAATTAAAAAAAATTCGTGAGGTAGTTGTAACCAATGATAACCAACTGTAGAAGATGTTTGATTAACAATGGGATCTTAGTTCTTCTCTTTTGAATACATTTATTCCTATTCTGAGATCTTTGTCTAACCACTTCCTTTCTCTTTTTCTGCTTCTAATTTTTCTTTCCTACTTCCTTAAAAAAAAGAAAAGCAATACTTCTTCTTGTACTTTTTGACCCTTGACCGACTTTATACACATTAATATCAAAAAGCTTTCGCAGTAGTGCTTCCGATAATTTCCATGTGTATAGTTCCATAAATGTTGAGGAGTAAAACGCTGAAAATAGTCTGTCTGGAGTCAACTGGTTTATTTGTGTTGCACAAGCATCTATGTAACTCTACAAAATTCAAAAGAATTTTCGCCTTTCATCTCTGCAAATCATACGCTGGAATATTTCTTTATTTAACTATTACAACGTTTCTTAAAATTTAGAATACATCTTTTGAAATACCTAAATAAATTAAAATTACTATATAATAAAACCCTTCATTAAGAAAAAAAACATTATTAATATTCACCTAGTTATAATACCAAAATTCTTTGTTAAAATTAAATGTTTTGAACAAACCTATAATATTCTTCAAAGCAAAAATTGAATTTCCTGAAAGTGAAAGTTATTCAACTATCAACCGCGCAGTTTTGATAGCACTTTCCTTAGATTTATAAATTATGTTAAAAGCCTTTTTTAATAACATTAAAAGTTAAAAAATACTTGTTGAATGTAACAAAACAAAAAATATTTATATATGACACAAGTACAAGATAGTTTGTATTTTATTGAGTACTGTAAGTACTAAAATAATCATATCTTTTTACTTAATTAATACTCTAAATAGAAGTTAAATAAATAAATAAATCAATTAAATAAAACAGTATTTTTTTCAAAAAAAAGACAAGAAGTAACAAAGTTTTACAAAGAGGAAATTTAAATAAATAAAAATACGAAGTGTTTTTACCTATACTTGTGGGCCATAAAGTGATATCTAGAAACACAGTTCACGTATAAACGTCCTTGTCCCAGATCGCTTCCTTTACGCATGATTATTTTATATACATGTATGTAACTGTGATCGACTTAAATGTAAAGTACTTCTAAAAAAAAGAAATAAAATATCTATACCTGAGAAAAAAGTAAGCAATTCTTGCATGATCAAATCAGATTTGATAACTGTGAAAAGGTTTATATCTGTACTATTAATCTTAAAATTATATCAGATTTAAATTTTTGAAGGTTTACAATAATTTTTATAAATCTGCAAACTTTAGTGTCATGTGGAATTTTTGAATTAGCATTATTTAAGAATATTAATAGTTACGAAACAATTTATTAAATTTTAATAAAATTTAAGCATGTACATGCTAATGACACATTTGCTCATGATTTTATCTTTTCATATCTAAATAAAAAAAATTTATTACCACTTTTATAATTTATTAAATATTGCAATTTTCATTGAAGAAAGCATCGTTTTGGCATACTATTTTCACTATTCGCAAGTAGTAGTGTCATCGTCCAGTGGGACTCATTCTGCGCATGTCTACTGACTGTCACTACTACTTGTACGTTCAACTGTGTGGCGCGGATCTAGCGCTAAAACGTGACATTTTTTCCACAATAGTTTTATTTTTAAATTATTTGCTTCAATCATATATCATATTGCAATTTCTCAAACAAAAAAGAAAACACTTTTGCTCACAAAAGCTTAAAATTTCTTTACATTATAGTTACGATTAAATGTTGTAATTAACCTTATATTATTAATTAATAATAATAATTAATAAAATATGTATTAAATATTATATTTTATCCATCGAGTGGGTTACTTAATTTGAAAATTTTTCTTTAAATTCTCCTCAATTCTATTTATTTAATGAGGAAAAAACCCTCACTTCACTCATTAAACACAAAAAATCAATTCACCGGCACGAGAAAGTTTGATTTCTTGATGCGGTATCTAGATAGAAAATTGAACTGAAAGAACTGCGTTGTAAAGTATCTTTTTTAACTCTAAAGCATTTGAATTAAATTAAATAATTTCTTTAAATAAAAGAAATTTGTGCATTACACATCAAAGTTCCTTAATTTAAAGGTTCTTCATTTTTATTTCGCATTTTGACTGCAATGAGAACATCGCATTTGAATGATAATCGCAAATTGGTTTCAGTATAGAATATTAATTATTAATTATTCAGTGTAATTCAATAATTAAATAATAATTTATTAATTAACTTTTGTTCAATGAAATGTCATTTTTTTCTCGACAGATTATTTTTTGTTCTAATATTTTTAAGAATTTTGAAAGAAATTTTTACCTCATTATAACTTTAGAAAAGTTTTTAGTAGGACACTAATTGGGCTATTTACCTTAGAGCATGAAAAGTTGAGAACCTTTTCGTGCTCCGAGGATGCTCACAGCGAGACGTTGAAAACACCCTATATGTATAGGTATACCTATGTAATATTATATTCTCCGCTACTCGAAGTATTTTCACATCTTTTTTGTCAAAATAACTTGAACCAAGGGTGCCTTGAAGTTATGGCATTTAAAGCTTTCCGTTAGATTGAACGCTCATATAAGAATATACCCGCAGAAAGGAGTTTCTTGACTTGAGGGCAGAGCAATGAACATTTGCAAACACGCAGATAGAGTATGATTACATATGCGTATTTGTGTATGTGAACGCGTGACCTTAAATGATTATGTAAGTCTTCATCTTCCTATCCATTTTGAGATTAATACCTTGAAAACTTTTTTTTTCCTTTCAAATAGTATCCGAGGAAGTTTGCGTGTCAAATTTCAAAATTATAATTCAGCATTTTTAGCTGCGCAATAGATTCCATTAATTTTTTCTAAGCATTATAGTAATACTTGAAAAAACAATCCGTTCATAAATATTGTGCTATCTCTGCGGATTAAAATATATGTATTATTCATTACACCCAGAGAAAACATATATTTGTCTTAGAGCTAAATAAATATTTTTTTGTTTCAAATAAATATTGTTTGTGTGAAGCAAATAATTTTTATTTAAAACAAAGAGGTAGTCATTTAATCTAGACTTAAAATGTAGTTGTAAACTGTAAGGAGAAAATTCTTTTTGGATAATATGTTAACTTGCGTTATTCTGCACTGTTAATTTTACATGATTCGTTGTGACGTGGCGGAAAGGTGTGGTATTCTTGAAATCTCTTGAAACAAGTCTACCACTTGAATCCGCTGACCACGAGAAGTCAAAGAAAAAAGTTGGTGTCCGCAAAAGAAGAAAGCCGTCGGCCGCATATGGTATAGACGTCCAGTGCGCTTTACCAACCATTCGTGTCCTCAATTCGAGTTGTAACAAATTTATTTTCTATTCTTTATTATAGCAAGGGGGTAGAATTTTATGTCTTTTTACAACATCTTCTAATTTTTAAATCTACTTTCAACGCCCACCTATAAACCTGGAATTTTCTCAAAGTTGAAAATACAACAAAATTTCAGCATAGCTTGAATTATAATTTAATTAAATTGCAGCATTTATCATTGTAAATTGTACATTTATTGATGAATATTATGTTTTAACAGCTATAAAATAAATAGAGTTTTCGATGAATTCAACAGAACAACTTGCACAATAATTCAGTTGTAGGACGTACGATCAATGTTAGAGAGTTCAAAGTCTGTCGCATATTTTAAATGCTACACGTTTAAACCGAGAATGTTTCAGACATAAAGTCCCCTGTTCACATTTCAACCTCAAGTCTCAGTCTCAGAGTATATTTTACAGTCATTTGCCGTGATACCTTGGCCACGTCGAACTCACAAGATAATAAAGGTTTCATTTTTTTTCACCAACTGACATATAACTTACATTGATAGGTAATACAATGAAAAATATTTTAAACATAAATTTTAACTTTTACTTGAGATTTTAGTGACAAGACTGAGAATATTTAAAAAAAAAAAACATCTAATCGTGTGAGATTGAAATAAAAAAAAGTCTTTGCTCCATCAGATATATAAATTGGAGCAGCTCTGAACATGATTTACCCTCCTCTGCAAAGAGAAAGCAATCAATAGGTACAATAAACCTTACCTTTTTAAAAAAATAAAAAGCAGTTTCCTGTCGTTATACTGATAAAAACCACTTTTTCACTACATGAATTAAATGCAATAAATGAAATCAATTTGTAGTACCTACCAAGTTTATTTTATTGACATCAGATAACGTCGAATAAACTGGAAAAGTAACTTAGTATATGCAATGACACTGGTTTATCTTTTAGAAATTAACGTATTAAAAATATAATAGGAACAAACATATAAAATGTAAACTTGAATTATTTTTATAGTTTTTTCAGAGTAAATGATGTAAATTACTTTGTTGTAGATCGGGACACGCCGCTATCTTTACCTCCACATTCTAATCCTTTACAAACATCTCCTCGTGGATTAGGATATACTTGCGGTCCTTTGGATGGATCAATTTATGCAGTGGTACATCCACCTACAGGAGGTGGAACTCGTGGTTCTCCACTGACTGTTTCCATGGACAGTGGAATTAGTAGTGGACCACCACAACGATCTAGTCCCCCTGAAATTGAAGCTGAAAATCAAGCTCATGGTGATCTTGATAAATTATTACACGACATGATGCTTACCGTTGAGGTATGGACTTGAAATATACAATTTTTCTTTCCTCTCTAAATCTGAATTAGTAAAATATTTCAATATTAGTACTTTAACATTTTACTAACCAATTAGTAGATTTATCAACTCTTTTACTAATGAATTAAAGGTACTAATCAAGAAGTGAAATTGTCACGTGACGATAATATTTATTTCAAGTCTAATGTGTTGAAATTATTAAAATTATTCTATTATTGATGACGTTCAACAATGATTATTTTCAGTACTTTATTGTAAGTACAATACGCGTTACCGGTATACACATTGTTATCATTGTCTTATCTATATATTATAAATTCTTTTTATGTGCATCTGATTAAAAATATTGACATAATATTTTTATTTTCTTATAATTATTAATTTCCTAGAATAAACTCTTAACCTCAAAGTTTTTGATTTCGATCAATTACTAAACTATATTGAAACTCGACAGTGTCTTTATGTATTATTTTTCTAAAAATATTTCTAGAAAAGATTAACAATACTAAGAAAAGAAGAATTAAAATTAGTAGAATTTCACTAATTCAGAATTAGAGAGTTCATTTTATCCATAATAAATTTAATTTCCCAGCCCATCAATTTTAATATAGTATCAAGAAATTTTGTTTGTTTGTAAGTTAAAATGTATATTCTATAATCACAATAGTATGTTACTGTAAGAATAAACTTTTGTCTAATTATACGTAAATTGAAGTAAGTTTTCACTTGTAACATTACGTTGGCTAAAAATGAATTTACAAAATTAGAATTTGTTAAACTACAATTCTTTGGATGAAAATAGTTGCCATTATGAAATCTAAATAATTTATTTACCTATAAAGTTTTACCTTTATCCCTAAGTCATCTGTCATTTAATCTGATCTGTTTAACTTTAATGCTCAGTCAATGCCAGATGCCCCAACGAACGAATTTCATCGAACAGACAGAAATGGTTCTCGAAGTTATAGTAGTCACGGCAGTCATCCCACTTCTTCGAATTATTCGACCTTGAAGGATTCGTATAGGAGTTACGGTGCTGGAAAAGAATCGAGTAGTCCTTCTGTTCGCACAGACTTTGGAAGAGTGTACGACGCAGTTGACTTTCGAGGATCTCCCGATCGAAAATATGGCGATTCATTTTCACCTCTTGGAAATATAGACTTCATTGATGACGACATTCCCTATCACGCGAGACAAACTAGTCAACCATTCTCTTATGGTGCCACTTCAGATATGATTAAACATCAAAAACTCTCTTCACCATCATTAGTTAGAAAGGCGTCTGCACCTGTTGTTGATATAAATGATATTCTCGGAGAAAGTACAAGTCCCATCAGCCCTCATAATTCTTCAGCGCCTCCTCAACCTCCGACAGAATTTTCCAATGGTTCAATTAAACACAACATGGAACACATTGATGGGTGAGTACATTACTTTTTTCTAAAGTTAAATATACACATAAACAAAATCGACTAATCACTTTAGATTTAAGATAAATGTGTTTTTTACTAGCAGACAGGATATAAATGACGTTAATTAAGAACCAAAAAAAGAGAATTTGCAGATTTGTGCTTTCGGTTAAAATTTAAACTTCAGAATTTATTGAATTTTAATCTGAACACCAAAATGTCAAAAATTTAAGAGAAATTTTGTAAAATTTGTACAGATTAAAAATTATTATATCTGTTTCTGGTAAAATAATTTTAAACGCAATAAAAATGAACCTAGTAGGTGGAATTTATGCATCTTTTTAATATTATTAAAATTTGTGTTTTGATACTTCAAAAGAAGTAGTATATATACAGCAGAAAATAAAAAAAATTAGATTAAAGAACAAACTGAACAAAAATTTCCTTTTTAATAAACGACGATTAGTATTAAATGCGGAAGCGTATGTTATTTGACTCTATTTGAATATTCAATTAAAATATTATGGGAATGTAGGAGGAAGTAACCTACTCATTTTTTTAAAATATGGAATAGTATAGTTATTCAATTTTATAAACCAGTAGTACATAAAATTCACTATACGTTGTATATATTAAAATTTGATTAACATTTATAAGTAGATAAATAAATTATAGTAAAACGTAATTTAAAATTTATTTTTAGTTTTGTAAATTATAAATATACCGCTCAGAAATAAAGTACATATTTATGGAAAAAAATTTCTCAAGTGATCCTACATCAAAAATGTAAATTATGGATTCTTTGAAAAGTCATATAACTATTATGCAATAAAGTTAACAATTTAACCCTTTTTGACAAGTTTTATCCTGATCAGAGAAATTTTTTTGAGTTGGATCGCTTCAAAAATTTTGCCCCTTATATATTGTATAATCTTATTATGTCTAAAATAAAATTACTTTTAAAATTATATAGTTTAGCACTTAAAAAGTTTTCCAAATTATATTTCAAATAATTCTATTAAAAAAACGAGCATTACGCATATTGTCGTCTCACTCGCACTCATGGACTATGACTGACATGATGGTATTCCTATACGGTATATACTTTTGAAAAGTTAGTGAAATTAAATGTTCAAGTTGCTATATGAGGCTTGAGTTAAGATGAACAAGACGTTTACGGTCAAGGAATTCGACTGACGGGTTTATAGTTGATTGAATTTTCCAAGAGAGAGTTTTCTGTTTCAGTTTGTAAATATTCTTGCAAATACATTATTAACTTATTCATTCGATGAATGAGGTGAAAATTTTATGTTTAAATTTTATAAAATATACTTATTATGGTATTGTGACATAATTAATAAAAGTCATGGAAAAATGAAGAAAGAAAGAAAGAAAGAAATCTAGCCTTGTATAATATTTTAAGAACCCGGCCGCCCTCTGACATAATTATAAATATAGAACAGACGAGACGCGCTAATTCAGCCGTATACTACAACGATATAACTTTTCTTTTATAAGTTTTACTTATTTCTGTTGAGCAAAACATATTTATTACGGCATAGTTCAGGTTTTCGTAATTCTTATGATCTATAAAATTAATGTACTTATATATACACATGATGAAAATTAATATATCCTGTAATGTTAAATTCATTAAAACTTTAGACTGTCCTGGTTGAGGCAACAGCAGTTAAAATTGGCAGCAAGAAAAGATGAGAGAAATCCAGCAAAAATTTGGAGACTGGAAGCTGGAAATCGAATGCTTGGTGAACTGAAAACAGTACAAAGATCACGATTGAGGCACGACGGATATGCCAGTGACTCGGCAATTTTAGATGATGAAGATGATTATTGGACAAGCAGCCCGATTTCAGTCCAAGTGAGTTTTTCAAATAGAACAACTTTTGCCATGCAGTCAGAAAATTTTTGAAATAATTGGAATAGTAAAATTTCTAATATTCAATATAGGTTTTAAAATGTTGATTTTTGCCGTAAACTGTACGCGATTGTGAGACAATAATTGTGATTGGAGGAAAATTTTTTGATTCAGAGAACATCAGCTCCATCGAGTCCTTTACTTCCGCAGAGATCGACCAGTATTGGAAATTCAACTCTCGGCAGATCGAGAACAGAAAGTGTGAATGAGAGACCTTTTGTTGCCGTAAAAAGGGCTTACGATTTTCGTAAATACCACGACAATCAGGTATTTAATTACACAAGTCAGAAAAAATTAAGTCACTTTTAATTAGAGATCGACACGAAAACGAATCTGCTTTTAATAATTTACCTTAAAAATATTTGTAAACAAATTTCGTTCTGAAAATGAAAATAAGTATTCTGTAACTTATAAAATAAGCAACTAATTTTTGTTAATATATATTATTAGAGAGACTTGTATTTTGACTAGCACACATAATATAGTTTTTAGAAAAGCATGTAGCCTGAAACAGATAGAGCTTGACTTGCAATTACAGAGTCCATCATCCTTACATGCAGCATTAATCGCAGCTCCACCCGTAGGCCTAATCCATCATCAAAATTTAAATCGAACGAATAAGCAGATTCAGCAGCCACCTAGGCCAGAATTGCGTAGCGATAGTTTTGCACGAGCAGAAACTCTGCTCAAAGAATATCGACTCTTTAACAATTTTCTTACTGAATCTATAAATGTGCAAAATAATAGTCACGAATCAAAAGAAACAATACCTGGAAGTCGCGAGGTATATAAAATTGAATCAGAAGACGCAGGTCTACTGACTGTTGTGGATCAAGGTGACTCCTTAAAGATTACGGATGAGAGTCATCATCTTCACTCCTTGACTGACGTCTCATCCCTACATGGATCACCAACTACTAACCAAATTGCTCACGTCAATTTAGTTTCACCTGACACATCAATCATCAACACTATGATCAGCACCACTAACAGTACCCCTAATCAGTCGCCAAATGCATGGCAGAGTAGTGTACAGGTTTGTCGCATTTTGCATTGCTTTTTCACCTCTTTATTCAATTTTTGCTTTTTTAATTGCACCAGTTATCGAGGCTGATCCAATTCTCGTGAAAAGTCCATTTCTTTTAATTATAATTGTTATATATTGAAGAATCATCATTTTATGAGACACGAGAATTGGTACAAATAGCCATCAAGGCGCGAATTCAGAATAGGGACCACGACTGTTTGTTCTTTCTACATCAAGTCTTAGTAACTATGAATTTAATCTTTTTAATTATAAAAAAATACCTTTGATGCCTTCTTTCCCAAAACTCTTGTTTGGATCCACTCCAACATCAGTTACACCTGAAAAATTTAAAAATATCAAATTTCTTCTTAAAAAGTATTTTTTTTTAAAAAAACTCTTTAAAAAGTTTATAGAAAATTCATAAATATGAAAATAAATATATTATTATAAATTTTATAAAAATTCATTGAAAAAGAAATTCGCAAAGCAAATTTTTTTTTACTTTTTAATTATGTACTATTTGAATATAAAATCATTAAACAAAAAAAATACAAAGCAGTATTCATAAAAAAACGTGTAAAAAATAAAATATTTTTAAAAATATTCACATGTAAGTAATTTTAAAAAATTGTGTTTTAATTCATATAATGTTTTACTTAATAGAAATGTAAAATAGCTTTTTCATTTTTAATAATATCCAATGAAGCTTTAATTAGTTTATATATGTACACAAGCATAATAATAATTATGAATAACTTATTTGAACATTTACTTTGCTTTTTCATTAAGTAATTTGTGAAGCAATATATTTGTTATAAATGCATTTCCAGTCTCACAATGATTCCTCATCGTGGACAGAGAGAAGTACAAGTCCCGGCGCTTCTCGACCGCAGACTCCAGCATTTCCGGTTCCACGCACACCATACGTGAACACATCTCCCACAGTGACTTTTGCACCTGATCGCAATTATATTACACCAAATATTAACGATTCTGGGTACAATATTAATAACAATCATATTGATTCTGGAATTGGCAACATGAACAATAATTATATGAATCGAGCAATTTATATTGAGGAACGCAGAGACACAGCTAGGCATCAAAGACTTCCTCCCAAAAGTCCGACAATTCAACGGTAAGTTAAGTTACATTTGGGTGAGTCCGTGGCTTAAATTTTTTATTTAGCTAATTTTTTTTCATTTCTTTGTACTCTACGGAAAAAAAGTACTATGATTTTTTTAAATTTCTTTTTATAAAATCGTGTATCCATGGATTTTTCAAAATTTTAGATTTTTGTGATAACTAAAACTCTTAAATAAAAATTAATTTATAGGCTCTTGTGTTTATCTTATAAAGTATGCAAAATTTTTAAAAATATATTATTTTTCATATAAATTTTCATATTTATTTTCTATGTTTTAAGAAACAAACAAAAAACCATTGAATTTGGGGACTTTTTTTATGATTTTCACAACGAAAATCAAATTTCAGAGTACTTTGACTTATTAAGAAAAAAAAATAAAATTGATAATCAAATCAAAAATATCGATTTCGATATGTTGAGTCGGCAAGGAAGGACTTCCCCATATATTCCTTAATATTGCAAATAATAAGTTTTGTTTTTATTTTAAATTATTTATATGTTTTTATAGCAAACCAGACGAATTGGCAGTTTCTCAATATGGTGTAACTGGTGTACCAACACATTTCGACTTCACTCAAAGTCCTAAGGTAAGAAGAAAAATTTATATTAAGATAAATAAAAAATTAACCTACACAATATAAGAAATTTTTCTCAATATTTTCTAAAGTTGATTTGAAATCTTTAAAATATTCATTTGCGAGGTTCACGAAGTATCTATTTAATATTGAAATTTTCACTTATAAGGAAATATTGAACTCAAAACTTAAGCGAATATTATACAGCAATATTGAGGCAAAATTAATAATGTTGAGTGTAAATTTTAATATAAAACTGACTTTTCGTAAGCTTGTAGATTGCACATCAACTTTAGAAAATAGTCAGAAAATTTCTTGGTCTGTGTAGGAAGTTAGTATTGAAAAAAGTATGATTTAAATTTTTATTGAAAATTCTATAAAAATAAAATATTTGTATGCCTGAATTAACGTGAACAATAACAATAATTATTATCTTTAAACATTACATGTGCAATAAAACATTTTAATGAGGGATCAAGATTTTCATCAACTACGGTTACAAGTGAATCACTGTAATTAATCAATCAGTCTAGCTTAAGAGAATTAATTGAATAATAAGTGCTTAATCGAAGTTGGTGAAATCTCATAAAGGGTCAAGTTATCATCCCAATCAACCTTCAGACGGTATTAACAAACGATAAAATAATTTGTTTTGCTCCTTTCAGTCTGCAACATCGTACAATTCAATAAACAGCGTTGGTCCAACATCCATTCAAGTTCAGTATTATACTTCGAGACGGTCTAGCATTCATTCGAACACGGAACCACAGGAAGTTGCGGATGTCAACGTTAAATTTGTTCGTGACACAAGCAAGATTTGGTATAAACCAAATATATCCCGAGAACAAGGTGATTTAATTCTCCAAATATTTTATATAAATAATATATTTGAAGTAAAGAAATTTGAAAACAAACTTTGTTTCAGCAATTTCGATGTTGAAAGATGCAACTCCAGGTACATTCGTGGTTCGTGACAGTAATTCATTTCCTGGTGGCTTTGGTTTAGCACTTAAAGTAGCAACTCCCCCACCTGGTGCACCATCATGTGAGCTTGTTAGACATTTTCTAATTGAACCCACGTCCAGGGGAGTGCGACTCAAAGGATGCGCCAATGAACCAGTCTTCAGTTCCCTTTCCGCTTTAGTTTATCAGCACAGCTTGATGGCAATGGCTTTGCCAATTCAATTGCTGCTTCCAGAACCGGATGCGACACTGAGATCGCTTGACTCACCAGGAACAAATAGTGCACAACAACTTTTAGCGCAAGGAGCTGGTAATTATCTTGTCAATTTATACTCAAGGAAGGTTTATTAACTTGTCGAGTAATAAATTTGTTCTTTGTTGCAGCCTGCAATGTACTGTACTTATTCACATTGGACACCGAGTCGCTAACTGGACCTCAGGCTATCAAAAAAACAATTGCAATGTTATTTAGTCAGAAGCCTCTTCCTGTTGCTACCATAGTGCACTTTAAGGTTTCCACACAGGGCATTACTTTGACTGACAATGCCCGCAAACTTTTCTTTCGCAGACATTACCCTACGAATAATATCAGTTATTGCGGTCTCGATCCTGATGAACGCTCTTGGAATTTTATCAGCGATGTCACTGGAAGAGCCCTTAGTGCCCAGTAAGCATCTCTCCCACTCTCTTCTTTTTTTTTCTTTTTTTTAACTTTTTTAAAACTATTTTCTAACACTGACATTGTGCATTTCAGTCGTTGCTTCGGATTCATTGCACGAAAACCGGCTCACAAATCCGACAACCAATGCCACATCTTTGCTGAATTGGAGCCCGAGCAACCGGCTGTAGCTATTGTTAATTTCGTTAACAAAGTTATGATGGGCAATTCTCATGTAAAAGCAAACATCGTCTGATATAACACTGAATCAAAATCTTGTAAGAAACTGTCGTTAAACTTTTCTTTGCTTAATTTAATCACGTATTTATTGTTGTTTATTGTTTTAACTCACAATAGTTCAAACAATGAAATTGAATGCCAGCAAGATAAGTCAATTTCTTATTTATTAAAATATAAATAATACCTTACAGTTAATGAAAAGTACCTAATTTTCACAATAAAAAAATTAGCATTGAATCAAAAGGATATTTTAAATAAACAAAAAGTAAATATTTTTTTTGAAAGAAGAGAAAGAGAAACTGCCTTGAAAGTTTGTTTAAGAAAATATTACTTGTAGAATAATGTAAGGTAATTAGATTGTTGAGAGGATAACATTTTTTCGATAGTCTTATTCACAAGATAATAAAAGTTAAAAGTCTATTCGAGTATATATTACGACTGTTGCAAGCCAATATTGTTATTATATTGCATGTCGATACATGTTTATATAACTGTATATAATATTAACGCTTTAAGAAAAGTTAACATAAGTTTCTTTTAAAGGGAGTTTACTTACGATTTAAAAACTCTGACAAAAACTAGATATTTCATTAATATAAAGTCCGATAAAGTCTTGAATAATATAAATTAAGGTTCTTGCCATTATAAGAGATGACGATTGTAGCTTATGAAATAAGCTCGTCTATTACTATGCCTAGAAACGTTGACAGTCAATTAAAATCAAATAAGTACGACAATATTGATCCTAATAAATTTACATCCTATCCCTTTAAAAAATAATTTTGCCAGTCTTAAATAAATAACAGTTTAATGTTAATTTAACTTCAGTCAGTACAATTATTGTAATGATTATTATATTTATATTCAACCTCTTTCCACATATATGCAATGATTATAATAAAATAACAAATAAAATATAATATTTCATTTATTTTCCTTCTGCAACATCGTTTTACTAATTTAATAACATTGAAACTATAAAATTTAAACAAAAAATGCAAAAAATATTATAAAGTTATTATCAGATGTGCAAAATCTAGGTTATCTTTTCATCAAATCATGGCATATCATATAGATTATATTTTTATTAATGATATTAATCTAGATATATCTTTCCAAAAAATTACTGATGCACTAAAAAGGTTACGTAATTTTCCATTAAAAGAATAACTTAATTTTTACGCGACTCCACAAATTATAGATTGAAAATTCTCAACTATTGATATTTTATTATTTTGGAATATTAATTTTAAAGAATAACACAGCCCCACAAAAAAAAGTGTCATGTACTTTTGACCGGAATACCCTATCCCTATGTATTTTGACGCGCTGAACACGAATCCGAAGTCCGTTTTGCTCCATCACGTTAGGATTTTTTCTAACCTCAAAAAACATGTCGGATTTTGAGAAGTAGGCGATTTTTTTAAAAATTGATGTATTAACTTCAAACTTGGTATCTGGGGGTTTTTTGTGTCGCTGATTACGAATCTGAAGTTAGATTTTCAAAATCCAAAATGGCGGATCCAATATGGCGGACGAATTTTGAAAAAATTTTAAGATTTACTTCAAACTTGGTATCTAGGGGTTTTTTGGGTCGCAGATTACGAATCTGATGTCAGATTTCAAAAATTCAAAATGGCATATCCAACATGGAGTTCTATCGGCCATATTAGATACGCCATTTTCAATTTTTGAAAATCTAACTTCAGATTCGTAATCAGCGACACAAAAAACCCCCAGATACCAAGTTTGAAGTTATAATACATCAATTTTTAAAAAAATCGCCTACTTCTCAAAATCCGACATGTTTTTTGAGGTTAGAAAAAAATCCTGACGTGATGGAGCAAAACGGACTTCGGATTCGTGTTCAGCGCGTCAAAATACATAGGGATAGGGTATTCCGGTCAAAAGTACATGACACTTTTTTTTGTGGGGCTGTGTAATTAATAAATAAATATGGCTGCGAATCGCAAAAGCTTAATGAAGTTGAAAAATAATATTCTTGAGTGTAATCAAAATGTGCTTTCTTTTTACTCACCAGATTTCTTCAGTATTACGATCTTATTTATAATCAATCGGTTTGTTTCGATTCAAGACATTTAATTTTTTATTTATTAAGATGTATTTTAAATAGAACAAATTTTTATGAAAAAAACGTGTTTTGAAGAAAAAATGTGCTAAAAAATTTATTTTAGTGTTCCTAAAAATTCCTGCACACAATTCTTGATATTAATGAGTACAATAACTGTACGACCAAAAAAACCAAGAACACCAATTCTCGAGTGAAATATTTGTTTTAACAAAAATATTTACATGCAATCATTATATTAACATTATATCAATAATTTAATCCAAAAAATATAGTTGGAAATATAAAGATTATTTAGAAAATATTTTTGTTTTTAAAATTTTTTGCAATATACTATTTTTATCAAAAAGAAAATTATGAACTTCGAAACTTACGTACTTACGGTAATTGGTGCACTTATCCTAAATTTTTAAAATTGAAATATGGAAAAAATCAACAAATACATTGATTCCAAAGGTTAAAATGTGATTCTTATCTCTTATAAATATGTAATAATCATTAGTTGAGAATTGTATCTATTTTTTAAAGTAAAAAATAGTAGGAACATTAATATTCAAACTTTAAAAGATTCGCCCATATATCTATGGAATAAAAAATTATTATTTTATTTAATATTAGTTTCTAAAAAATAAAGACTTGAATTTGGAAGGAAATTTTTTATATTAAAAATATTTAAGTGATTAAGTAATTTGTCAGACATGTTTTATCATGATCTAGAGATGAAAAATAATGTACATCTTTTATTTTCAATTCATGAATCACAAGGTCCAAGTGCAGGTAATCGACCTAATAAAATAAATATCTGATAAAAATTTCATGAATGTGTAGCGAATTATATATAGTTATCTTTTTTTATAGATAACTTATTTTAAGAATATAAATAGGTGAATTTCGTTACTAGAAGTTCAATCAGTCCAAAATGTTGCTCAGGTATATCATTCTTGCATTCACTGTATATGGTATGTATATTACAAATTAAGCGTTTTTGTAGTTTTGCTTATTTAACATTTTACATAAATTTTTAATTTTAATTCAAATGGCTTTAACAGTAATTATATCAGTGAATGGAAATTTGTGGAATTTTCGAATCGTAAAGTATGATAAAAAAATGAAAATTTAAATGCCAAATATTTCTCTAAAAACTATAGAATTATTTAATTGAGAAATTATTAGTTTCTATTTTCACAGTTAAAATTTTATTATTATATTATTATCAGTAATTTAATTTTCGTTTTATCCAAAAAATAAATTTATGTGCATTATAATTCAAACTAAAAATTTGCAGTCGTGGCAGCTTTACCCAGAGAAGGGTTGACACCACGTATCACAGATGGAAAAACAGCAAAAGTTGGACAATTCCCATATCAAATTTCATTAGAATGGTCGATTTTCCCTATGTTAGGTAAAAAGCATAACAAATTAGATTTTAAATGCAAATATCTAATATACTGCGCGTTAAGATCTGGATAATATATATAAGTATCCATTTCTTAAATATTTAATATAGATAACTTTGTTAATATTCATTTTTCTCCGTGTATGTTAGTTCCGTACACACATGTTTGTGGTGCTTCGATTGTAAATGAAAATTGGGTTTTAACTGCTGGACATTGTTTGACTGAAATTCCTAAATTTGGAAAAATGAGAATAAACGCCGGAAAGTACAAAATTATGGAAGCTGGACCAGAGCAACAACTTATTAAAATTTCTAGGAAAGTTGTCCACGAAAAATATCCAGGGTAAGGTTCTCAAACAATACAGTATATTTAATGAACTATTTTTTTTAGTATAAAAATAAAGTTTCTTTTTTCTAATCATTATATATTGAAAAACTATTATAATGTAATATTATAATGTATTATAATTTTGGTAGAATGCACTTTAAAAATTATTATAATTTTTGTATCTCTAAGTTGCAGTTAGTCTTTCCGAATTTTTGTTATTTGTAGAGATATTACTATTAGCAAGGTTGCCAAATTTGTAACTTATTAATTAAACACCTTACCATTTATTTCAGAGGTGTTGCGCCTTATGATATTGCTTTGCTGAAATTAGAAAAACCTCTTGTATTTAATGATCATGTTGGCCCAGTTTCTTTGCCACAACAAGATGAAGAGTTTGAAGGAGAAGTAGTTCTCTCTGGATGGGGAAGTGTTTCAAAGAAAGTGATCCCAAGTTTACCAAAAGTTCTTCAGTATGCTGAAATGCCATTGGTTGATTATGAAACATGTAAAAAAGCACTTGGCACTTATGAAAAAGATGCTAAGCTTTACAAAACTCAAATTTGTACTGGCCCCATCACAAAGACAACATCTGCCTGCTCGGTAAGCATACAATATACATTCTGTCAGAATTTTGGAACAATATTTTTTATACTTTTGGCAAAAATGCTCTTGATTCAATAGCATATTTTTCTCAGTGTATAAATTATTCATTTCAACTTACTGCACACACAACAATAAGAGTTTAAAATCCTAAAATTATAATTTATCATTTGCATTCCAGGGTGACTCTGGTGGCCCTCTCGTGAAAACGGTCAAAGACACTCCAGTTCAAGTTGGAATTGTTTCCTGGGGAATGTTGCCTTGCGGTCACGGTGCTCCATCGGTGTACACACGCGTTGCCTCATATGCTGATTGGATTAAAGAAAATATTCAAAAATAAATTAATTTTAATAAAAAATTCTATAAAAACATACCTAAATCTTGTTTTTTTATTATTTATTAATAATATTAATTAATTATTTATTATATATTTTACTTATAAAAGTTCAATATCGATGAAAATTATACTAACATTGATTTCAAAATCATACAACTCTATTAAAAGTACAAGTTTGTTTATCCATTCAGTCCTAAATGTCCGTTTTTGTCCACATTCATGCTAATGGTCTTCGATGTTGTCAACCTTAAAAAATTTCCAAGTAGTAGATTTTATGTATTTCAGCCCACTCTTTTAGAATCTTTAAGAGAAATTAATTTTCTATACTTATTAATAAGGATAGAAAGTTATGATTATTTAAACAAACAAAAATAAGTATTTTTTGTGTTTTTTATTGAAATTATATTTTTATACCCAAATTGTTGAATAAATTAGAAAAAATTTAGAATTTTAAATTTCAGACAGGCATAATGGGCCAAAAAATAAGTTTTCAAAAATTCAAAATTGCGCAACCAAAATAATCGCTAAAAAAGAGTAAATTCAAAAAGTTGATCTAACCTTACGAAACTCGGAGGTTTCTGGTGTCAAATATTAATATTTTTTCTTTTAAATTCGGAAAGCGGGGCTTAAATACATTGTTAGATTTTTCAATAATTAGTTCTAATAATTTTATTTTATTTCTAAAATATTGTTTTTGTAATAAAATTTTTGCACGCATTGGTAACACCATTAATATAAATCATAAAAAACAGAAGTAATCGGTGAGATAAATATTAGAAGATAAGATTTCATATTGACATCATAATTAGCTGCGTTCTATTAAAATTGAACTCATCCATCATTTAATTCCGCAGAAATCAGTGTTAATTGCTTTTGATTTACAATTTTTTTCATTGTTTAAGTTTGTAAGAAAAATGTATAATCATCATTTGAATTAAATTGAGATCTCGTACATTATATCTTGGGGTCCTTCTGTACTTATGGAGTGTCATAAGTGGATTAGAGGATTTTTGAAATGATGAATAGTCGATTACTCTGATAAAAGGCCGGAATATAAGTATGTGCGCTGGAATGGTGAAATATCACAACTTTCAAAATGAAGTTGATACTCATCGGATTTTTTCTCATTGCACTTGTAAATGCAGGTAAGTTGATTATTTTATTTTATTTTCTTTCTAAGATAATAGTAGTATATCTGAAATGTAATAAATTGCATTATTATTTAATATTATGAATATTTGTTGAAATTTTTTAGAATTACGCGTAGGCTTTAATTTACCGCCACTATCTGGACGAATTGTGGGTGGTTCTGAAGCATCCAAGGGACAGTTTCCACATCAAGTGTCATTACAATGGGGCATGCCGCCTTTGATTAAAAATAAACACTTTTGCGGAGGATCAATTATTAACGAATTGTGGATTCTTACTGCCGGTCATTGTATCCTGGCAGTTCCCAGTTATGGTCAATTTACTATAAAAGCCGGTAAACATTCCCTCAGTTCAACAGAAACTACAGAACAATCGATTCAAGCGTTAAAATCAATAGTTCATGAAAAATACAAGGGGTAAGTTTAATTCACAATTATAACAAGAAATATATTTAACTTTGCAATAAGTTTTATCGTGTTATAAATTAACTGTGGCATAATTCAAACCATGAAATTATTAATAACTCATTTAAAGAATTTTAATATACTTTAAATAATACGAAAATATTTAATGATACATGTATTTTTCTTACAGTGGTGTCAATCCTTACGACATTGCTCTAATAAAACTGAAAAAACCTTTAACTCTAAATAAAGCGGTGAATATTATCAAACTTCCAAAACAAGGCTCTGAACATACCGGTAAAGTAATTTTATCCGGTTGGGGATCAACTTCAACTATTAACAATGCAATAATGCCTGACACTTTGCAAACAGTAAAACTTCCATTGGTTGACTTAAGAACTTGCAAAAGTGCCATTGAATCTCTTACTGGACCATCCCCTCTTCATGAGACAAACGTTTGCACTGGACCCTTGACAGGAGGAACTTCTGCTTGTAGCGTAAGTTTTCTTCTTTTTTCAATAAGTGACAAATATTATTATTTACTTTTAATTAATTAAAAATTAATCTTATTATATTATCAGGGAGATTCTGGTGGTCCATTAATATCAAACATCACACCAGGAAGCTCTGAAGTTATTGGTGTTGTTTCATGGGGAATTATTCCTTGCGGTTCTGTTGGAGCCCCCTCAGTTTATACCAAAGTTGCGTCTTACGTGGATTGGATAAAAAATACTATTGATAGTAATTCATGACTTTTATACTTTTAGTTATTATATTTTCTATTTTATAAAACTTGTAATAAAAATTTAATACAAAAATATTTTCTCTTATTTCTTGCTATGAATGCATATAAAAATGACCCTTTTCATAAAAGTTTCAAAACAATTACCTAGTACTGTTAAGTTTCATTGTATAAAAATAATTTTTCAATTTGCTATTTGAGACTCTTTTAGATTTATCATACCTATTAGAGTAAAATTTTATAGGAATTATTTTTTGCTCCATACATTGGCGTTTCTTTTATAAAACTCTTAGATAAACATTTTTGCTAATTATTTAATTAATTCTTTTTATACACAATACAATATATTTACAAATAGATTATTCCTTAATAGATGCCTCGGTAATTACTTTCACAGCCTCCAGTGCTTCTTTTGCGGTTGGAACAATGTAACGTGCAGGTAAAACAAATCCATATCTTCCTCTGTCTTGCAATTCTATTGTATAGGTATATTTGATTTTATGAATGGCCTTTGCCCAATCATCAGAACCACCAGCAGCAGCATAAAGAGTTGAAGCACTATTTCCAACTGTATAATCATTTCCTCCAACAGCTTTCATTGCAAGTGCTGCTTTTTGTCCAACTCTATCGAGATCAGAATAATCCGGAGGTACTCGACGGTCATATCCCCAAGGATACAAAATATATTGACCATAACTGTGAAACGATAAAAATGCCTGAAAAGAAATTTCAAAAAATTATATTTTATTTTATTTTCATTTTTTAAGAATTTATTTCTCAATTCACCTTGAAATTTGCAGCACTCGCTTCAAAGAAGTTTTTAATAGCATTAGTTTCTGGCTCTGAAAACGGCCCAGTTCCGGCAAAAATTTCTCTGCACGGCTGCTTACTTGTTCCAAGACCACCCCAACGGTAACCATAATTTCTGTTTAGATCAACTCCAATGCAAACACCTCCTTTTTCGGGATTATTTCTATTCTTTCGCCATAATCTATCGCCTCTGAATGTGTACTCATATCTAGAATGGTATACAATTATTGAATCACATTGGGAAAAATATTCTTGATATTAATTAAAAAATTACCCGTCAGGATTGACAACTGGAAGGATGTAATATTCAGCTTCAAGTGTTTCACTATTTTCTACAAGATAATTAATTATGTAAGTTACTGAAGCGGGCGAAATCCATTCACGTGCATGTATTCCACCATCAATCCAAATTGCAGGTGTTCCTGGCTTATTGTTGGTTATACGAATAACCTGAATGTAAAATTTACATATATCAAATAATTTGGCACTTTCATTAATAAATTTCAATTTAATGTCTCTTAGTTAGAACTATGAATTACATGCCTTCAACGATCTTCCTTCTACAGAAGTACCGATCGACATGACAGAACAAATCTGAGGGAATGTCTGAGCAAGATAGTCAAGGTATCCATGAATATCTTCAAGTCGATGGTAGGTGGTCCATTCCATTCGATGTCCTAAATATTAAAAAATTTAAGTTTATGTATACACTGTTCACTGAAAACAAGAAAAGAGAGAAAAAGTCTCAACGCAAGCGTCAATATACCCCTAAGGAATCAACTTTATAACATTAATGAAAAAAAATTATTTTCATAATCCTATAAAAGTAATGTTTGATTGTACGAATTAGTGAAGATAATGTTAAGCAAAGCAGCTCACCCTTCCAAAGCCAAGTGGCACCTACACCATAATAAGAAGGGACTCGTGGAAATTTACTTCGTATCTTGAACGCGATTCCCTTCCACCGAGCATATCTAGCTACAAGAAAACCACTTTTACCGTGAATTCAAATTAGTATGCCCTCATCGTGAGATAATTATTTCCATTTTTACTATATTCATAATTATAAACATGGTATCAAAAAAGATAATATTTTTAAATTTTCTCACACCAAGAAAACTTTCAGTATCATTATATATGACTCGCCCTTACAAACATTTTCAAACTGGTTTTTTCGGTTCAGCGATGTGTATTAGTCGACAACCTTGTGAAAAGGAACCATTCTATTTGAAACGTGCAAATAATTTGACCGGTTCTTAAGTTTCTGAATCATAAAGTCAAATCTGAAAGCTAACGGTATAAGTTGTTTTTCACCGTTATGAAAACATATACTGTGCGCATTAAATCAAGTATCAATATCCAGTTCATTTGTGGAAATAATAAAAACAAATGTTTATTATTTTGATAAATCATTATTGTCCCCGTGCAGCATTTTTTTTTATATTCAGACAAGAGTTCTCAATGAGATAATGTATCAATGCAAACAGAAGTTTTTCAATATGTCGAAGTATGTATTTTAATAAAAAAACATTTTGAGAACAATGTTTTAAAACAGTGCTAATTTTTCCAAGTTTATTTGCGAATTTGTGATAAGAAGAAAAGAAAAGTTCGCTCGTGATTTAAATTCAGGACAATTACTTGTTGTTACCGGTACCACGTGAAGCATGAGATAAATGTCAATTATTCTAAAATACTTTGCAGAAATTATGTTAGTGGCACGACTGAAAATATGTTAAATTTTACAAGTTAATTTATATATTATTGCAAAAAATAAATAAATAAACAAGTCAGCAAAATGATGCTTTAAAGGCATTTTACACTCAGAGAAATGGTATATTTGTCTCCGAGCCTACTAACTCATTTATTTGTTGCAAATATATTTCATTTCATTGAAATAAAAAATTTATTTGAGCCAAAGAAAAATTTATTTCTGACAAATAAAATTTTTATTTACGCCAAATAAATAAGTTAGTAGGCTCTGAGACAAATATACGTTTATTTAATTCAAATATATTTTATTTGGTTCAAATAAATCATTTCTCTGGGTGTAAGAGCATGTGACTATTGGATCACGTGATATATTCCTCTAGTTAATATTTCTTGTACAGTTTTTCCAAATAAATTTGTCAAATTAAATTAATATTTATTGAAATATGTATTTGAGATATATTATGTGATCTAAAAATCATAATGTTATTAATTTAAGGCGAGTCGCAACCTTTAATATGACCCCTTTAAATTTTAATGATCGCACGATGTTATATTTTGTTATTGCATCATTATTGGGTTCTAAAAACATACAAGGTGGCCAAAAAAACAAAATCTTAATTTTTCACCATTTTAGAGTTTCAGAAAATTTAGATTTTTCAAAATAGAACTACTTTCACAATTTTGACTAATTTTCATCATCAGTTTTTTTACACGCTTTTCTAATGATTGTTTGGAATCTTTTGCATGGATTCTCAAAAATTTAAATTTAAAAAAAAAGAAAAAAATGAGTTGAAATTTCATTAATCTTTTCTCTGGAATATTTAACTACTTTTACAATTTTGACTATTTTTTATCGACAAGTTTTTTACACATATTTTTAAAGATTCTTTATAATTTCTCACGTGGATTTTCAACAATTTTTTATTTTTTAAAAAAATACAAATTCTAAAATTGTCAAAAATTAAGATTTTCTTTTTTTGACCACTTTATATGTTTTTAGAACCCAAATTATGCAAGAAAAAAAATATAACATTATGCAATCATTAAATTTAAAAGGGGTAAAATAAAATCTCCCTGAATTTGGCTTCGACGCTCAGCGCCAAAAATTGTTTTTCGCAAAATCAAAAATTTCAAATTATTATTTTTTTAATTTTTCAATCCAAATAATACCTTGAAAAATGAAGGTAAAATAAAGATGATGACTCGCCTTAAATAAAATTTGGATTGAAAATATAATTTTTCAATTAACAATCCTATCAAATGTTTGTAATGAATTCCTTTTTTATTAAAATTTGTATCTCTTTTTGTCATTAAATTCACTATAACTTTTTAAACAGTTTCTAAATGGATATTAGTAAAAGCTACAGAAAATATTAAGTATATTATATTATATGCTGACAGTAGGAAAAGTGTACAATATATTAAAATAAAATATACTCACGAACCTGCTCGACCTTCTAATTCGTCTATGAGTTCAGGGGGTAAAGGTGGATTTTCCTGATCAATGGCTTGTTGAACATCAGGAATAATGACATCAAAATTTATATGCCTCTCTCTCAAGAAGCGAGACACTTGAGATATCATGTTAGGTCTCACTAAAACGTCTACAGCACTTCCATTGCCCATCCACGTGGAAACCTCTAAATTATAAAATTAACCAAATTTTAACAATAATTAGATTAGATATACGTAAATACTTGATTTTAATTTAAAATTGAAACTTACTGCAAATTTTTCATAAAAAATATCATGACAAAAAAGAAACTATTAAAAATAATTAAAATATAAATTTCCAAACCTCCAGTCTCTTGCAGATAAGATACATATTCCTTTTTGTCTTCGGTACCCTCTACTACTCTCCATACTTGAGAACCTTCGTATGTAACTAATTCCTCAGGAATATCAACAGCTTTAATAACTATCGAGTCAGATGCATTGCTGCTTTCAACTTCTGTGATAGGTATTTCTAAACTAGGATCAAACGCATCCTTCCCTTTTCGATCATGATTTAAACTAGAGATTTGCAAGAAGATGCAAGTTATAATTAAAAATGTAAACAAACATCGTTGGCTTAGTGATTTTATACCGTCCATTCTTTCAAACTGACTCGCAAGTTTTAGTCCCTCCTTTTATAATATACGCTTGTAACGGTATTTCTCTTGAACTCCATTCCCTGATATTCACGCAAATAACAATAATAAATCGAAACCTGTGCCAAGAAAAACATTAAACCCGGAGGAATAATTTGTGTACAATATAGTTATTGACTGATTCTTTTGTATGGAACCAGTTTGGAGCTACCAAAATTAATTTGTCAAATAGTATCTAGCTAATCGAAAAAATAATTTTAAGAAGAATTCAACATCACCTGCCCAGTGGTCACAAATTGTTCTATGTTTCAATAATAATGTTCTCGTAACGTTTTTAGAAAGTTAATGTATGCTCAAAAAACGTTCCGAAAATGTTAAATAATCGTCAAACGTTTTCGAATGTTATTTTAACAGACATATATGCGACCTGGACAGTAAAAAGGGAGCTTACGTGCGAAAAAATTAATTTTTTATTGATTGGTGATTCTGATAAAAAAAAGTTTTTTCTATCAGAATCACCAATCAATAAAAAATCGATTTTTTCGCACGTAAGCTCCCTTTTCATTATTTAGGTCACATATAGGTACGATATTTTAAAAATCAATTGGGAACGTAATTGGCACATTAGCAGTCTTTTTGACAACAGGGTGATTGTTATGCCTACGATGTTAATTAATTTTGTACCGGGGGAATAATGCCAAAATAAATTTTGGATTTTTTAAATTTACGATATAATTGTTCCGGAATGCCACCAAAGTCTTAACTCGTAAGTTGGGAATCAATAATAATATATTGCGCACTTTTTGATTGGACCAACAAATTTTGAGCTAGACGAAAAGAAAGTTAGGATTTTTTAAAAAAGTTTCGTTTAAAATAAATAAATAAAAATGTTCAGAGCTCAAAATGTTATATTAATAATTTTTTAAAAATTATTTTTAAACAAATATTACAGAAAAAGGAAGATTTTTAAATATTATATAGTTTCAATCCTCAAAATTAGTAAATTTGATATATTTTACACAATAATCAATGAATAACAATGAAAATGGTGTACACATACATTATTTAATGTGAAATTATTTCATCTTATCACTTTTGAATAAATTGAATTGTTTCATTACGCCCCGGTCATCCTTAATAAAATTAAATTATTTAGAGCATTTGCTAAATTAGTTGATGCAACAAATAGTTCAGCTGTAATTTTTTTGCTATTAATATAATATCAATTAAGAGTTTTTAAAAATTTTGTTTAACATTTTTTTACTTAACTGCTTATATGTACATTATATAGTCGCAGTGGGAGAAACTCTGAATAGGGCTTTTTCACGTTAGTATAGGTAGTAGCAAGCGACAAAACGGCTTCGTGGATCATCAATGAAAAAAAAATAAATAATAGTGTCGCAGTGTAAACTTCAAAATAATGAAAAAATTGTTAATTTTAATTTCATTTGTGGCTGCAATTGAGGTAAATTCAAAATAAACATACTTATTTTAAAAATATTCATTTTTTATATTTAACAATTATGTATTCTAAATAAAGGTTGTTATAAAATTAAAACAGATTTAATTGTTTATAGTAAAAATCAATTTACTCATTATTTGAACCAAATAATTTTAGTTTTAAATAAATTTCGATAAATAATTTGTGCAGTAAAGTTGAACGTAGCTGGCAAGGAATAACTTTGTTGGCTTCTGCCTTTATGTATAAGAACACATACATGTATTTGTACTTACAAACCTGTGAATTTTCACTTATTTATATGTAATTAATGATGCAATTATAAGCACAAAAATAGTCATTAAAAAATGTATAAACTTCAGGTTTGTAAGCTCTGTAAGTGTATAGATGTTAATGTTGTAGTCAAATTGGATTAAAAACTACGATAAAACGGGTAATAAAACAGATCAATCATAGAGATTGTACTTGAAAAAAATGAAACATAGTAAGAAATTATATTTGTTAAGGCTGCAAGTTATAAGGTCACCGATCAGGTGTACTTTGATATCATGATAAATGATCGTCCAGTTGGTCGAATTACTATCGGTCTTTTTGGAGAATTAGCTCCAAAAACAGTAAAAAATTTCATCACCTTAGCTACAACTGGAATAGATGGAAAATCATATACTGGTTCGCAATTCCATCGAGTCATAAAGAAATTTATGATTCAAGGTATCTTACATTATATTAAGGATATTTTAAATTTGAAAACATGTTTTCAAATAAACGTAGTAGAAAAAAATTAATATTTTTGTTTGTCGTTGTTAGGAGGTGATTTGGTTAACGGCGATGGAACAGGTTCTATAAGCATTTATGGAAAACAATTTAATGATGAGACCTTTGAAGTTAAACATAATGCTCCTGGATTTATTAGTATGGCAAATTCTGGAAAGAATTCAAATGGTTGTCAGTTTTTTATTACAACTATTGGAACTCCGTGGTTAGATGGGCAACATACAGCGTTTGGAAAGGTTCTAATTATTATCTAATTATTATTTCACGTGAAGTGATCAAACGTTTTTTTTCAAACGCGTTCATGCTTAGGTAATTTTTTCTATTAAATAATGAAATCAAAAATATTATTTTTAAATGTGAATCATCAGTCTCTCCTATTTGATAAATTAATAACGAATTTTAAATGATTATAAATCAAAAATCAATATTGTGAAGTTATAAGTTAATATTTTTGGGACGCATGAATATTCCCTTCATTAGACTTGACGGAATTTTTGTAGTGTCAAATTAAAAATTATCGAATTTACATTCAGTAGAGTTTTAAAAAAGTAGATTTTATAATGAGCCCAATTTTAATAACAAAAAATTTCTATTTAACAAAATTCTGATTTTGTAGAATTTCTATTTAACTGAACTTAGATAAAGCAGATTTTCTAATATATCGAATTTTCAAATAACACAATTTCCATTTAACAAAATTCATATCTAGAAACATTTTCATAAAAAAGAATTTTTATTTATCAGAATTGATTATTTGTCGAATTTATATTTATCCGAATATTAACTTAAAATTATTTTAATTAACAGAATTTCGAATTATTAAAATTGGGCTCATTATAAAATCTCTTTTTTAAAATTCTACTGAATGTAAATTCGATAATTTTTAATTTGACACCACAAAAATTCCGTCAAGTCTAATGAAGGGAATATTCATGCGTCCCATATTTTTTTTTAACTTATCAAATACAATATGAATTAAATAAATTTTTAAAAATTTAGGTAATTATTTTGAAAGATCAAAATATAACCTTTTATACAAATTTTGCTCAACTATGCAATTTTTTAAAAATAAATTTTAAGACAAAATTTTAGCTCAATCTATTAATTATTCTGCGAGAAAACCTGCGGAGAATATTTACATGTGAAATAACAACAATCACATCACCTTAAACATTCTAGGCCCATATAATATGTTCTTATAGGAAAAAAAACCCATTATTCATTTTTAAAAAATTGTGTACACAATTTCTTTTTGTTGTTCCTTTTTTTTGAAAAAGTTTATTAAGATAAAAAATACACCAAAATTTTCACTTCCGCCATAGAAAATAATGGTCCAAATGGACAATTTTTATAAAAGAAGAATTACCATTCAATAGAACTACAAATTACCAAAGTTTGAGCATGATTAGAGAAAAAAATTTTCACACTGAGATCACTTCACATAAAATTCCTCATTATAATTATATATATGCAAATTTTTATTAAAAATATTATTTACTTATTTAATTTAACAGATTGTTGATGGAGTAGACATAATTTTTAGAATTGAACAAACGAAAACAGATTCTCGAGATAGGCCAATAAATCCAGTGATTATACTCGAAAGTGGAGTTATCCCTTTAAGTTCACCGTACTTCGTTTCAGATGATATTTACGAGTAAATAAATTTTTATTTTATTGCAATTCATTAATCTTAATATTTTGCTGACATAATTATTATTTTTTTTTGTTTAAATTGTATAAAATTTTTGAATATTTATTTTTCAGTATTTGGGCCTGGATTAAAGCAACGTGTATACCACTGAGTTTCAGTTTTGGAATTTTGGGATTTTTTCAGTGGATGATTAAAAAATTAGACGATTATGATAGATATGACTATAGAAAAATTGATTAATTCAACTTTATTAGATCATATTTTTCAAAGATGCGCTTACTATAGCAAATTAAAAAAAAGACATCCGCATTTCATTTTATTTATTATCTACATTATAATAATATTTTGTAATAAAAAACTGAAAGAAAATAAAGTAATTATGTAAACTCATCCTCATTTTCTAATATTATTAATATTATCCTTTTTTTATAATCTAATATACAACGCAGATAATTTCTTGAAGATTTATTTATACAGAAGCGAATTTGTAATTTTACTATTACAAAGTCTGTGATTATTCTGATTTCATATGTAAAAATTTTCTCCAGGTTTTCTCGCTAAATATTTAATATAGGTAGATTGAGCTTAAATTTTGTGGAGAAGTCGAAAATAGTATGAGGATTCGTTGTCACGTGCCTAAGTATATTAATATATTGTCAAAAAAATTATTTTTAAAAAATTTAATTTAGCGGAAACTTTGTGAATTTTTCCGGAAAAGTGTCATTAATTTTAAAAAAGTATAACCTTAACATTGTATTTCAGTATAAATTACAAGTCATTTTAATTATAACTACTATAAAAATTATTATTTTATTCTTATACAAAAAACAATAATACAATATTTTCACTCACCTCAATGTTATTATTCATTTAGATATTAAATAATCAGGCCACTTTTATAATATTTATAAATAAGTCAATACATACTTACGAAGCATGTCAATTTTAATTTTTATAAAATTTGTAAACAGGTACACTAAAATACCTACTAACTCCATCTCTCGAACTTGTCAATATTTCTCTTACCTTGCTGACGCAATTGCGAGCTGACCGGTGGAGTTGCACTTAACTTACCGACAGCTAGTAAAATACCAAGAATTGTTTAAGTACGTCAGTGCTTTATGCTTTAAGTTCTGTCAGTTATTTATGTTTATATAGATGGCAAAGGGCATCAAGCCGAAAGATTCTGAAAGATTGTATTTGTTTAACTTATACGACAGTACAGTCGAACGTGGTCGAAGGCAGTCGAACGTTATCGAATGTTAGCGTCTTAGCTTAGCAGGCAGTTGTTTTTTTTAATAATAAAAAGCAAACGTTATTGTTGCGACAGAGATAAGCCTGCAGCTTTTAACATGCCGGTTTGACATTAAATTCACTTTTTCTTTAAATTGAAAGATTAATAGTGATCAAAATGTGATTTTTAAAAAATTTGTAATTGCACAAAAATTATTTAAAGGTGTGAAAGCAATAAAAAAACGCATGTTGTTTATTTGGAAACCCACACATCAATTGGAGTATTTGGAGGAAATTTTACAATGGTTGCACTTTGAAAAAGTGCAAATTATTCTCACAAAGAGGTATTATTGTATTTGTATTTATACCCACATAGCACTTATATATTAATTTAGGTACATATATAATCTTCCAGTAACCTTACATGTAACATTTGTAAGTTTACCATTTAAGGTTACGAGAAGCTGCGAATATGTTCGACCTACACTAAGTCTACACTTTAATAATTAATATATATATATTAAATATGATAATAGTAACTGCCGGTCTTCTATTTAATTAAAATAGTGATTAAAATAAAACTACAAAAACAATTTTCAGCGTCATTAATTTGAAAGAATAGTATAGGTTATATAAATAATATAATCATGATTTTTTTACAATGGTAGATAATTCAATATGTTTCATTAGTATTTTTAAACTTCCACGGACGTGACGATAATTATCTATCGTACGTGTTTAGTAAAGAATGCCACATTTTCTCATAAATATGTCATTATTTATTCATATAGGTATATAAACATGAAAAATCGGTTTAAAATCAGTTATCCATACAAATTACTTAACGATATTTTCTAGCAATACCTGTAAAATGTAGCCGCAACTTTGTACAATTTTTTGTTTAAAGTAATTTTTTCCTTTATTCGGATATTTCACACAAAATTTAAAAAATTTATTTCAAACAATATCTTGAATTTTTATTTGCTCAAATGCAATTGAAACTATGTGGTACTTGCAGGAAGTAAAATGTGACAAATAGAGAAAACAGCAAACGAAAATAATTATTTAATTTTAATTCATATGACCGTTTATGTCAATGAATTTTTAAATAAAAGTTGCAAAATTTAGTATTTTTATATTTTACTATAATTATCTAAATTGGGAGAGGAATTCCCTTTGAAAAAATAAAATAAAAATTGGCGGGTTCCACGCGCTGGACCACCGTTTAAACTCAAGAATATTATTATTATCACCCACTTTATTGTGATAGTCAGTTCTTTGATAATATTATACGTTATTAAGTTATAACAGTACACGTGCTAAATAATGACATATATTTTTTTCAATAATATAATAAGGTAAATAACGATGCATCTATATAAAATAATAAATGCAAAAGGTACATATAAAAATTTGTAAAAAAATTTCAAAATTACTAAAAAGATGTCATTTTATTATACATTAATTAATCCTCCTGTCGCGTGCCACACGCACGGAAATTAGAACGCACCCTCTCTGCAACTTTGAATAATTTATGGGTGTGACACTGTTTACATTCTGACAATCAAAGGGATATGGTTCTTTTTAAGATGTGCATGATATGCTAAATATAATAATATATAATACAATATATATAAAAATTGTGCAACATTTTTTCGATGAAGTTAAGTATATGTTTAATGGGTTTGAACAAATGTTGCTTAAAGCAACATGAAATGTTTTAAATTTGTCAAAATACGGACCACAAAAGGCTCATTCGTATATAAACATTGTTCATATAATTACTATACAATAATGAAAAGAATAACAAATCATTTTAAATAAAACAGAACCTACACGTGTCATTAATAGATTCATTATAGATTGTGTTATTTTTGTAAAGTAGTAAAAGCGTCATTCAATCTTTCTTAAAGTATTTTGGAGCGCATTCTTATGTATGAAAATAAACTTTAGTAAGTTTCCTCTTTCAAACACTATGTCATTTTGTATGTTTTGCAAACTGGATTCAGAAACTCAGTAAAATTTGTTAATTAATGAACATGTATTAAGATTTTTAACTGGCTCTAAAATTTAGTTAGTAATAATTAGAATCTCGCTGAATGTCTGGTTAAAAAAGACTTCTTATTTTGTAACTGTATTAAAGAAAAAAAAATTTATTACTCGAACATCTAGACATAATATTTTTTAAAATACAGAAACAAGATATTCTTTATTTAAACCTTGGATATTATCTCCATATTGAATATGTATTATTTTACAATTATAAAATACAATAAATATTAATTTTTCTACACAAATGATACTATTTTACTCTTATTTTAAGAGGATGGAAATGATAAGACGACTGTAACACATCCTTTTCAGAAGAAGAATGATATTCTCGGATGAAGAATTGTTGGAAAATTAACATTTATTATATTTTATAATTTATAAAATAACATTCATTTAATATTGTAAAAATAACCAAGGTTTACTATATAATTAAATAGGTATTAATTTTTTAATACAAAAAATGATATGCGAAAATTAGTATAAAATACTTTGAAATTGATATAGAAAATGTGAGGTTAGGTACGTGTGATGTCATTGTTTGGACTTTTTTTATTTATCTCAAAGGATTTTACAATAATTATGTGCGAAAATATCACAATTTTCTCACATCAATTTATTTAATATTTTAAGAGTAATGTTCTCGACAAAATAAACATTGTAGCGATGATGTGAGCTAGTAATTACATCCTGTTTAGGTTATGTTGGACGACCTTGAATTTTTTCATTGCACTCCCATGTAAAATTCGTGGATGTGCAACAAAGATAATTAAAATGACTGCAGATATGACGGAAATAAAAAACATTTAATTCCAAATCAATGTCATTTTTTAAAATTTGTATGATCATATTATTTTAATTCACCTAATGCTTGGGGTGCACGCTTTGATACCAGTCAAGTTGAGAAATTAACTTTGTAGCAATCGTGTAACCTAACAATCCATGTATAATTTGCAGTTGTTTAAAAATTTCTACTTAATATCTTGTATAATTGGTTCAATTTAATTTATAACCAATATTTAAAAAAATTTAATTCTAAAATTAATTTCATAGTTTTGAAATAAGTTAGTTAATTTTTCATTGATTAAAAATTAAATAATTAAAATTAATTTAAATATTTAAAAAAATGCATAATTACACTTTTATATTCGTGTTAAAAAGATTATTTATTTTTACTATTGTTTGAGTAAAATCATTGTGGATCGAATTGCATGTTACTACCGTGAGCAATGGAAGTTAATACGAACAATAAGAAAAAAATGCTTGTTCAGATAGAAAATAACAAAGAAAACTATAGGTATTTGACAAATACGTACATGTAAAAAAATTATTTAATTCAAAGTGTTTTTATCAGTTAAATATTAACGGGAACGGAAAATATTAAAAAAGATTTGAAATTTTTTATTAAAACGGCATTTATAATATTTAAATTTTTTTTTTTTTAAATTTAAATTTATTTTTTTAAAGAAAAAATATCATTTGATAAATGTACTAATGGAAGTTAAACTGTAAATATATTTAATGAATTATTATGAAACAGTCAGAAATTTTGTATACGACTGTACTAAATAATTTAGATACATAATCAAAGAAATTATCTAAATAAGGTCCTGTTAACATATTATATGTATAAATAAACTTCACGTATATTAGCGTGATACCTGTATAATTAATGTTTCAAAATTTCAGAACAAGAAGGGAGACAAATGAAGACAATGGGGAAATATTGGTTGAACATGACCCTCGTGAGGGTTATTCTTCCCGTAGTTCTTGCTGGAAGTAAGATTACATTTTTCTTTTATTATTAATATTATTATCAACTAGGTTTTCTATATTTAACATACATTAGTATTTTAAAGCGTGAGTTAGAATACTCTAAAGAAATTAGTCACAAATGACTTTTGTATTTTACAAAAAGAGAAGTGATGTGTTTATATTATTATTATTATTACTCAGTAATTTAGAAAAAAATTTAAGTAAAATAACGCATAAAAGCCTGATTAGTACAAAATTCTTTAATAAAGATGACATAATAAGATTTCAGTTTGTAATGTGTGGAAAGAAATTACATGTACTGTATTCTATACACACATATTGATGACTAAATTATTGCGTGACAGTGCTTGAAAGTCGCATTTGTTAATTTACTATAATTTAATGTGTAATCCAATTATTATTAATCAGTGTGAATTTATTGAATTAGTTTTCTTTGAAAAGTATTATAGTTAATAAAATTAAAATCGAATACTTACTTAAACATACATACACGTATTAATGATTATAAATTCTTTTCTTAAATATTATGAAGTTTTGAAATGCAATAATTTGAAAACTAGTCATTCCGGTTTCTTGCTTCCAAAAATAGAAAAAATCTTAATACTCAGACTAAGGTAACCGCGATTATAAAACTTTTATGTATTGTTGATTAATTTTTTAAAAATTTAATAATATAACAAAATATATTAATATTTTAATATAAATAATTTGAATTCTCGTGAAAAGATTTAACGAAACTAGAAATTAATTTAAAATTAAAATATAACACCGTTTATATTAATTAAAAATTATTTAATAATTTAAAAAGTTTTACAACCTTGTTATATTTGGAGATTAATACTTATAGTTCTATAACTTTATTTTATAAAAATACGTTAATAAATTAAAATCTTCTCTTCATGATATAATGTTTATAATCCTTTTAGGAATTCATTGATTGAATAAATGATATTTCTTGAAAATATTCTTTTTGTGAATTCTGAAAAAGAAAATAGAAAATTTATTTAGACTCTTTTAAAAGGAACTTAACAATTTAATTGATATATATTTACGAACACTTAACATGTGAGACATTTCCTTAAGAATGTTATTCATATTGTCATCTATAAGTTTTCCCTTCTCCACGTCACCAAGAAGCAATGATTTCTTCTTATCGCTCTGTAAAAGATATAAAAAGCATTAAAAAAATTAGATTTCATACATCAACATAATTAATATACAAAATGTAGGTAGTAGAAAACAATAAAGTAATTGTTTTATTACCCAAACTTCATGCAAGTCAGAAACTTTGTTATTCATACTAGGCAGATATGCAGAAATTTTAGTTTCTAAATTTTTGATTTCTGATTCTAAAACGTAGACATGATTTATTTCGAAATCAGGTCTCGTTGTTTCAGTAGCACATGGAATTTTGTGACCTTTAGATGCAGTCGCGAACTGAGTTATTGGTTTAGGATTCCTTCTTGACATTTGTTTCTGTAGAAAAAAAACATTATTATATATATTAGAAGTATCGTGTATATTCATAATAGTTTAATTTTTATATGCTGAACTTAATAAAAAAAATGTCGTACCGGTTTTGTACCCGACGGTCCAGATTTAGAAATAATTTTTTCATCAAATCTTTTAGATCTTTGTGAAGCATAGCCTTTGATTTTGTATTGAACAGTCGGACTATATGCATTTGGTGCTGGTATATCATCTTTAAAAAGAGTTCCATTTCATTTACAATAGTATTATATATTATTTATTTACACCCAAACAAAAGTTTTTGTTAATTTCAAGAAATCAGTTTCTTTGATTTGTTTCATTTAAAACAATTTTTCAACAGAAACTCTTTTTGTGGGTGTGTAATTAAAAAAAAGACATAACTTACTTTGAATATCGTTAAATCTTCGAATTTTTGCTCTTGCAAAAGACATTGCAAATTAGTTTTTTTCACAAGTATGATTATAAAGCTTTAGAAATAAAATATATTTTATTAAACTGTACGAAGTTTATATGTCCAATGTTTACGGAGGTTTCACTTAAACTGGTATGAAATTAAAATAAATTTTAATGACAGAGTGTATTTACATTCATTGTTTACATTTGTAAAATTTCTTTTCTCTTTCTTTCTTTTATATTATGGGTGGTGATTTCTTCCAAAGACTTGTAGAATATTATTCATTATTATGAAAAATCTCCACACAAACTTTTTTTTAGAAAAAAATTGATCATTAAATTGGATTGTAAACTCATAAAGATATTTTTAATTTACTGGTATCCACTACCTTCTTTTTACCAATCACTGTTACATGAGCTGTAGATGAAAAAAACAGAGCTGATTAAAATCATGATTTTTATTTAAAAAATATTTAGAAAATCCTTTTTATTCAATTTCAATTTGATTTTTTATTTATAAAAAGTTTTTGAAATATTTGCTTCTAAGTAGATTATTTTTTTAATAAATATTTAAATGATCATTATTTAATAGTAGCATTTATCAATATTTATATTACATGACGATTTTCGAAATTGTTGCTTCTGGCTTTATATCAAACAATTATTTTAAATCAGGGTAAACAAAATGTTTTATGAAGATATAATATTGATATTAGTGATATATTAGTCATTAATGGAACAAACAAGGATTTATCATTAAACATGATAAAACGGTATAAAAATTTGGAAAACGTCATACTTGACATTGTAAACATCTCAATGAAATTTTCACTAATTTAACTAATTCATTGAAAAAATCACTAAATTGGTTAAAATTTTTACTTATTCAGATTTTTACTCTCTAAATCTGAATAAGTAGTTTTCTACTAATGAAAGAATGCGTATTCGTTTACCAATTGAATTAGTAACAGTTTTGACTAATTTTTAGTAAAAAACTACTAATTGCTAGTAGAAAATTACGAATTCATGGAGTAAATCGGCTTACTAATTTGAAATAGTAAAAAATACGAAATTACTTATAAATTAGTAGTTTCCTACTAGCAATTAGTAGTGTTTTACTACAAATTAGTCAAAACTGTTACTAATTCAATTGGTAAACGAATACGCACTCTTTCATTAGTAGAAAACTACTAATTCAGATTTAGAGAGTAAAAAAAAAATTTTTCTTTAAAAGTAAAAAATAATAATTTTATAAAGCCTTTCTAATAAGTGAAAAAATAATTTGAATAAAAAAAATATTGATTTTTATTATTAAAAAAAATGTTTCATTTCTACTCTTTATATGTTAATAAAATAATTAAAGTTATTATGAAATTATAATATTTTTCGAAAGAAAGAAAATACACATTATTTTGTTTTTCAATTATCAACAGGTGTAATATGGAGACCAGTTGGATTATCTCTCGTGTACTTGGTACTTATGCTTTGTGCTCCAGTAATACCAGTTCCTACCCATGCAACAATGAAGGGACATACTGGACGATATTTAAAAACATGTTTTAGCTTATCATTTCTTGTAACTTTAATACAGATTACATTTCATATAGTTCTTTTGGCTCTTCCTCCTTATGGACATTTTCTAGAAAATTGTAAGTATGAACAGAAATCTGTTTATTGTGACGGATTAAACACATTCAAAAGACGCAAAATAGTTTTTTCCTTTTCCAAAGAAGGTAAAAAACAGTGCAAAATCTATTTTTTTCAGTTCTATTTTGTTTCTCAAAATTTAAATTATTTCTCTTTTTTTTACCTATTCCCAAAGAATTAATAACCGAATCTATCTTTTGTTTTTTTAATCCGTTATTTCTGCAATTGTATGAAAATTTAAAAATTATTCCCTTTTATACTTGCAGGTGAATTTTTAGAAAAGGTTTTAAGGCATTTAGGCTTAGTAAGACTAGATAACGCATCTGTGTTTGAAATATTTTTCTGGTTGGCACCAGAAATCATAGTTTTACCTACAACGTTATTAATTTATTATTTTTGTCGTCAATTAACTCATATACCTACAATAGAAGAAAACGTACAACGTTCTACAAAAAAGACTGAAGATAGATCTGCTAAAGTTAGTAAAAATTTAAGAAATATAATTATTCAAAACATTAGTAAAAGTTTCTTTAATGTTATTAAATTTTTAGGTTATAAATTTTCTGGGTAGTGTCGGAACATATGTTGTTCTAGCTTCATTATGCTGGACAGCATCATTAAAGCCTTCGATAGAAGGAGGTTTTTATTTTGTAGTTTTTCTGGGCGCTGCAACGTGGTGGGCATGCAATAGAGAATTATTAAAAGGTTTTGCTATTCTTTGCAGAATCGTTATGATTGTCGTTGTCCTCCATATTATAACTTTATTATCATATCAAAATCAGTGGCCTCAAGAATTTATACCAATCAATAGCACATGGTCACGTTATTTAGCTCTTTCTGCCATGTACACCACAAATTGTACAGATCCTCGTGATATCAATTTCATTGATGATTCTGATGACTTGATGTATGGATACTCATTGAGACTCTTTTGGCTGTATTATATTTTAGCACTGCAATCACAGTTTCTCTTCATAAAACCGGTAAGTTGTATATTAATGGATAATATTGTGAATACAAAAAAAACTCAAACTGTAATTGAGAAAGAAAGAAATAAGATGTATGATTAATTTAATAATTAATTTAAAAAACAAGTTGCAGAAATTAAAAATTTAGAACTAAGCCGCAGATATATAGATATAACTCATTCAAGCTTTATATAGAATACATGAAATAATAATTGTTCATTATTTAATATTTTATGGAAATTGGCCACTGATTCAGATTTTAAAAAATATCTTTTAAAATTAAAAGGATTTTCCAAAAATAGAGACGCTTGATTTAGAGGCGTTCCATATTTAACACCATAAAACATCAAGTCTCAGATCTTTTACATGTATTTTGCATTGTGTTAATGCTTTCAGCAAAAAACATATTTTCTACCGATACTCAAACAAAAAGATTCTATCTCACAGATAGAATTTTCATTAACCTCTCAGAGTTTCTTAATCAAAAAATATATTCCACATTTTAATTTAGCATCAAAAACTTTAAAATATCCAAAAAAATGTTTAATCTTCAGAGATACACTGGAAATTTAAGAAAATTATTTTTTAATTTCACTATAGGAATATTAAAATGTACTTTGATAAATCTAAAATTTTAAATTTAGTTTGTATACGTAATCTGAACCTGTGACTTGATGTTTTAATTCAAATTAAACGCTTTTTTATATAAAAATGTATAAAAAATACTTACCTTCTCCTTTTTTCTAATAACATCTATTTTTCTCGCTTTTACTGAAACATTAAAACAAAACTAATTTTCTTTATTTAATTAACTAATATTGTAAGTTTTTGGTGGTGATTCTCCAATTTTACATACTAAGCTTGTCATTTATTTCTATCTCTTGCATTAGAGATTAATTCCTAATTTAAAAACTTATAATTACTAACTGAATGTAAGAATGATCTTTTACCAGCTTTTATAAAGAAAGTATTTCAGGTTAAAAATCCTAGATGTTTAAGTGGGAAATTGGAAAATTTGGATACTTCATTGTCGCGACACGTTTCAATTAGACGAAAAACACCATCCCAAAGGTGGCAATCTGCTCGCCGTAAGGCTCGAGTAAGATAAGAGTTAGATAGACCGTTGCATGATTTTTAGACATTTAGATTGTTGATGTACTTTAGCACAAAGTATTTCTTTTATCCCTACACATTTTATTAAAAAAGTAAAAATATGTAGCTGTGTTTGCTTCTACTGGTTACGTTTTATATAAAAAAACAGTTTAAATATAAATATTTTAATTTATGATTAATATTCAAAATGATTTTATATTCTTTTTTAGCCTTTAGTTTTTGCCAAATTTTTTGTCATACAATACAAGAAAATGAATATAATAGTAAAAATAACCGTTTATCGGATTTTATTGTTTCTTTCTCATTTTCAATGCTTTGCAGTTTAGTTTTTATTTTCTTTTAGTATGCCGCTATGTTTAGTTTGCCGTGTTTTAGAGGCAGAAAATTGTTCAACAACAACCACCGGCCACAGAAAGAACTCCCGTATGTATTATAAAAGCAAATTCTTTATTTTCTATTTCTCTAATACTAAATTCTGCTTTAAAACTTTTAACTGCATGTTCTATTCTCTGATTTTAAAATTAATGCACATCATTGACTGTTCAAATGACAAGATGCTAAGTTTGAGAATGCAATTTAAAAATTTTCGCTTTCGAAGGTTATACACAAGTAAGGCAGTAGAATTTATGTCCAGGGAGTTAGACCCCTACACCCAGAAAAATGGTATATTTGTCTTAGAGCCTAATAAATATTTATTTGATTTAAATAAAAAATTTTATATTATATTATATTTGGTTCAAATAAAACATTTCTCTGAGTGTATGTAGAAGGATTTCTGGAAGTTACTTATACTAGAATTTCCGGGAGTCATTTTCATATTGTAATCCTTCCTCATGGACCAGTAAAGTTAAAATTTTCAAAAAACAAATATTGTACCCAATTGTGCTCGATTTATGCTCATTTGTGTAAATTTCATTATTTGAAAAACTCCAAATTTCGGGTAAAAAAATTAAAAAACATTTTTAAAACATCTAAAATTAAAATTTTTAAATATGTAAACTGATATTGTGTCCAATTTTGCTCAATTGTGACATAAAAAATTTTTTGAACCAAAATTTCTGAAAAAATATTATTGTGTTCATAAATGCCAATTAATTTAAATGATAATGAAACAGTTGTGGTAGATATCGAAAAATATATTCAATTTAGAAAAAAATCTATTAGGATTTTTTAATTCTGTTAGCCGAGGACAATTCAGCACAACTTTGGTTTTTTTAAATTTCGGAATTTTGAAAAATTTTTCCAAAATACATTTCCTATGTCAAAAATGTAGTTTTATTTCGAAAAATATGCATATATTTTAATAATTTAAATAAATAAAATATTTTGGATTTTAATTTAAAAATTGTATCATCAATTGTATTTCTAAATGAACATTGTTTATTTTTGACTATCAGAAGTTTATAATAATTTGGAAGAAATAATTTGTTCAATTTTTTCAAAAATAATGTATAATAAAAATTTTTTAATTTTCCATATTGAATGTTTTGAAAGATAAATAGCAAAAACGATAATATCTGGTTTAGAACACTTTTAGCATTGTTGATGGAACAAAGTGTTTTTTGTCTGGAAGTTTTAGTTTTTCAAAAAATGAATTTTTGCACAAATGAGCATAATTGGGCACAGTATTTTGTTTTTCGAAAATTTTAACTTTACTAGGCAAACTTTCTGGACATGTAGAATTTTTATTTTGTAGAATTTTTTGCTTCTTCCAACCATTGATTGTGAGTTCCGCCGGCTGATATAAGCTATTGAAGATAAAACAATAATATTGCATTTTTAATGATAAAAATTGTCATTTCAATACGTTGAAAAAGTAGTATGTATGTAAATACATATTGGTTGAGGTTTCATGTGCTTAAGCAGTCTTTTCATAATAAAAAATAAAAAAAAATAATAGAAGAAGAATACTATAATAGAATGCTTAAAATGTATATGCGTGCACTAGTTGACGAGAGTAGGTTATTAATTACTTTATAACTATTATGTTTATAAACAAGTGTATATATATATATATATATATTTATGTAGATATGGATTACTGGGGAGTTTGATATTTATATGTGACTGCGCTTGAAAAAATGGCGTTAAGAACCAAAATCAACGAATCAGTTTTAAAAAATCTTTCGTTATGTTGGATCCACCATTTTGAATTTTGAAAAATTGACATCGGATTCAAAATCAAGGATACCAAAAATCCCTGAGTTTTTTCAAGCGAATTTGATCAATTTTTAAAAAATTTTATATTTTTGTAACAGTCATGTTAAATTTTGAAAAACTCACATTGGATTCGTAATCAGCGTCTACTTCTTGTTACATATTAGAATTGAATTTCACAAAAAATTGAAATTTGATTTTTTTGGTCTTTCAGACGTGGTCACATAAATCGTTCTATCTAAAAAGAATACTTAATTAATTTTACTTAATTGTTGATAATTTTATAAAAAAAATTGTCTATGTAATAACTTTTGTTGAAATACGTATTTTAGTTAATGCGATTTGGCTCAGGAAGATCAGGTTTGCTACAAGATTCCACGGGAAGCGTTACTGTTCCAGATGGGCAACAGGACGATAGTATTCAACTACAATCCCTTAGCGAAGGTTCATTTTTTAAAAATTGAAATTATAGTTTTTGTCATATAGTGTTCTTTTTTAATAAAAATATTTAATGTCATTATTTTATTCAGGTGCACCTGAGGATAATCCTGGAATAATTGAACACATAATAATGGCAATTTATTCAGTTTTTCAGTTAATTGTAAATTCTTCTTATCTAGCAACAAATATTATTATGATGGTAAGGAAAATAATAAATGGAAAACCTTTTTTATTCAATGTTGAAATTAAAATTACTAAATTGAGATTAAACTGTTTGTTAGACTTGGAGCATAATGTATCACAGTTGGACAACTTTTGCGTTACTAATGTGGGCTCTCATACTTTGGATGGTGCCTAATAAGAGAGAGTCGATGATGAAGTGTTCTCCATTCATTGTTTTTTACGCAACTTTTCTACTTCTTGTACAATATATTTATAGTATGGATTTAACCAGTGATGAATTACCAGATTCTATTCATGGAATACCAATTGCAGAAATTGGGTTTAGTAAGCCAGGACAACTTAGTCCATGGCACTTGATTGTTAAGGTTCGTGTAATTATATTTTCAATTATTGTTTATGTGTCATTAAAAATAATCAATAACTGATTTCAGTGTCTCTTTATCTCAATGTTTTGGATAACAATGCGACAATACACTGCTGAAAAGAAAAGACAACGTAGGTCTTCGACATTAAGAGATTTAGTTGCTCCGTTACATGTTTCTGTATCAACAGCAGCAACAACAGCAATGAATCAAGATTCTCATGAAATAAAGAGCAAATTTATGAAGAATGTCGGAAATGTATTGAAAAAATTCTTGACAAAATTTTGGATAGCCATAGTTGCTATAATGCTTTTTACTAGTGGAATCACTGGAAGCAGGATGACAGTTTTTCGAATAATTTACATGTCCCTTCTTCTCGTTTTCGTCATTACCTTCCAAGTAATGTTTCATCAATGTATTTAATGCAACTGTTGAAACATATTTCTTCTAATCTCAATTGTTAATTTCTTGCAGATATCTTGGAAAGCTTGGAGGAGAATGATGTATTCATTCTGGATCGCAGTCATTGGATATTCTATTATTATGTTAATCTTGGTTTACACTTATCAATTTGAAAATTTTCCATCATATTGGGAATACATCTATGTTAATAAAGAACTGTAAACTATATTTTTCCTATTTCTCTTTATATTTTTAACATAATATAAGAGGAAAAAAATGTATTAATTATAATTTTTTTTTACAGACAAAATGATATAGGATTAGAAACATACGCAACCAAAGATCTTTTTGTTCGTCTTCTAACTCCAACGTTTTTCGTGATAATTACTGTTTTGCAAATTCATTATTTCCACGATGACTTTCTAGAAATAACAAATATTGAAAGGCAGTAAGTATTTAAAAATTGGTCTCTAGACAAAAATATTTTAAAAAATTCTCTTATGTACTGCTTCTAAATTATTATACTATTAATAGAAGAGAAAGTAGTTCAAGACGAGGAAGTCTTGGATATTCTCCAAACACAATACCCGTTGTTTCGCCAAATGAAGTATTTGTTTCTGATAATGAAGAAGAATCAACAATATACACGTTGAGGCAGTTAAAACGTAAGAAAATAAAGGGGAAAGATTTTTTTAAGAAGAAAATAAAATTATCTTTTGTTATATTTATCAATAAATTTTTTTCATATTTCATTCCCAATTTGCAGAAATGTCTAAAATAGAGAGGATGGCGTTTCTAAGAAAAATAATGAAACACATGTACAGTCTTTATAACCATGTTTGGTTATTCTTTGAACTTCATATGCAAAAAATTATTTTTATATCACTTATGTTATTATGCTCAAACGATGTAAGTGTTTCAAATATTGTAATTTATTAAAACTAAATAACAATCTCAGTTTTGAATTTTTTTTCTAGGTGTGTGCCATCAATTTTATTTTTGTGGTCGTGTTGGTAATAGTAATCAACTTTAGAAGAAATATTCAAATAATGTCGATAAATATTATATCTGCTGTTATTGCTCTTCTCATGGTTATAAAAATGCTCTATCAAATAGAATATGTTCATCATGAAAATTGGAATGTTAATTGTACTGTAAGTTAACATTTTTAATGAAATTATAGAAATGAAAATGTTTCAACAATTATTTAAAAATAGTAACGGATTTATAATTATTGTAGAGAAATTATTCGAGTGACAATACCTCGTTGGCAGAAAATTATACAGTTTATAACATTGCTGAATGGATCGGTTTCAAAAAAGCTGCAGCAAGTGCATTGCCTGATTTATTAAAAGGTTACATTGGCATTATTACTGTGACAACATTGAGAGGAATTGTCACTGTTCGTCAATGGTTTCATAGACAAGAAAAGGGTGAACCTTTGGATCCACCTCAAATTATGTTCCCAAAAATAGTCAGAAGTGACGCCGATAAAGGCATTATACCGTGTCTTAAATTTCTGTTCAATTTTGGATTCTACAAATTTGGAATTGAATTTTGTTTTATGGCAATTGTGGCTTTAATTGGCACAAGACTGGACTTTTATTCTGTTTTATATAGTATTTGGCTGATTATATTATTCTCATTAAAACGAAAAACACTGTCAAGATTATGGCCCCTCTTTAAGGGCTTTGTTCTTGTTTTAATTCCAATTCAATATGCTTTTGTAGTTGCACCACCTACTTGGTTATGCATTCGTAAGTATTAAATAAAATTTCAGCTATCAATTTCTACTTTTAAATAATAAAAAACAATTCTTGTAGAATATCCTTGGAGCTCGTCAGATTTGATGAGACGATTACAAGAGTGGATGTATTTTCCTGATCCAGATTTTCCACCGAATCCAAAGAAACTCATATGTTAGTATATTGTTTTCTAAAATATTAATATGCTTTGAATTTAATTTGTATACATGTATCTTTTGTAGGTGATTTCATTTTATTGATGATGATTGTTCGCCAAAGTTTGGTATTTCACATTGAACAACGAAGCTTATCCACTGGTAGAGAATTTGTTGCTGGTCACAACTACTCAGTTTATTTGGACATGGAAAAACCAAACTTTGCCAATCCCGTGAAGGATTATGTGTCTCACATTCATAACTGGCTGGATGTTTTTAAACGTGGCTGTTTAATGAGTCTAATGTGGATTACTTTATCAATTATGTTCTTGGCAGGAACCAAAAGAACAAATATTTTCTCCTTGGGTTACCTTATCGGAGCTTTCATTTTCTTGTGGCATGGCAGTGATTTTTACCTAATACCAGTAAAAAAAATATTAAAGTGGTGGAACTTACTCATTGGTTATAATGTTATGGTGATACTTTCGAAAGCATTGCTTCAAGGAGTAGGCTGTGTTGTCATACAACAGGTAAAGTAACAATTATATGATGGTAATTGTTTTGCATTAAATACAAGTTTATGTTATTTTATAGATGGAAAAATCGACGTGTTGGCTTATTCAACTACTAGGCATTGCTTGTCTAAAAAAGTTCCAAAGTTCAGGAGCAGATTATCCTTCCACCTGTCAAGTTCCCAGAGAAGACATTGGCATGGTCTGGGATGGTTTGTGCTTTGGGTTTCTTTTGATGCAAAAACGACTTTTCAAAAGTTACTATTTCTTCCACATAGTGGATGAAACTAAAGCTATGAGTGTATTGGCCTCCCGTGGTGCCGAGTTGTTGGAAGAATTGCATCAAAAGCGGATTGTCGAGCAAGACAACACAGAAAAAGCTGCACTACAGAAACTGAAATTCAAGATGGACAGGATCAAAGCGAATCAAAGAAAAATTCAAGGTCCCAGTTACAGTGAACCTGCTACTCACAAAATAGGTAAAGAAATTTTTTTTCTAATTATTATACTCGCTGTTTTCCAACGAATGTTCTTTATTTGAAAACGCGCAGTAGCGCACCAATAATTAATAAATTAATGAAAAGCATTTCTGTATTTAATGCACACACAAAAAAAGGAATAGCCCCTTTGGCAAAATCGTCTAGCATGAGTTCGTGTGTCTCATCTGGTCACACGCCACCACAGGGATATCAGACACCTATAGATGAAGACGACGACTTTGATGATCCACCTCCGTTAACCCCGCGTGCAGCATCCCTTTTACAGGCTCCGTCCCCAAATTCCGCTATCATGACAGTGAGTTTGGAAGGTTATCTCGAACCAACACGAATCTCCTTTGGTTCTCCACCAAGTAGCGAACTGAATCCTCGTGGTGTTTCACCTGACGAAACCTTTCCAGTATTCTCTCCTCCTCCCTACAACCAGACTTCGGAACAGCCAAATCCATCAATCCATCGTCGACAGTCCAGTTTTATTGCCCCTTCGCCAACTTGGATGAATACACTTCGGACTCCACGTGCATCTATTGTTTCTTCGACGTCACGATCCGCCCGTTCTCATCATACATGTAACTGCTTGTCCAAAAGATCGTCGTCAGCCTGCTCCAATGTCCTGTTTATAAGCTTTTCACGCAACATTGTCAGTCGTTACTTGCACATAATTAATTGTTAATTCATATTTTAGGAAATCTTGTTCCAATTTCATTTACTTTGCTCTTTTTTCTACATTTTTTTATCTCTTTTCTTTCTGCAAATATCCAAACCAAAAATGTCCAACACTTAAAATACTTAAAATCACGTTCACTTTAAACATAATGTTTAATGGAATAAAACTTGCAAAACAACAAAAAGTATACTCATGTAATCAATCTTTCAATAATTTACCTTCTTCTATTGGATTCAATATTTTAATTTTATCAGTTAATTGCTTCAATCATATATTAGACATTTTGGTTTAAATATTGTGTCTCTATATCCTTTTTCTCCTTTCTTCAAAAAAATTTAGTTTCCTTTTCGTCTATACCTATACTTATTAAATTTATGTATCATACACCAGCCTGCCCTAGGCGAACACACCATTTCTACAAACTTCCTAACTGTCCCTGCACTTTCTTCTAAAAACGTATTTAACAATAAACAATCTCTAATATATATTCTTTCAGGAAGAATAAATTATCTTATTTTTATTTTGGCCTATACAAAATTTTTCAACAAATAATATTTTTTGTGTTAATTACAACATTTTGAGGACAAATGAATCTTGTAAGAAGATGAGAATCAAAATATCTAGATTAAAATAATTTTTTGTAATTGAAAAAAAACTATATATTATATTCAATAATTTATATAATTAATTCATTTTAATTCCATGTACATACTTGAATTTTATTTTAATGAATAATTCAAATGATAAGTTTTTTAAACTTTCTTGTAACCTTTCGTCAATAATTAAACGGAATTTGAAATAATTCTTTTTAATTCACATCTTCTTACTGGGAAAGTATAATGTATTTATAATATGATACCTACATATATAATTAAATGCTGCAATTGCAGTAAACGTGTATATATTTAATACATAATAGTATCAGTGTATTGTATATATATATATGTATGTATTTTTATTATTTACTTATATGTACATATTTGCTACGTTCTCTAGCTAATTTTAGTTCGACTTCTCTGTGTGTGTTTTCTTAGATTCATTATATCCGGCGATAGAACGACCGTTGTATAGACACCGTCTACCAAGAAGTAATAGGGAGGGTAAATTATATTTATTTATTTTTCACTGCCTTCAAGTTTGGTGATTCGGAACCTACTCTAACATTCTTATAAAAATTTGAAATATATAAAGTAGAAACGCATAATAATATGTAAATAACTTTACACTATATATTTATTTACATTATATGTTAACATATTAAATTTTATAAAATTTTCGATTTTGAAAAAAAATTATTTTTTTGAATGCTTATAATTTTTTTAAAAATTAATCAATTTAAATTTTTTTTTTAAAGTTTAATGAATTTTTCGAAAATTTTATATTTTTTGTTATTTATATAAATTGAAGACTCGTTTTTAAAATTGAAAATTGTTATGTATGATAATTTTTTTTCCAATCCTTCACACAAAATAAATCATTTTTTTTTCTTTTAACTATTTTAAAAAAGGATGTTTTTTTAAACAAATCTGAGACCATAAACCTTTTTTTGTTTGTATAAAATTAAAAGGATAAATTTTTTGTAGCCAAATCAAAAATGTAAATTTTGATGATACTTTAACTCCCCATATATGTATATAAATATATTTATGTGTAAAGTAGTTTCAATTGTAAATATATGCCCCAATTAATAAGTCCAACGTATCCTGATTTCGTTTCAGAAAGCAATGATGTGTTTTCAAAATGTTTTAAATTGTATACAAAAAGAAAATAATAAGAAAAGGAAAAATAATAATTATTTATCAATCATGAAAGACTTTCAAGAAACAAAATTGAAATTTTTTATATAGAAACAATAAAATTATGATGGTTACATGTCATTTTTTCTAAAAGAAATCCTAAATGCATGGCTTTAAATGTTTCAAAATAATATGTATGCAATACTTATATTTGAACTGTAATTTTTTCAAATAGCTGTTAGGTCTGGAGATTATTACATGTTCGATGATCTTGATGACGACGATCTCACTGATTTAGTACCTGACAAAGATGACGACAATGAAACTGATCGTCAAAAACAACAAGCAGCACGTGGTCGTCGTATGACAGTTTCAGAGGTTCGTATACATGAATGATTTCTTTAAATAAATTTTTAATTATTTTTGTCTTTTGATTAGTGTGTATATATGAATGAAATGTACCTTTGTAATGAAATAGTTTTTTTTTTAAATTTCGCAGTAGGTATGAAACATTTTTAGTTTATCACTTTTATGTATATCTCCACAATTCTTATTCTTTACGAATCAAAAATCATTCATTTATCATTAATTCATTCATTTATCTTACGTAAAATATTTTTTAATCTGAAAATCGTAAAAAAACAACAACTTAGGTATATAAAAAATCATAAGAATACAAAATCACAAATATAAGTGACCATTGCAGTTGATGAACACCCTGATTAAGACAGACATAGAAATAGCTACACACGTCGCATTATATGGAGGAACAGAAAAGGATGCTCTACGACTTCGTCGGCAAAGTGCACCTCTGACGCGCAAGAAGTCCTCAATGTCATATCTGAGTGCTCGTTCTGAATCTGACACTGCCGCGGTTGTCGATGTGAGATCTTTAAGAATGCCTATCATATATCTACGTCGCATATATATTTTTGTTGTAGTAGCATTTTCATTTGTTAATCTTAATGTGCTCACAATGTTCTTTCGCTCTTTTCCACACAAAGTTTTTCTAATATAGTTGCTGCCTTTGTGTCTACATTTGCAATATTTATTTATGATATATTATTAATTTCAATGGAGATGGAAGTATATTTTCGTATAGCATTATTATTTTACTGACTTTTTGTTATTGCATCACTTCATTATACATAACTCTTGCTCTTCTTCTACATCAATCATTAATTATAAAAGAAACCAATAAATGTTATAGTACACTAGTAGTATCGCAGGTTTAAGTCTATTGCTGAAGCTATTTTCAACTCTTTTTAGTGTAGTATCTATTATCATGTAGACTGCAAAAAAAGCTTCTTAATACGTATTTATAATTATGTATCTAATTCTATTAACTTACATTTAAAAATATCAGTAGGTCAGTACCCAGTCGAAAAAGTTGAACAGAATTTAACTAGAACGATTCTATTAAATTTCTATGTACACGAAATCTAGAAACACTTTTATAAAAAGGACATGTTTCCGAATTTAAAAATTGTAGACTTTGATAAATAATTTTATTTTAATTATACAAGATGGAAGAATTATTTATTAATAAATACGCAAAGTGATGATAGTAACCACTGAAAAAATTAATAAATTTTGAGAATTCAGTACTAAATGACATGTAACAATTTAAAATACATGTTTCTATAAATTTTTATCATCTATTTTAAGTTTATTTACAAACTTCATTCATATTATCATGTATCATTATTCTGGAGTGATTCCTCAAAAATCAACGGTTTTTTCTATTAATTAGCAGAAAAATTATTAAAAGAAATAATTAAAACAATTAATTAATAATTAATCTATATTTTTTAATCGGAATAGATTAATAATTTTAACTAACGTTATAAGAAGGTAAGTTTAAAAGTAATTTATTTCTAAAATTTTTTATTTAATCAGGTTTCGAATTAAATAGAAACAACCTAAAAGCTTACAATGTGCCTTTTTTAAAAAAATGTTTACTAGAATTCAAGAAGAAATTCTATAGAATCATTTTAGTTAAATTCTATAAAACTTTTCCAACTGGGTACGATTAATATTTTATGAGCAGGTAATTAAATGTTTTTTAATTATATATAGGGAATTGAAGACTCTCCTGATGACTCAAAAAAAGTAAAAGATGTAGAGGGAGAAATAAAAGACACGAATTTATCAAGGTCATCCAAAGAATCTGATGATGAGGATATTGATGATAAGAAATTTGAAAAAAATAAGAAAGAACAGCGAAAGACATCAATACTTACTTATTTCAAGTTTTTGTGGGCAATGTTAAATAGCACAATGGTCTCAATGACAAAGTACTTAAATCGATTTTCAAATGACTATCGATATATTCGCAAAGTTCTTACAAAAGAGAAGAAACTTTTGAAGGTGAATATTTTATTAAAAAAACAACTATATTTCATTTTAAATTTAATATAATTTGATTGATTTTAGACGAAACCAGATTTTAGAATGGGCAAGCGATTAGGCATTAATCAAATATGGCAACCAATTCCAATAATACAAGAAAGGTAAATTATTCATCTTTTTTCACTTTAACTTAAAGTTACATTTAGAAGCACATTTATTGTAATGTTGTTAAATTAACACTTCATTTTATTTGCATGTTAATTTTAGTAACTAAAGCATTTATAAATGTATGTATGTATGTTTCATTAAATATTTTACATGTCACATCATTGGTATAAAAAATTAAATGATTAAACGGTTAACTTATAAAAAAGAAAACACTTTTTTTTCTTTTTTTTTTAGTTCGTTCATCAACGAAAATAATGCAGAAATATCAAATGATTTAGAAGTCAGTTGTGCCAGGAATGAGAGAGTAAGGTAAATATATATTCATTTATAAAAAAATTGAATATATATTTAAAATAACGAATATTAAAATTTTTTTAAACAAAAAAACTTATGTATGGTCAGATTATTACATTTTTTGAAAAACATCTTTTTTAAAAAGAACTTTGGTGGGCTAATGTTCAACATTTCAAAAATTCATTCACACACAAATCCAATAATATATAATAATCATAACCGTTTAACTCTTTTAACAAATAATAAACATTCTAACATTAGAACAAAATATACATTACTAGATCAGAATTTGCTTGACTAATAAAAATTTTTTATTGTTTATTTGAAACGAAAAAATTAAGCATGTACATATAATTTGTTGGGTAGCAATTTTTCTTTCATTTTAATTGTTAGAGTTTATAGCACATATATTTTAGATATTTTTCAATAATTTTTTGTAGTTTAAATATATAATGTATAATACACACAATACTTATATGTGACCTAGACAAGTTAAAAGTAATCGTTTTATCAAAATTCAACATGGCCAATTAAATATTGCGGAAGATTTTTTTAAAAATTCATCAGTTTAGCAAACCTTGAAATAAAACTATTTTTTAATATTTTATTTAGCTTTTTATAGCATTCACAGTTCAATTATACTTGATCAATAAAATACATTGCACGTGAATCATAATGTATTGACAGACGGATTTGTATATTGAAATATAACATAATATTATCAACATATGCTTACAAATTGCAAATCTCAATGCTGTAGCCTAAATAATATTAATAAGTCACATTTATTATTTGTATGTGCAGCTCAATTTATTCTCAACCTTATTGCATTGAAAAAGAGGAAGCTGAACTTTCAGAAGTAGATCAGCCGCCAATTATTCAACTGGCAGCATCAATATGGTTTGGTATTCTGGCACATTCGACCCTATTGTGTTACTTTATGGTATTTCTTCACCAAATAAAAAATTCTTCAGTTCTTTCAACACCATTACCATTGATGGTATTTTTTTGGGGATCATTGACAATACCCAGACCATCAAAAACATTTTGGGTCACTTTAATAGCTTACACCGAGGTAAAGATCATACAGATTATTATTCAAGGATAATATTAAGAAATCGATTAAAAAGTAAAATTTTTGTAAAATAGGTGATTGTGATAGTGAAATGTATATTTCAACTCGAAATAATACCATGGAATCAAATAGCTAGTAGCAATAATCCTCTCTATGGTCCAAGAATTGTTGGCATTGAGCGCAAACAAAATTATGCTCTATGGGATTTATTACTTCTTCTTATGGTATTCTTTCATAGGTAAGAGAGTATTTATATTATCTAAAAAAGAAACATTTTCATAAATAGAATATAAATAGAAATAATATAATATAACTTTAAAATTGCTATTCAGATTCATGTTAAAGTCATTAGGCCAATGGACAAGGCCTTCAATTGGTACAAAAAAAATCATTCCAAGTAAATTAACAGTAGCAACTATCAAACATGATAATATGGGTCAAGGAGAGCCATCTTCACAAGTACATATTGAAAACGAAGAGGCGTAAGTAATACAGTGAATAGTATTTTAATTTTAGAGATAAAAATATTTTATAATTAAATTTAATATTTTAGCGGCACTAGTACCGATTTTAAAACTTCAAACAGTGGAGTCGTAAGCAATCATCCTGAAGGTGATTCAGAGCAATTCCCAACACCATTTGAAGATAATCAAAAAGTTGATGCGTGTCAATCTGAAGAAATTAAACCTCCCGAAGAAGAAATTGTTGACCATAAAAATAAAACGTAAGAATCATTTAATTTTTAAGTTGTTTGAATAAAATTATTTATAATTGTATATGTTTTTCTAATATTATGTCTATAAATATTTTAGATTTAACAAACATCTTGAGCCTATGAAAGGATTCTTTAAGAATATTCTTAATCCAGTGGGAAAGGAGAAGACCAATGTCTACGCTTACATGTTTTTCTGTGATTTCTTCAATTTTATACTCATAATTTTTGGATTTTCCGCCTTTGGAGTACGTAAAAAGCATTGAAGAAAATTTAACTAATTGATGATAATAATAATAATAATTTTTTTATAGACTCAACAAGGGGATGGTGGTGTGACAGCTTATCTCGCAGAAAATAGAATTCCTATACCATTTTTGTTGATGCTTTTAATTCAATTTGCACTTATTGTCATAGACAGAGCTCTCTTCCTGAGAAAATCTATTGTCGGCAAATTGGCATTTCAGTATTGTCTTATTCTAGGCGTTCACATTTGGATATTTTTCGCATTGCCCAGTGTAACTGAACGGTAAACTATATTTTAACTTTTTAACAATAACGAATATGAATTTATATTTATACGTATATTTCACTAATATTACTATAATAATGAATCATTACAGGCAATTTATTGACAATTATCCTGCTCAAATTTGGTACATGGTAAAATGTTTCTACCTTCTTTTGGCGGCTTATCAACTTCGATTGGGTTATCCAACACGTATATTGGGCAATTTCCTCTGCAAGAAGTACAGTTTTATCAATTACGTTCTCTTTAAAGGGTAAAATTATTTTTAATAGTTTGAAGTTAATCTCATTTAATACCTTTATGTTTGTTATTTTTGTATTCAAAGAAAATTTCAATTGTTTTTAGATTTATGATTATACCCCTTTTGTTCGAGCTAAGAGCAGTAATGGATTGGATTTGGACAGACACATCTATGACAGTTATGGACTGGTTTAAGATGGAGGATATTTATGCTAATATTTATCAAATTAAGGTATGTTTTTTATGATTAATAAAAAATCAATTCATTATTTTCACCGAAGATTGGATGGAATTTTCTTAACTAAATTAGCATTTAACAGAATTTATTTTTAAACCAATTTTTATTTAACAAAATTTTCATCTTACATAATTTCTCTTTACCTATTTGTTTAAATTAATTCTAATTTAACTGAATTTTTAATTAAACAGAAATAAAAAATTGATTGATTAAATATAAACTCAAAAAATAAAAATTCGGCTAAAAAAATTATTTTTATTCAAATTTTGTTAAATGAAAATTCTAACTACTGAATTTTATGGGATATTTATGTGCCTTATTTGATTGATTAGAAATGATAATTTTTTTGTTCAACAATTGCAATTTATATGCAATATTTAAGTTAGATCTTCTTTTCTACCCTATCATAAAGTTTAACTTTGGGCAACTATCTGCGTTTAGCTTACTCATTCGAATTAAAATACATTCATCATTTGTAAAACTTATAGTGTATGAGGGGAGTGGAAGAAGATTTTCCTCAACCTCGTGGTCAGAAAAAAGCACAAATGAGCAAGTACATGGTTGGTGGAGCAGGTTTATTTGTTATAATTGGATTGGTATGGTTTCCACTTTTATTCTTTGCTCTTGGAAGAACTGTAGGCGTAGCAAATCTACCTTATGAAGTAAAAATGAAAATTGGAATTGGAGCTCACGAACCAATTTATACGATGTCTGCACAAGATACATCAATTTTCCAATATACAGAACAAGACTATAAGACTTTTAAGGATATTTATCTTCAGGACAGGTCGGCAGTAACCTTTCTTGAAAATTATGTTAATACTGATATTGCTGCTGTTAGACTAAGTGGATCATCAAAAACATTGTGGTCCATTTCTCCTCCAGATAGAGAACGGTAAAATATTCTGCATATTAGGTGGTACAATTATATTACCTGACAAAATTATTCAATTTTATTGTTTTTATTATTCAGATTAAAAAACGAATTAGAATCAAACAGTTCAGTGACTGTTCACGTGGAATGGACAGTTTCCAGAAAGACTGATGCCAAAGATTTTTCTGGCGTTACTTCTACCCAACGAGATATAAAACTTCCAGCTTATGTTGATGGTAACTTTAATCCACAGAGACAGAAGCTTATAGACATGTTGTCAGTAGGAAACAGTACAAATTTAAATTTTAACTCTTCACTTCAGTTACTTAATGCTTTTCCCAAATTTCTAAAAGTAACCAACAGAATTACCGATGTAGTGCCACAGCTTATGAGAACACAGCTATTGCGTAAGTAAAATGAGTGCGGAGGTTTTAAAAATATTTATAAAATATCAAAGATGTTTTTTCAAATTGAAATGTCTCTTATATTTTCAGCTTATCTCATGAATCAAGATGAAGATACAAAAACAAATAAATATCTGTATCGTAATATCAGCTTACAATTATCTACCACCAATTTAACATGTTGCGCAAATCAACAATGGTGGGTTGTACAAGAAAATGTTACTGACGATATTTATACTTATCTCTTGAGTAACGTACCATTAAATGACAAAAATTATATTATGATGTTTCTATTCAATGAAAAGGCATTTCCTGAAAGTTTGAGTTTTATTAGTGGTTTTGGGTAAGTTTCTACTAAAATATGTCATTTACCTGTATATTATTTTAACTTGGAAACAAAATTTTAAGAATTATTTTTGTATTCATTCACAGAATACTGGGTTTTTATTCCATCTTTTTGTACATGATAAGTCAAGTTATTCGAAGAGGAGTTAGTGATGTCGCACCAAAGATTATGTTTGAAGACTTACCATTTGTCGATAGAATTCTTCGCTTGTGTTTAGATATTTATCTTGTGAGAGAAAGCAAAGATCTGTGCCTTGAAGAAGACCTCTTTGCTAAACTTATTTTCCTCTATCGATCACCTGAAACATTAATTCGGTATATTTTCTCAAATATTTATTTCAAGTTTTAAATATTACTTGTTGTTACTGTACTATAATATATCCTTCATGTTCGTAGATGGACAAGACCACCTGAACCAGGAGAACGTTCTGGAAATGAAGATGAAGATGAAGATGATGTTGACAATGCAGATGATAATGATAATAATGTAAATAGGTTATCACGCGATGCGTAATTATTAAACGGTCAGTAATAATTTAAAATTTTTTTTGTATCAACGAATACAAAAACAAAAAAAGAAACATTAAAACATGTTTGAAAGCATGGTTTTAATTGCAAATTTAAATTATATTGAAAAGTCTGAATAATCGTTTCTTGATAACACCATATTTTGTAGAAAAAGTTTTCTTTGCTTTATTTTAACAGAAGCTTACGTTCAGCTTTCAAAGATTTTGGTTCTTAGTAAGTATTTACTATTGCGCATTTGTAAATATCATATAGAAAAGTACTACTGCATGAAGTTTAAATTTTCAGTAAGTACTTCACTAATTCAGCAAACATATCTCGTGAAAGTATCGTGCTGTCCAGGCTATTATTTATTATTTTAAAAAAATATTTTTACTGTTTAATGAAAAATGCAAATAATACTTTAAACGCCTATATAGTTTCATATAAATAAGGTAAAAATAATTAATAATTAGCACAACAATTTTTGAACCTTGCTTTACAAATTTTTAAAATATATATTTTGCGAATCTTTAAGAAGTCTAATATAATTAAAATAAATGATATATATTTATTAAAATAATATATATATATATATTTTATGTGTAATATATAATAAACATTTGTGTATCTATTTCTAATTTTTACATTGAGCGAAAGAAATTTAAATCTGTACAATACTGTATTTTGTTAATTTTAAAGATACATACAGTGTAAAACTGCATATAATTTCATTAAAAAGAGTCTTGTTTTTAACTGTTATTTGATTTTATATTTGCATCGGTTGGTGCAGAAGCAGCATAAATTCACAAATCAAAATTGTTCAGGAAAACTGTTTTTCTGGTAAATATAAGAATTTTTTCAAATTTTTGTTTTTGCATTACTTTCTATTCACCTGTAAGTTTAACCCTAGAATGTAAAAAGAAGTTAAAAAATGTCAATTTTAAGAAATTTTAGTTTTTTTTATTTCGTTTTTATAACTTTTTTTCACATTTCTTTTCACTTTATTAAAAAATGAATAGTACCATCGTCTTCCTTACTGAAAAACGAAAAAAAATTTACTATATTAAACCTCTTTTTCAGTAAAATAGAAACCTTTCACAAATGTGAAGAAAACAGTAAACTATAAAAAATTATTCCAAGTTAGTAAAAAGCTTTTTAGGATCGCTGATTACGAATCCGATGTCAATTTTTTAAAATTCAAAATGGAGGATCTTATATGGCGGACGAAAAAAATGGAGTGGAAATTTTGACTTTTTAAGTGACACTGTTATTTTCAAATCCACATAACCAGCTCAAAACTTTATGAATTCACATTTTCATTTTTTTTCAAAATTAAGTTTTATTTTTTATGAAAAAAAATCGAATTGTTATGTTTAGAAAGCTGACATTTTTCCAGATAAAACCGGGCCGTCCATGAGTTTTTGAGAAAACATAAAAAAAGATTTAAAAAATTAATTTTTTTACATTTTCTCGCAACTTTTTGTTTTCCCATAGCTTCGCTTTTATATATTTTTGTTGGAAACAATATCGTATTTTTAATAAAAATACAGAAAAAGAAAAAAATTTATAATTTACCAAAGTTACAAGCAAGTTCAATAATTTCGAACTTTTGACCTGGGCATTTTTGAAACATATTTTTTGTATACGAAGTCATACAAAAATAAGACATGTATTATGCCATGGGATATGCATTATCATGGCCATATCCCTACAATCGCAGTTTCATAAAAAGATTATAAAGATTTGTTCTATTGATATTTGGAACTTTATTCAACTGTTGAAAAAAACTATGTCTTATCTTTATTTGTTTGCATATCCATTTTTTTGCTATTTGATTTGACATTGACGTCACAAGTGCAACAGCCTTATTAGGGCGCACTCACACCTCTGGCTGCCTGCACAGGCAGCCAGTGAGAGCCAATCAGAGAGTCAGTAGATTTAAATTTGAATTTTCTGTCTCTCTTACTCTTGTACGTTTTCTGCGTGGTGGGAGGCTGCCTGTGCAGGCAGCCAGAGGTGTGAGTGCGCCCTTATTGTGCTTTGGCAGAGGGTCAGTGTAATAATGGAGCTTCTACAATAGCTCCGTTTGGCAACTCAAACTCCAAGTCCAAGTCGGTTGGAGTTGGTTGCGCGCGCATGGTGTTGCCAACTGTCGCCGAGTTGAAAATGAAAAAAAAAAATTGTGCGTGATCTTGTGCTCACGAAATAGTTGAGGTTATGTACCTTTGAAACTGTAAACATGTTGTAAAGTTTAATAAATTATTTGTTGTTGCTGTTGATGTTGCCGCCATCTCATCGTTTTTTAAAAGGTAAGAAAAATATAAATTATTAATCTTTTAATAAATTTTTCTTTTATAAACAATACCTTTTTAATATATTGTAAAATCAAAATGATGAAAAACTTTTATTATAATGTCAATAGAAAACATTAAAAAAATTTTGTATTTTGACAGTTCATCTTATTTATTGTATATTTCTTTATTACTATATTTATATATTACAAATATTAAATTCATTGCATGTGTGTATTATTCGGGGAAAAAAATTTTATTATTTATAAAAGAAAAATTTATTAAAAGATTAATAATTTATATTTTTCTTACCTTTTAAAAAAAGATGAGACGGCGGCAACATCAACAGCAACAACAACAAATAATTTATTGTGTTTACAGCTTCAAAGGTACATAACCTCAACTATTTCGTGAGCACGAGATCACGCGCACAATTTTTTTTTCATTTTCAACTCGGCGACAGTTGGCAACACCATGCGCGCGCAACCAACTCCAACCGACTTGGACTTGGAGTTGCCAAACGGAGCTATTGTAGAAGCTCCATAAGTAAGAGAAAGACAGATATACACTAGAGTCTCCGAAGAGAGGACAGAAAGAGTCTTGGACCTCTCTACGGAATTCGTCCTTGACGCCGAAAATTGTAAACACTCCAGGGCCGTATATCGTATCACAGAGATGTGTTTTTTTTAACAGAATACATTCTGTTACGTATGTAAAACACTACGCGAGAAAGGTACACTAAAAACAAACGCTCCTGAGTTCACGTTCCTCTTTCTGATCCCGCCCATCTCTTCCCCCCTCACTCCTTACCGCGCCGCGTCACTACTTAGTCCTCTCTTCAGAAGTCCTCTCTTGGGAGACTCCAGTGTATACATGTGTCAGACATGAGTGGATATGTATAGTCAAGCATATTCAACTACAGTTTTCTTTTTTATATAGAAAATATAAATTATTTAATTGAAAGGATTAAGATTGTATTTATACTGTATTAATGTGAATTTTTTCAAGTAAAACAGTATATGATATATATAATCATTACTCAAGTTAAAATTTTGCAAAAAAACCAAATGTCTGTCAGTAGTTGATTATATATAGTTTGTGTTATAAACATTAGTAAGTATTGTTTTTTTTATAATAATTATATACTATTATCGTAATAATTTGTATTTATAAGAATCTATTGAAATAAAGTAATTTAAGAGAAATTAAATTGACATAACCTAAAAATGATGTGTGTTCTGTATTTTTTTTCTATATATAATAAAATGTAAATAATTGGCTAGATATTTTACAAAAGTTTAGTTTAATTCAGTACAGGGAATATTCTTAAAAATGAAATATCTCGATTTAATTAATTTTTGTGTATATTGGTAAACTTTGAAAAAATAACGGGAATAATTTAAGTATTATATACAATTGAAACCTATAATAATTAAAATTAGTAAAATATCTTTAAATCCTACTGAACATTTAAATTTACTAAAATAATGAATTAATGACATAAAGTTACATAATTAAAATGTTTTTCAGCATCATGAATGATTCCTTTTTGAACGACATTGATCCAGGAGATCCAGGACCTCGTCAGGAGTTAAACCAGTTCATAACAACCAGAAAAAGTAGGTCTTCAGGTGGACCAGTGAAAAATGACGACTTTGAATTTTTAACTCAAGAAAATATAAATACAATTACAAATGCAGGTATTGTCAACAAGAAGGAATTACTTAATGATCAAAAGAAAAAGAGTACAAAGCAACATGATTTTAAAAAACAGATTGAACACGAAAAAAAAATACCACTCATAGAATCTAAAGTGCTTGATAAAAAATTGAAATCACTCGAAACAAGAGGTAAATCCACAGAATTGGCACGAGTAAAATGTGAGGAGTTGAAAACAAAACATCAGATATTGAGAAACAAAGTCTCTGATCCAAGACAAATTTCCAAAGATTATAATCGTCGCTCTGGTAGTTCAACTCCTTCCAGTAGAACATCTGATCCATCAAGTAAAGAAAACAATATATTGTCGGATAATGTGACTCCGAATCGAAATTCAGCCTCTTTAAAGAAATTAGAGACCAATGATTCTTCAACTTTATTGAATTGTGTTAAAGAATTGATATCCTCAAATGCAAAGCAAGAGAGCACCAAAATCTTAAGAGCAATGCAGGAATTACATATAAATTCTCAAGCAAATCTCATTAAACATTTGTTAATTCAAACAGAAGATTTAACAAAGGAAATTCATCCCAGTAGGGATACATCGCGATTAAAAAAGTTAGTCGAAGAAAATGAACGAATGCGAGAGGACATTATTATTTTGAAATTAAGAAATGAAGAATTGCAAAGAAAAGTCGATGAATCTATACTAATGAAGGAAGAAAATATTGAGTTAAAACTTAAAATAAAAGAATTGCTCAAGTCTGGAAGTTAGTTTTAAATATACGAAAAAAAATAATTTAATTTTTTTAATTCAAATATAAAATAATAACAGTCATGGACTGACAATCTAAAAAATTATATTATTATTTTTAGATTTAAATGTTAAAATTGATGTCTTATCATGTAATATGTTAATAATGTGCCTTATATTGTTGAAACATGTTTAAGGACATAAGTGGAAGACGTGAGATTAGACAATTCCTGTATGGGAGATTTCTTACTCTATTTTAAAATTAACACTAAAAATAGAAATTTTTTAATCTCACGATTTTCACGTGATATTAATAATTTTTTAAATAAAGTTTTTTACTTTTCCAAAAAAATTATGACTATTTTGTTAATTTAATGATATACCCTAGAATAATGAAATTGTATAAAACGTATTAAAAAAAAATAATTTTAAATATTTATTAAAAATTGTTGTATGTTTTGTTTACTAGCAAATACATAAATTTGCAACATATAATTAACATTCATATTCTGGATGGAGAGCATGTGATAACCTATAAAAGAATTGCTCTCATGACTCATCAGTTCATCATCAGACATCAGTTGAACTTGAACTGTGCGCATGTAAGCATCAGCATCCAAGTTATGAAAACCAAAATACTGAAAATGTATTACGGTATTCTATTTTTGTTGTCAATTTGTTTAGTGAACAGTTATGCAAGTTTTATAAATAATTACCCAAAACTTAAAAGTTATAATACACCCGCTAATGAAGATGTAGGAGAACCGCTATTTCTAACACCTTTAATTGAAAGTGGAAAAATTAACGAAGCAAGGGAAAAAGCGGCAGTTGAACATGTGGAAATGGAAGGAATAAATAGTTATGCTGGATATTTAACTGTTAATAAGGATTTTGGATCTAATATGTTCTTTTGGTTCTTCCCGGCTCAGGTTAGGAATTTTTTTTATTCCTTTTAAACAGAGATCTATCAATAATAATTAATAAATACTACTTATGCTTACAATTATTTACAATTTTTTTTTTTAAATATAACTATAAATTAATATGTTATTTGTCCTTTTATTTATTTTATATATACTATATAAAATGAAAATATTAAAAGTTGAAAAAATGAGTTTCGAGAAAGGTGTAGGAGCCAATTATCCAAGAAAACAGAAGAAATATAAAGTTACAAAAAAATTAAGTTTATTACTTATAAATAAAACTTATAAATAATATTATACCCTGTATATCCGTATTTGAGAAAAGATATCCAATGTTTGAAATTCTAGTACCATTTTTTTCAAAAAAATAATTTGCGTATGAAGAAAAATAACATTTCTTAATGAATGAAAAATTCCATATTAAATAAAAAATTATCAATTAACATTTATACACAAATAACAACACGTAAGGATTATTACTAATAACTATGTAGTAACCACTTTTGTAACTTATAGAAACAATTGAAGTCATATGTGTTAAACTTTTGTGTCTTTTAAAGAAGAATCGGACACCAGTAATGCATATTATTATTAAATATAACAATTGGTTTTATAAAATGTTCTTTAGTAGAAACGTGGAAAATTTTATTTTATATAAAAGATCCACTAATACTACAATTTAGATGAACATTCAATAATTTCAGATTACAAAACTTTGAGGTTATGATAAATTTTTTCTGTGCGCTTTGACTACACTACTGCGGTCTGATTTCTCTTTAAATCGAAAAATGATATCAATGAAACTTGATGCAAACGTTGCTATATTTCTCAATAGTTAACTCGACAGATGGACATATTAATTTTAATTAAAGTGATAAAATTATTTATTTATAGTTTTAAGAAGAAATATTTTTATTATAAACTGGGCAATTGGTTCCCTTATCATACATGTATAGATATCAAATAAATTGGCAATTGCTTTAACATATATGTGCAAATAGGTTGATCCGGGCAATGCACCTGTTGTTCTATGGCTGCAGGGTGGTCCAGGGGCAACTTCAATGTTTGGACTGTTTTTGGAAAATGGACCTTTCTACGTGACAAAAAACAAGACTCTTCACATGAGAAAATATTCATGGAATAAAAATCATAATTTAATATATTTCGATAATCCAGTTGGAACTGGTTATAGTTTTACCAATGATATTAAAGGTTATGCCAAAAATGAGACTGATGTGGGACGAGATGTTCATACAGCTTTGGTGCAATTTTTCCAGTTATTCCACGAATTTCAAAAGAATGATTTTTTTGTTACCGGCGAATCTTACGGTGGAAAATATGTTCCTGCAGTTTCACATGCAATAAAAGACTATAATATAAAAGCTAATTTGAAGATTAATTTAAAAGGATTAGCAATAGGAAATGGATTAACTGATCCAGAAAATCAACTTATTTATGGCGATTATTTATATCAGTTGGGATTGATAGATCTTAATGGAAAAAATGCGTTTAACATGTATGAGAAGAAAGCTCGTGATTTCATTCAACAAAAGAAATTTGTCGAAGCTGCCGATATTTTTGATTTACTTCTTAATGGAGACTTTCATGCAACACCCTCACTTTTTACAAATTTAACAGGTTTCAATTTTTACTACAATTATCTGCATACTCATGATTCTAATAACTCTGATTGGATGTCTGAATGGATCCAGCGGGGTGATGTTAGGCGTGCCATTCATGTGGGAAACTGCTCTTTTCATACTGGAGATAAGAAGGTTGAAGAGAACCTGAAAGCTGATATTATGCAATCTCTTGCTGTATTGATTGTAGATCTGTTGAAACATTACAAAGTTCTTCTCTACAATGGTCAGCTCGACATAATAGTGGCATATCCACTGACTGAAAATTATTTGCAAAAATTACAATGGTCTGGCGCTGCCAAATACAATTCAACTGAGAGAAAAATATGGAGAGTTCAGAATGAAATTGCGGGATATGTAAAAGTCGTTGATAATTTAACAGAAGTTCTTGTTCGAAATGCAGGGCACATGGTTCCAATGGATCAACCTAAATGGGCTTTCGACTTAATAACCAGATTTACTCATGGAAAACCACTTTAATTACTTGTTCAGACAAGTGAATTGAATCCTCAATTTAATTGAAAATATAAATATATGTACATTGACAATAATATACAATTAATGTTATGTTTTATACACGTAGGTATGTAAAACTTTTACAATAAAATAATATCAGGTAACACAAAAGGTCAAATACAATTACAATCACAATCAGTCAGACTTGTCAAGTATGAATAGTATTCCTCTTTTAAACGATATAATTGCATTCATGTATGTGTGCGCACGCGTTTATTGTAAATAACTACATTTGGCAAAATATTTTCATATCTTTTACGCGATATATATGCTCAGTTGTTTACATTTTCTACTGTGCGTTTGTATAAGTTATAAAAATATTTTTAATTGCGCACAATTTTTCACTTTTAATAAAAAATTCAATTTTATGAAATTTAGCCATGTAAATTCATAATTTCATTATTTTTTTTAATCATCTTAACAATTAGAAGACAATCATGTAATTAACAATAGTTTGCTTGGCACATAAATCACAAATATATTTTCTTCACATTTTATAATTATTTACTTTTAAGTTATTGAGTATTAAATTAATTATACTATTTTCATTCCCATTTTTTGTTGAGATTCAAACTTTTCTAATTGTTTATAGAATAATTTAGTCTAAATAAGGTAATAAAAATTGATCTACTATCGAGGTATTTGTGTGCCAATCAAAATGAGAAATTCCTGGCACAGATAATATTATTAATTTTTTCTTTTTATCTAAGGTTTTTAACCCAATTAAATCTTCGCGATATGTCACGCGATCTCTTAATTCTACGACTGTCTCATTTGTATCGTAATAACCAAAATGAGCACTTTGCCATGGCGTAATAACTCCATCGTCCGGGCCTCCAATAAGAACCATTTTTTCCAGTTTGGTAATACCAGATTTAAGATTTATGGTACTATTAAAATCTTTTTCATTATTAATAAATGGAAGAAATTTGCTATATTTGTAGTATAATTCCTAACAAAAGAAAGGGACAAAATTAATTATTCGAATTGATTAATTAATTGAGAATATAATTCCAACAGTATACCTGATGATGTGGATCATTCCAATAATTTCCAACACTCGTGTGTTGTCCAAGTCTTGAATAAAAGAGTTCATATGCTGTTTCACAGAATAAATCTGGAAAAATTAAGTGCAGGAAACGTGCTGAAATTGAAAAAAATTGATATTATAATATATTGTAATTTAGTATTCACTGTTTTCTTTTAAATATACTATGTTTTTTGCATACTCCCGTATTGGCCAGCTTGTGGAGAACTTAGGGAAATAAAATTTCTGACGTTGTGTTCGGGAAATCTTTGCAAAATTGCTCTAGCTAGTAATCCTCCTTGACTATAACCTAATAAATTAATTCCATCAGGAAATTGAGCACCAAAAGCTAAGACGTCTTTTCCTACTTCTTCTACTTGTTTCCACATAGGATCCAAGCTACTCCAACCAGAGTATCGTCCAGTGTTGTTGATCACAGTTCCTGGATGCATCTGCATATATTTTTAAAGTTGTTTTATCATTTTCATTTGTTATTCTATACACTATTCAATTTAAATTTCTTAAACATATTTATCACACTGATGGTGAAACTTCATTATTATACAGTACATAATGTTTAAAAAATATCGCAACGTCCGTGAAGTTTACAACATTTATTATCAACGATTGAAAAACAAAATATTCTTCATCCACAAAGTAATAAAAAAAAAATTATTGATCAAGTCTTTAACGTCAGAGAAATTATAATAATAAACAAATAAAAACGAAACAATTTTGGATTTTAATTTTTATATATATGTCAAATAGACTTCCTGAAGAGGAAATCCGTGGATTTACAAGAATTAAAAAATTAAAGTCAACTTTAAATATTGCCATAGAAATCAAAATGAATATTCTTTTTTTATTTTGTTGGGAAAAATAATTGTCAGAATTTGGGAAATTGCTTTCGTAAAAAACATTTGTCGAGTAAAATGATTTCGTGAAATTGAATTCGGAAAAGCGTTGGGAAACTTTTTGATCATTATGTATAATGAAGTTCATTGTCAGATAAAATTTAAATTACTTTATGTGAAATGTTAAAATTAGTTAACCCCATATTACAAACTTGTACTATTTATAGTTTTCTCAACGCATATAATGAAAAAAGTTAATTGTTATAAAAAGCCATTACAAATTATATAACAATAACAAAATATCCAATTTGATCAGATCTTTGAAAAAAAGTTTCACATGCAAAAGTAAAAAATGAAAACACAAAAATCTAAAGTTTCTAAAAATATTTATAATAAATATTTTAATAATAATTTACCTCCTGTATGTGATTGCTAATTTCTTTCATACTGTCATCTCCTGTAAGAATGCCATGAATCACAGCTACAGGTCTATATGATTTTGCAGTAAAATTAGCAAAAATGGAGCAGAATATTAAAGAAAAATATATTTTGTAGTTTGACATTTTTAAATTTTTGATTTAACTTTATCAAGCGTCAAGCATGATTGGATGAGAACTAAACGTTCGACTCTGGTTCGACTTAAAAACAACAACAAAGGAATGACATTGCATCATGGGAAGGGAAAGAAGCATCAACTGTAAATCAACGCCACTGCGACAAATAAAGAAATACTGAGTTGGGAAGCAGGGTCGGTAAGTGGTTGCATTATCAAGTATCGTCAATATACATTTCTACCACACAGACAGAATTTTTATCTTATGAGAATTATTCAAAAAAATTTTTTTTTTTAATTTCTTAAATATTTTAATTTGCAATTGACAATATAAATGTTTAATATTTAATTTACTTTAAAGTGTAAATGCAAAATGTAAAAATTAATTATTATATTACACTTTATAGACACGTCACACGAAAGTTGACATTTTCTAAAATTTTCTAACAGTAGGGGAGAGTGGTTCAAAACGGGGTAGGCGGGTCAAACCGGGTATTTTTCATGCCATCGACTTTATTTCCTCATTCTCTAATGTTCAAGGAAGAATTTTCAACGAGACTTGAACTAATTTGTTTGATAGATTTTTTGTAAACCGAGAATTATAAAAAGGTACCCGGCTTTGCCCCACTCTCCCCTATTATTATTTATTTAATTAAATTTAATTAACAATGCACATGAAAAGTACACTATTAATTAATTGCAATTTTTTTAATCTAATCTGTCACCTATAATTCTTGTATATGATATTTAGGTGGATATTTATTTTCAAATACTCGTATACCTTAGCGTAGTTGGTTAAAGCGTAAGGTTATAAGTTCATAGGTCCACAAGATTTTTTAGGTAATTTTCATTAAAACTTTATTGATTATACCCAATTAATAATGAATATTTCCCAAGAATTTTTGATGAATTTTGCTGTGGAAGTTCCCAAATAATAATTAATATTTCCCAAAATTTTTTTTTCGAGGTAAAGACCCAGCAAACACGTTCTATAAATGTTCTATAACAGTGATGTCACAGTTTTACAGAACAGTTGTTACAAGTTGGTTACGAATCTGTTATATAACCTCATTGTCATTGAATTCTAGAACATTGTTACAAAAGAGTGACAGAACTGTTCTATATTATGATAACGTCACAGTTCTATAACAATGTTATGTAACATGTCTATAACACGACAGTCACAAATGATCTGCAAGTGATGTTCCAACGTAGTTCTAGAACTGTGTAGGAACAATGTTATGTAGCTGTCCTTTGTCTTAAATATATATAAAGTATATAATATAATAATAATAATATATAAAGTCAAATCAAATTAACTCGATATAAACATTTACATTTAATTTTTTAATGACATAAGAATGTGTTAAATATAAATTATATAACTTAATAACAACTTTATTATGCACCACAATAGTACAGGGTGTCCTAAAATTTTAGGGATGTCTGGATATCTCGTAATAATAGCCTTTTTGACAAAAAAATTTAAAAATTTGTTCAGAATAGCAAAATATGTTAAAATGTGCACTTTGATTTTGTTATTCTGAACAATCTTTCATTTAAGTTTCTTTTTCTCAAAAATAAGATCGTTACAAAATACCCAAATGTCTTGGAAATTTCGGGACAACATGTATAACAACACTAGATCGTTGTTACATTACTGTTCTTCTCATTTAAAGAACTATGATACATATTCATACTGAAACAATGTTATGTCACAAATATAGATTTTTGTTCCTACACTGTGATACGTTTACGTAACACATATATAGAGGCATTCTTTGTCAACGCGGACACCCCTCTCGCCCAAATTCTTTTCATTTTACACACTAAAAAAGAAATCTTGATTTCAGCCTATTTTTGAGGCTGAATTTAAGGTGTAAACGGAGTCAGACCAATTAAAAAAGGACAGACTTATGCAAAATATATGGGCTTAATTTAAGGTGTAAACGGTTTAAGACTTTGTTTTTACTGTGTAAATTAATGTTTAATGGCTTAAATTTTAGTTAAAGTAATATACTTTTGAAATCTGAGTGGCAAATATCCAAAAACAAAATATAGGATCCAATATAAAGGTTATTCTTTAAATTTACCAATAAAAAGTTACTCTAATTCATTTTGAACAATCCAAAAAGTAAGCCTTTTTAGCCCTTTGTATTTGGAAATATGCCACTCAGATTTCAAAAGTATATTCCTTTAACTAAAATTTAAGCCATTAAACATGAATTTAAAATGAAAAGAATTTGGGCGAGAGGGGGGTGTCCGCGTTGACAAAAAATGCCTCATAATATTTTTTTTATCCCTGTTACGTAATTTAGTTATGTAACAAATACAGAACTCTGTTCCTTACTGGTTACATACCACTTTTCATAGTTGTTACAACACAGTTCTAGAACTGTTACAAATGACTTTGTAACCGCGTTCTAGATTTGTTACATATCTGAACATACCTGCTGAGTACGACGTTTTGCGTAACCAGTGACTCACACGTTCTTAACCAGTTACAGAACATGTTCTCAAGAAATTTGTAACAGTTCTAGAACAGATATATAACAGTGTTTGCTGGGGAAATATATAAACTTATTTTGATTATTGAATTTAATCAAATTTTATTAAATATACCTAAAGAAATCTATATATTTTTTTGTTATAAAATAAATAATAAAAATATAACATAATTATAATTATACCCTGACTATAAAGCAAAAGTCATTTTATCTTCATAAAAGAAATATTAAATTCAACTGCAAAAATGATCATTTTTGGAATGCTTTGTCGAATGTTAGGTATAGTTATATGTATATGGGTAGAAGGCACGTGGCTGTGACATCTCCCCTAAGTTCGTACGTCGCATTGATTCTATATATGCTTGCCTTCATTTTTGTCAATACTCTAAAAGCATCCGGATATTCAGGATGTTCTACGAACATCCTACAGTGGGACGAAAGTAGAATTTACTGTTTAAAAAAGTCTACAGCCTTCATTTTTTTACCAATTTAATTAAATTTTTTAAAATTGAAGATGATAAAATTTAGAAAAGGTTTGACGAGTCCCATTTTCGAATTTATACAAGGTGTTCAAAAAGTATGGAAACTTGGAAATATCTCGAAAAGTACCTATCTTCATTACTTCTTTTTTCACTGTTGGGTCCAGGGCCCAATTCTGTGGGTTCAAAAATGTGCATTTTTTTTTGAACAACTTTTGTGTTGAAAATTTTTCACGAAAATTCGTACTTTTCGAGATATTTGCTTGGTCTGTTCTATCATTAACAGATATAAAAAAATTGTAGAAAATATACATATAAAAGTGGGACAACAATAAATTTTCTAAAAAATTTAAAAATCATGGCAGAAAATAGTTTTCAACAATTTTTTTTAACCGATTGTTGTTCTTAGTTCATATTTTTATATTTCATAGAACATTTTTTTAGCTTTGCAATAAAAATAAAAAAGGAATAAAAACTTGTCAAATTTTGTAAAAACTGAAGAAGAAAGTTTAATATTGAAAAAAGGGGTTAAATTTTTTGTAATCTTTTAAGGGGAGGGACCAGTGAAATTTTAACTCATGGAAATTAATGTTGTTAAGGGGTGTTAATTTTTTCTGGAATTATTTAGAATATAAAATTATTGTGAATTATCAAAATTAAAAAAAAAATTTTTTTGATCATTTAAGAAATTTTATTTTTTGAAAATATCAAAATTTAAAAAAATCTATACGATTGATTGTTCAGAATCTTGAAAAAAATTACCGATAAAAAATAATAAAAATTGTAGAAGAAGTTGAATTTTTAAGGTATAATTGATAAAATTTAAACCAAATATAATTGGTTTGGTTTAGGGGTAACAATTTAAAAAAAAAAATAAAATTTTAGAACCTGAAATCATATTTAACTATGAAAAATAGTTATTTATGATACAAGTGCGTAAAGTGAGTGATTTACGCACGTGTATTATACAACATTTTTTGCAACACCCACCTCTAAAGTTAAGTACCTATTATGAAGAATTCCAACTCTCTATTAGAATAATTTCAATTGTATAGAATTAAATAAATCAATCGAAGATCAGGAAAAATATCATTAAGCAGTAGGGTATAAATTTAAAAGTACAGTTCTTTCTTTAATTTTGTGGTTTTGTATGGTCTAAAACAATCCTTATATTATGTGAGATAAATTTCGGTGCGTAAAGTAAATTTCAGTGCGTAAAGTGAATCACTTTACACACCGTTTTAAAAAGAGCTTCTTTACACACACTTTTCCGTGTTTAAAATATAATGTTGGAATTTGTTGCATCAACATTTGCTACTAAAATTCCCGGAATTTCGAAAAATTAAATTTTGATATTCGATGCTTGACTAGACATACTCACTCCCCTCCCCCTCGAGTATAAGAATATTTGTTGAAGTATTTTGAATACTTATATGTAATACATTATGTAATACAAATTTTAGAATAAACCTTATAGAAAAACTGTGGAAATAAATATAAAGAAATAAAAATTCAAAAATCGGGTTCGACAAACATCTTCTAAATTTTATCGCCTTTCATTTTAAAAAAATTTAATTAAATTGGTTAATGAATAAAGGCTCTAGACTTTTTTGAACAATAAATTCCACTTTCGTCCCACTGTGCGCATCTTAGGAGTATCTGCAGTGGATCTTGAAAATTAAGATATATCTATGTAGATAAATGCGCGTTGCTATGTAGAAAAGAAAAAATGTTTCTTGTCAATGATATATGTGTCATAATTTACAATTGATAATTTGTTACTATAAACTTGTATGGCATTATATTACAGTAATTTTAACTTAGGGGAGACCGATTTCGAGAAAAGTAAATAAAATGATAGTAAAATGAGAACTTTTTGTTTTAATCTATAGTCTATCTATTTTAAAATTTAATGTAGTTTTTTAATCCATTATTATTTTTTGATAATTTTGAACAGTTTTTTTTGTAAAAAATGATTTTGTGCAGCGAGGCAACACGGCACGTTGAACTCCGCGCTGGGGAGAGTTGTGCCGACGCCGGGGTCGGTTGTGCCGCTCAGATTTTTTAGTTGTTTTAGTTGAAGCAAATGATTTTACGCGTAAGAAATAAAATAATTATTCCCAATATATGATTTACTATTATTTA